TATCGCTGTCCAACTGGATCGAGCCGCCTACAGGAATGGATATTACTATCGTAGTAGGCTTGCGTAGTTATACTGCTAGCTAACTTTGTTTTTATCTAAGAACAGAATGATAGAAATAATTTTATTACCATTAGAATCGTCAGTATCCCTTAGAATATCCGAACTTTGTAATTAATACAAATTAGGAATAAGACAGTATAGAAAAATCGATGACAAGGAGACACTTAAACATGAATTATATTATTCCGTAAAATGATGATATGAAGGCAATATATTTGAAGATTTTTATAGGCTTTTTACTTTCAAAATTATTAATTCATATACTAATTAAATTGATGTAGATCTTAACGGCATTAAAAATTTTAGGTTAAAGGAGATTATATGCTAGGGCTCGATTAGAAGCATTAATACCTTTAATCAAACTATTACAGACGTAACTTATTAGAGAAAAACAAAAAATTATAGGTTAAAGTCATAAGTTGCCTTCACATGAAAAATAATAAAACTGTCAATCAAAATGGAATGGACTTGATAGAAATATTATGCGGTGTTGACGAAAAAGGAAATAACTTTCATTCTTTTTAATAAATAGAGTATGGAATTGTCTCATTATCGACTTATGGATTGAATAATTTTTATAACTTTAAATAACATTATTGAATCTGGCCATACTAATTTATTCCTTTCTTTAATGTAATCTATTCTGCCGTGTAAATTAGTATATACTGTGCATAATACAGTAGAAGCAACTTGATATCACGCTATTAAAAAAATAAATGTCATTATAAGATAATTTTATCAGTCGCTTGGGTCATCTAACAACTACGTGAGACTTTTTCATCTTGTATAATTATAGTATAGCATGGTTCCCTAAGTGATATCAGTTTCTACGCTAGATGTTAATCGATATCTGGCTATTAAAAGCAATAAATGTCCTTATAGGATAATTTCTTACTCGCTCTGGGTCGTCTAATAGTTACTACATGAGCCTTTTCATCTTCTATTATGATAATATAGTATAACTCTCTAAATGATACCACTTTTTACTCCTATCTTATCAAAATCAATTAATTATTTTTAAATCAATTTATTCAATGGATAATTTTGTTAACTGGCTTACGAGTGCCAAATACTATATACGGTAACTGACAATTTCTATGCAGAAGCTTTCAATCTCTCTACTTTAATGTAAGATGGAAAGTATTTTTTCATCATCATATTGATATGTTTATCATCGTTACTTTACAAAATTACGCGCTTATCTTATCCTTGCTAGTATCTTTTCCTTTCTATAAGCATAATGAATGATATATGCTTCTTCAAAATATGATTTCTATTGTTGAATTGATACTAGTAAATGCTCAAATGATGAATTCCGTTTATCCAGTTTCTTCGTAAAATGATTCTAAAGTATAGCTTCAAGTTGGGATTGAAATTAAAATATCTATGCTATCAGGAAATAGATATAAAAGTCGAACTACTTGAATAATTTGGGTTTATAGGAATGAATAAAGGTTTCAAAAATTTTATACCGTAGTTTCTAATCAACTTAGTTTGATTTGTTACTACAGCTAAATTTTGAGAATCTGAGAATGCTTTAGATAGTGGTTAAATGTAACTTGTAACACAGATGTAAGTACATCTATTTGAGAATTATGAACGATTTTTTAACCTACAATAACTAAAAGATTAACTTTGTCTGTGATATGGTCATATCATGATCAGATTTTCATCTATTTCATTTTACTCTGTCCAATATTATATTATAAATTATGCTGCTAATACGCGATAGAAACATTCATTCTCTAGCTGTTTATCTACCTTGTTTGATTGTTCTTCATATCCATAGCAAGATTGTAAAAACAGGAGAAAAACGATGAAAGAATAACCCATGATGGAAATTCTATTTTTATTTATTTTTGCGAATTTATTCCCTAGATAAAATAAGCACTAATTTTGCTGACTGGAAAATGCTTATAATATAACATTTAATTAGGATGATATTACCTTATTAGGCTCAACTACTGTATCTATCAATCATCAATAATTATAATTAATTTACGTATATTTGTATTCTCTTTGAAATTATTTATCCTTACATGTTATCATTATAAATTCTATCCATCTTTCTAACTTTAACGGTACCTTTTATTACACATTTATTATAAATAAGCTAAGCATGGAAGGATTTTTGTTTGGTAAGTGTAATACTATTTTTATCAATAAATTGACTTAATAGTTAGTGTGAGAGATCTTACGTATATTTTATATATGCTTGAATAGATAATTGTTTAATTTTGTGATGTTATCTTAGCCGAATTTATCAGTAAAAGATAAGATTAGCGTGGAAGGAATTTTGTTTAGTAACATTAAAACTTTTTTTGTCTAATAAGTGCCTTTGATATTTAGTGATAGCAAGCTTATCTATGACTTATATATGTACATGCATGGATAACTGTACAATTTTGTAATGTTATTTTAGCCAAACTCATTGGTATTGATATAGTTTAGTAGCGTTGTTTGCCTAGATCTTTTGTCTACAGGAGTATAGAATAATTATAGCCTCCTGATGACGAACGTATTATTAGTAATTAGAATTGCACTACAAATATGACAAAAAGAAGTGTATATTGAGCTGTAAAAATATCCACTTGGCCAAGTCAGCGTCAAGATAATATTTATTTAGTGCACTTATTAATTATTATAATGCAAGAAAATTACATTATAACAGTATTTTAGTATCACAATATGAATTAATGAGGTCTTAAATTGATTGATAGGTAAGTTTAAGTTACTAACCAATTATTGTTTCGATATTTATAACTTATTATGCTATATTAGTAATAATATAGCTGAGTTAGATAATATTCTTTTTATTGTGTTTTTATAGTAAAAACAGCATTATTTTTTAACAGGTTTTATTAGCTTTCTGATATAATACTTATATAATAGATGATTGATCTAGCTTCAGAACTGGTAACTAAATTTTGATCGTGTGAATTTTATGATTTTAGCAATTATTTCCAATTGTATATTTTTAAACCTTGATTATGAGTAGTAAACTATGATCAATTCTGTATATCCAACTTGAACTAAAAACTATCGGTATATTTTTTATTCTGCCGGATTTAGAGTAATATTCACTTATTGTAAATTATTGATACAAAAAATTATTTAACCTCAAAGTTCAAGTCAGACTGAGCACTTAGGTGAATAGTTCCGCTATATAACAATAAAGTACTATTTTTCACGAGGTCAAGGCAAATATAATTATATATTTTAAGTAGTAACAACGTCTTACAAAGAATTGCAAGTAATCTTTTTCAAATATTGGTCACATTGATTAAAATTGGATAATTGCTGCGTCTTTTCATCGGCTATGTTGATCTTTATAATTGAAGAGCATACATTTTCATGACAACAATATCTGCTGAACTGGACTTGTTAATTAAAACATTTGAAAATTGAAAGTAGAAATCGATATTCCTTTGTATGAATTCTAATGTCTAGTATATTAAATATTTGAAAATTGAAGATAAAATACGACATTCCTTTGTAAAAATTCTAATATATAGCATATTATTAAATATTTGAAAATTAAAGGCACAATACGATATTCCTTCATATAAATTGTAACGTTTAGTATTTTGACAGTAGGCTATTTACCAATAAGCATCCGATTGAATAGCAAATAGTAGAGTAGATCAAGAAGAAAAGAAATAAATTTTCTTACCTATAATAGATTGTAAACAAATTTCCTTTCATTGTATAAAAATAAACTTCAAGTACACTACAACTTTACTGATAAAATATCCGATCAAGGCTGTAACATCGCTTTTGCCAACAAACTATGGTATACCGGTATTGCAATAATTCAATATTAATTTTAGCCGGAAAAATTCTTGTTTTTATTGCCATATACATTTTTGGAGTAGTAATATCCGGAATAGTATTATGCGCACCATGTTGCCTGTTGTCATAACTTCAATTTCTTAACATATAACGATATAAAGACATCCCAATAATCTGTATTAATTTTTTAATGATGTTTTAGCGATAAGATAGATCACTGACATAAGTACTTCTTTGCCATTGATTTTCAGTAATATCTTCAACTTATTTGGCGATATAACAGCTTTTGATGTTTTTGGACATCGGTGCAAAAATAAATAAGAAATGCATGCCGATATCTTTAAACGGACAAAGAGCTGTCACTTAATAATTGAGATGAAAAGCTATTAAACAATCAACAATAGGATTTTATGGAGCACGGATGTAGCATCTTAATTGAAAACAGTAATATGATCATTAAATGGATATTGAATTCAATAAAAAGTAAATACAGTAGATTAACTTAGATGTTCACTTCCATTTGAATTCATTTAAATTACCAGCGCAAAATAGAAGTAGTAATAGATCAATAGTATCTGCTGATTTCTTTTAGAATTATCGCTATCATGATATTATAGTTCGTTAAAGCCATGAAATAGTTTCGTATAACCTTATATTGTATGTTTTGAAGAAGAATTTGAAAGTTGGCAGTGACAGATATTTTACTAACTGCTTTCTCTAGGAGCTTCTTAATAAAATGGAAAATGTCATGTGAAATGACAATCTTACTTTTTATTAAACTGCATACTAAAGCGACCGATAGATACTAATGATGTTGATAACCAGATATCAATAGCAGTCATAATGATAGCAGTTTAGGAGGTTTTATAGCAAGTTAATAACAAGATTTGTACTAGAAAGTGATGTTATTTACATCTTACTCTTACATATAAAGAATCTGATCGGATTATTTGAAACCTACGTTTCATAATAGAATTATTAAAATTTAATCATCCAGCATCTATTAACTGTTATATCAGATATTTATTTGCCGTTATTGCTAATTTCTAATTCTAGAATTGGAAATTTTATTATGATATGACATGACAAACAGCGAATTTATTAACTGTGCAACCGTAATCACTTACTGTAACATAATTAATAGTAAAAATTATTCGATATTCATATACCTGGGAAGCTCAATAAGAATGCAACAAATTTGTATATAATAAACGTTCCTAATTTCTATTTGCTATAATTATAATGAGGTTCCTTCTTGTTCACGTTTGTCCTTTAGCTTAATAAGCAAGACTGAATGAAAATTGATTTGTCATATTAGCCGGGAAACAGCGAGAAAATCGTTAAAATTACTATCTTAAGTGCGGCATAGACCAGAATTAATTTTTTGCAATAATTTCTGATAAGATGATGTGGATAACTTATAGCACTTTTTAAAGTCTTCGAATGCTATTCTTACTATTATAGCCAGTTAAACTGTAATCATCGTAACGAAAACATTTCTGCTACTTGTTTTAGCAGAGACTGGATGGTATGCAATATAATTCGCTAATAATTATAATAGTAGCAAGTAAAATGAGCATTTGGTGCCATCATGATAACATATTTCAAGAAGCTAGTCACTATCTATAAAGTGATTGAAATAGACTATAATTTACATTAGATAAGGTAGACAATTAAGATCTACTTTTTATTGATGTCTTTATTGGCATCTATCATTAATGACTGCATTCATTTTTCTATAACAATAATATATTAAAGAAGTTTGTAATCCCCTACAATCCATGGTTGAGATAGGTTATAGTTTACGTTAAATAAGCTAGATAGTCAAAATCGATTTATCATGATTAGTATCTATGATGATTAAAGGAGTTTAAGATCATCTATGATACGATAATTGAGATAATCTACGGTTGACATTAGATAAGGTAGATAGTCAAGAAAGATCTACTCGAAAATTAGTATCTATAATGATCAAAGGAAATTATAATCATCTACGATATCGTAAGGATAGTTAAAATAGTTTATACGAGTACAGTAATTTATATTAGAAAGTTTGAGTGAATAGCCAACATCGGTTGGTTATTACTGTCTATAGCGATTATATTTGTCATTTAAGATTAATAGATATCGGTGACATTAATTTTTATAACAATAGTACATAATAAAGTTTTCGTGGCATATCCAATTGGATGCTTTATACTTCTTGCAAGAAAAGACTTTAGCTTCCAATAATATTTCGTAGCAATGACCGAGGTCCATATTGGAAAATGGGTAACCTGTAAACTATGTCGAATAGTAGATAATAACGAAGTTTGTTATAACTACCTGTTATTAAAGTAGCCCAAAATGACTTTGTAGATAAATGAAATCTTCAAGAGAAGATCTGGTTGTAATCTGGGTTATAAAAACTTCTTCCATTGCTTTTCATCTACCATCGTCATCGTCAAGTGTTAAGGACACGAATAAGATAAATTATTTAAAAATCTTAGCAAATTTGTTATGATTGATATGTTCTACAGTGAATATATTTGCGTAGGTATATCTGCAAAGATGTGCTGCAAATTATTATAAATTGATAAAAACGAGTAATGCCATATTCAAGCCGGCTTACTAGTGATAACTCCCTCCTTAAATTCTCAAATCTTGAAAGTCATATGAATAAACAGCGATCATGTGCTTCTTTATTGATAGTTTCATTAATTAGGGATATAAGATTTCTAATTTCTCCAAGCATAGGGTGTAATATGGCGCAATAGATGAGAACAATCTATAGCTTGCAGCAAAGAGCTTGGGTTTTATATTTATCCTTTAATTGACGTCGTAAGATTTTACCACTTGCTAACTTAGGGATGAATGTTGTAATTTCTATGCCTCCACGTAATTTTTTATGGGGTGCAACACGAGAAGCAACTTCATCTTGGATTTGCTGGGGTGTTATTGCCGCTATTTTATTAAACGATAGTATAAGAAAGGACTAAGTTAGCTCCTAGCAATCTGTATCTAAGATAGATGGCATAGGATATTGGTGCATTTATTACATATCCAAAATTTATAATCTTACCTTCCTTGTCTTTTAAAATAACATAAGCTCGCGGAATTTCTCCTGCTACAGTATCAGGTATACCAATGACAGCTGCATCGGCAATATAATCAAAACTTTTGAGTAAGGCTTCTAACTCTGCTGGAGCAACCTTTCGAAATTTTTGGCGTTTAAGTTACATCTATCGTTTGTACAGAACTACTGATATTTAAAACTGCTACGGTATAGTTCTTATCTTCAATAGTCTTACCTGATGGCCTTTATATTTAATAAGATCTTTGAGCCTATCAATAATGTAGAAATCCTCATCTTCATCGTAGTAGCCGATATCTCCAGTTTTTAACCATCCTTCGGAATTAATCGTTTCCCTCGTTTGTTGAGGTTTATTTAAATAGCCCACCATAACTTGTGGGCCTTTAATCCATATTTCGCCAGCCACATTGGCTGGCAAAATTTGATGAGTCATTAGATCGACTACCTTCAATGATAAACCATCCAATACGTATGTACAGATTAGATTATCTATTAACTTATTCGTCGAACAAATTACGTGTGACTCGTTGTATATTATAGGAAGTAGTTGAAAGATAAATTATTCTCAATTATTAATGATTATAAGTAGCATCTTGCAAGTAAAATATTTAGAAAGGTATTAAAATCTATCATTAGACTAAATTCTCTGACAATATGGCTGAATTAGAAAAATATATCTTTAATCAAAAGTAGTTACGTTATCTATTCTTACTTTGCAGTATGTACTAGGCATTAATTTTCCAACAGACCCTAATTTTGTATTGGCTTTACAGAAGTGATTAATAATAGTAGTTGGACCTGTTTCCGTCATGCCATATCCTGGAAGGGATAATGTTAGCAATGATATTTGATTTATTATATGAAATATTTATTTAATGCTATAACAGCATTAAATATTTAATCTTTGATCTAAAACTTTAATTTTGGTAAGTAAAAATTTTTGATCATCAAGATTTTAATACTATTAGTACTAAAACGATAAAATAAATTTATTGGACATACCTTGTGTGAATCGGTCTAAATTTAGCTTCATTTTAACCCTTTCCATTAACTGGGTATCGAGTGGAGCAGCACCTGATGTTATGTTTTTTAAGCTGGAAAGATTATATTGATCAACTAATGGTGAATTGAGTAGGAATAATGCCAATGGAGGAACTATAGCTACGCGGGTGACCTATATATTCATATGTATATCATAGAATCGTACATCAAACGCAAAGTAAGGTTTCGTATTGTACTCTAGCGACAATTCTATCGGATGTCAAATGTTCAAAATTAAGGCAGCAGATATGATTAATGCTATTTAGGTTCTAGGCTTGACTATTCAGTCTATAAATATAGAATATTGCGCTTTAAATGACCCTATGGCTAAATTATAATGTACCGTAATAATTCAATTTTTTATACTTTTAGTATTGCTCTAAATGGAATGAATAAAATTATATTGTACTCTATAGATAGTTCTATCGAATATTAAATGTTCGAAATTAAAGCAAGAGATATAATTAATGCTATTTAGATTCTATGCTTGATAATTCAGAGTATTAATATATAAATACTGCGCTTCAAACTATCCTACGTCTAAATTATTATAATAATAACTTGATTTTTTATAATTTTAATATTGCTCTAAATGGAATGGATGAAATATATGTTAATAAAATTAAGCCGAAATTATAGTGTACGTAATAATTGGATTTTTAAACCTTTAATATTCCTTTAAATGGAACGACTAAAATAGACATATACATCACCTGAAATTTCTCAATAGCCGCTAGGAAAGAGTGGGGTTGAAAACGCGGTAAGATAACAACTCGAGATCCACTAGAAAGGGATAGCGAAAGGATGGAGCACATGCCCAAGATATGATAGAATGGTAAGACGCAAAGAACACTTGGATCGACATCATCAGCTGATCTCATGCCACGATAAGTATATTGAGTCAAGTTAGCAACCAAATTGTAGTGGGTTAACATAACACCTTTAGGAAGACCGGTTGTGCCACTAGAGTATGGAATAATGCAAAGATGTGATTTAGGTTTAATAACAACCAGAGTTGGAAATTGATTGCCGCTATCCCTATGATAAGAAGATAATAATATTAGAAATGAAGTATTTTGAATAACATGAGTGATAAGCAACTCATGACCAACATTTTATACAATACGAAGAATAATTCTATTGTTAAGATTAGAATATGATAACAATCTAACTTAGTACTGATAATGGTTAGAGGTTAATAATCGAATTAGCAAAAGATTTAGTATTCAAGGTAGGTTATTCAAGGAGAGTTTGAGTTATTCTTACCTAATTAGAGATGAATACGGAATATAACCTTCAGCATGGCCAAATATAAATTTATGCCTAAACGGATGATTGGTTTTATTAACTTTAGAGGCCGCACATTCTGAGACGATAACATACTTCGCATTAGCGTCTTCCAATTGATATTTTAATTCTTCAGGCGTAAATAAGGGACTACATGTTGTCACGATACCACCTAGAGCAATAACTGCAAAGAAAATGATGGACCAATCTAACGAATTTAAACTAACTATAGACATAATATCACCGGATTGAAATCCTAATCGAGTTAACGCTGATGCACATCGTTGGATCATTTGCTTAAGTTGGCCGTAAGTATAAGTTTCTCCGGTAATTCCATCAGTCTATTGTTCAGTCGAAAAGAACATTAAGTTAATATTATCATGCTATAATAGTTGAAATAATATTTGGGTTTCTCAGTCAGGAGTATATAATTTACGAAGAGTTTGTCTTTCGTAGCGAAGAGTGAATATTGTCTAAATAAGTAAAGCTGATTGTGTTGGATACTAGCAAATTTACTTTTAACATCATTTCTATACGTTTGGTTTGGCCGAATGTAAATCCTAAATTAACTTATTCGTGTAAGCAATTATAGATATTCAGTATTTTATGAATTAAATTAAGTATATAATATAGATTTTGTAGATAGATTGGAAGAATCTTGAGGTATTTAAATTATGGTGATAGATAATCGATAAAACAGATGCTGATCACTTGATATTAAAATCAAAAATTAAATACTAATGACTTAAAGTAGTATTTTCCAGTATTTGTCATGATTCTACTTGCAGTAGGTCTTAAAAAATGCATACTTCGTAGGAATTAATTTTCAGTGCATATGTTAAAGAAATTACGTATCTTAAGTTTATCTTCTGCTAATGAAAATATTGATTCTTGTACTAGTATTCTGTTCGAGTTTATCATCTTTTATAATTAACCTTAATGATAAAATGTAAATAAATGTTTATTCTTCATTTTAAATATAGTCCACATTCTATATGTTGATTCATATAAAGATATGAACAATATTATCATATTGTGTACAATAATCGCGTGATGAGCTTAAATAAGTTGTAGTAAGTCCGTCAAATTGAAGCCTTTTTCTAGTAAATTGTTCGTAATTATTTTATTGAGATAGTAGCCTATTTAATTTAACTGCTACAGCACATATACGAACTATTATTATAAGTGAGTAAAGAAATTGCTGCGAAACTCGAGTATGCGAACGATGATGTCCAATAGTATGTTAAAATATATTACAAATCAGTAATTACTAAAGAGGACTATAAAATTTACTATTAAGATAGAAGATGAAGAGGTTAATTATCGTAAACAGGTAGCATCGATATACGATGGTTACTAATTTTAGCTATAGCGAAGTATAGAGTCTACAGATGAGATTATACAAGAAGTGATTATTTATACGCCAATGTTTATATTAATACATTTTGGAGATTTATCATAGCTACAGCAGACTAAAGTTCAAGATATGAGATCGTGTATAAAAAGATTAATTATACGTAACTAGAGGTATGAGATCGACTACTGGTAATACTAACAACAAGGTTTTCTCCATTTTGCTAGTGGAATATCACCATCTTTATCAATTTTAATGAATGACTTTATTTAAAGTCCACAATAATGTGTATAATTAACAAAAATAGCAGGTAGAATGGAACTCTGCATCAAATTATCTAACTTCAATAAGTTTTACCAGACAATTGTCGATTGAATTGAGATAAATTAGTTTTAGTAATTACAATTACTGCTGCCGCCTGAAGAAATGTTTGGTAGTTAATTACTGTAGTAGCTTATACAAATATGTGAATACTGGGGATAAATAATAGACCACATTTTAATCCTGTAAATAAGTTATTAACTTGATTGACAAATTTTTACTTTTATCATTTTCTATTTAATACGTGGAAAAAGACGAAGATCGTCTATGTGCCCACAGTTGATCTAATTGATTACTAGTATCTGATTTTACGTTAAAAATGGCTGGCTAAATTAACGCAGAATCAGTGTTGTCTGATTATTGATGACAGTAAACTATCCCGTTGGATAAGTTTTACGACATTCTTGATGAAAACATCTGCCATATGAGAAATGGTCTACAGAACTTATATCTAGAGCAGCTATCCAAATATGATTTCGAATTTAAACTAATTCATTACTGCATTACAGATGGATTGCAAACTTGCTTAAGTATCTTTTTATGTTATTTAACTATAAAGCCAATCTTTATTTTAGTACTTTGAGGCTGAGACAATAACAAAATTATCTAAATACAGTACAGGCATTGCTTAAGACCATTATATACGTAGACTATATGCATAACTCAGTTAGTCTCATTCATAATTTAGGGTGATAAAAGATGCCCATTTTGTACGAAATGGCTCTTAAATGATAATAATCAGCGGAATAAAAATAGTCTCAATCTAAGCTATTATAGTCTGACTATGATTATACTGTACATTAAAATCGGGGTAGGGCAGCGCTGCCACTACTGTCTTTATTCTTGTAAATAGATCCACATGATTACCAGAGTTATTTTTATAAAATAAGGATTCGTGTAAAATTACAACATGTAATCACGGAGTTTTAAGTAATTCAGAAACAGTAGGGGAAAATTGTTAAAGCAACTCAATATCGGAAAACTTCGTTAGATTCTAAAAGTAACCCATAATAAAGATAAGACAGTATTAAAAATTTACATTGGAATAACTATACATTTACGCCAAGCATTACGCGCAGGAAACTCTACTAGTACATAATGATCAGTGATGGGCTGCTCTTTTGATACTGGTTGGGTTGATACATTTAAAGCGACCAATTGATTGATCGTATTTGAATTAGACATATTGTAATTATATGTAAAGTCGTTTTATAAATACTCAAGCATATGCTAGTCTAGATCAATATTTATATACTCATATTTCAGATCACTAAAAATTTTATGTCTACAATAGCACATAATTTACAATAAAATTATTCTTCAGGCTATAGACTATGTTAATGTATGAAATTATTATGCATTAAGTAGTGTTCGGTAGTAATAGCGTACAAAATCATTCTATAGTCATTACAAGGAATGCTGCTTGAAAAATAAGAGAGTAAAGGTTGATATGCCCTAACTCTTACTTTATCTAAGTATTGATAGATCAGGAGATTTATACAAGCGACATAACTTTCAAAAAGTTTAATAAGAAATAGGTACAAGAAATGATCAATATTGCGATCAATATCACGCTCATCGATTTATGAATATAATATTATGGAAAGGAAATTGATTAAAAGTAATTTACGATTACATCGTTTGAATGTATTTGATCGTGTGAAAATTATTTCAAAGTATGATATCATTATTTTTTTCTATCACAAGGTTGATTTATTAGTATGAATTTATGCTATATCATGTACAGTGTAATAATTGTATTGTAATGGAGTCAACATACCAATGCTGGTTTGCTTGCATTAATGTCAAATCGACGTGAAACAAAATCATAGAATGACATGTTATCAGGAATATGAATATCGCCATATTTGCTGCGTAAAGCTGCCATGATGAAGTCTAGCTTTAGAAAGATCAAATGCTTAAATTAAAGATTGTGTCTGCTAACCCAACTATTTAAGAGATGAGACAGTTTTGTAAATACTGCTCCCTGCTGCGTGATAATTTTAATGCAGCCGGCAGATTGTTCTATGAATACAAATCGACGGCATTGCTAGCCGACGACCAATTATTAATGATCTCAGTCTATGGAATGATATCTTAAGCTGACTAATAGGTGCATCTTTTGAATCTATTACAGTTTCCTCTTTAAATGATATTGTCTCCCTTTTTTATGAATTAATGATTTGCGTAGGGAAAATGGCGTCTAACGAGCTATCATAAACTGTGTTGTACTCAGTTACATCGATTATTAAGCGCAAATGAATGTTGGATGATGAAAAGTACTTTGATTAATAAGATAAAGCTATTCCTTTGAACTTTTTCCGATAGTTTGGTAATGCTCTTCCATTAAATTGTATGATTCTTGAAAATGGTTCGATTTCATCCTTAAGCCAATTAGTGTATGCCGTCATAATAACTGCTTAAATAAATATTAAAACAGATTTATGGACTATATGCGTATTACAAATATCGCCAACTTATTTAAATCATTCAGTTAGTGTATCTAGTTAAATAACATGTTTAGTAGTTAGAATAATGAACAACCAATAGCATATAGTCTTCAAAGAGCTCCTATGGTTAATAGACGTCATCATTTAATCACTATCAGTCAATTAACTATACAATTGCTTTTATATTTTTCAAATAGGCTTCGTCTGTTGACAAAATAATTATATGCATAGAATCAAGTCATGAAATTAATTCATGAAAATAAATAGAAATTCTAACAAATACTGTGTAATATTATATTCTAGAGTCATGTTCTGTTGATAGCTATTTCAGTAGAATCCTATTAACACTTCATTTGGACAATCAATCATACGTTTTTCGCATATTACTATTATGTGCAATCTATTAGCTTATAAAATTAGATAGAAGTTTTAAAATTGCGTTATTTTTTAATCTAAGGCAGATTAGAAGTAAATCATTCATGGAAGTAATTACTGATTTCAATGAATACTTTGTAATATTGTATTCTAAAGTTATGTTTATTGATAGTTAGTCCAGTGCATTCGGTTGAACTTTAATTTAGACAATACGTGGCACATTGCTTGTATTTAGCTATTGTCAACAATATTATAAAAAATCGAAAAGCAGTCGTAAAATGATGTTATTATTTTTAATTCAGAATGAGTTATTATCCCTTTTCATTAAAATAGTAGACATGAGTTCATTTCTTAGTGCAGTTATTTTGTCCAACCACAGATTAATAAAAATCGAGTTAAATTACATATAATTACTATTTTTAATATATATATATAAACAATACTAAAGGAGATGTAATCGTTAGATAGAAATTATAATGAATGGAGTAAAAGTGGACATCGAATGATTAACGTCGACTGTACAATAAGCATAATATACTTAATTAGCAGTTAATGTATTTTGACATTATTTTTTAAGATACAAACTTTATCTTGAATTTATTTATAGTTGTTTCTAATTTCGGCATGAGATCATTTCAATTCTTAGTTTGTACCAGGAACTACATGAGTAAAAATTCTCTGCACTTTCCGAAAAAAATTTACCGTCTCCCTGTAAAAAGAATACTGGTAATTTTTACTTGAGTAGTTCCTGGTCGTACTAATACTATAGATATTTTTACTCGTGGATGCAGTACATAGATACCTTATAGGTAGTTAATGAAGTTATTTACTTTTTAATAATTTAAACATCCTGTAATTAATATTTGAACAGCTAGACTGTTGTAATAGCAACTGCAACGGGGAAGCAAGTGATAATTCTGTTGTTTGTTTTCAATCAGCTATTGGGTCATATTACGTTATTGAGATAATACTTGTAGCGTGGCATTAGCCATGGCAGAATTTAACTTTAGCAAAAGTAAGCTATATTTCTATCGTTGATTTATCAAAAATAAATTGTTATCGTAAGTTAATTGTTACAACTCAAATTTAGCAACGGCCATGCAGTATTTCTTACGATTGAAACATTGGTACTTATTCAATTTCACAATTACCGTTTATTGTTAGGATAGAACAGGTAAAAAAATCATATTAAGTAATTCGACATCTGGTACGTTATTATAATTACTGCAGGCTATGCTATGCCATGGCGCAATAATTTATGTTTCCTATTGATATGGACTTGATCTATATCACTTAATGAAAAATGAACTGCATCATAAAGAAAGATTATAGATTAATATTCACCATTGAAATAATAATTAATTTAGCCTAGTGCGGATGAACAGTGCCTTACGTACCGAGAGTGAATAAAAATCAAATTCAACCAAGATTAATAAATCAAATAACTACCATAAAATGATCAGCCGTTATAATATAATAACATTATTTTATTAGCGTAGGAATCAACATGTACCGGCGATTATTACTAAGGCAACGAGAAAGTTTCTAGATGCACCAATCCTGGTAGTTTGTAAAAGAAACCGGACATAGTTTATAATTTACTCTTGGCTATTGATTTCTTATATTGATCTCGAATTAGGCGTCTCAAAATTTTACCGCTAGCAGATTTAGGTATCTCGGTAACAATTGCAATGCCACCTCTTAACCTCTTATGCGGAGCTACCTTAGAAGTTACGTATTCTTGAATTTTTTCGGTTGTAATCTTGCCTATAAAGTATTTATATATATACGCATAATTAATGACAAATAAACTATTACGGAAAGAGTATGGTACTATCAAAACATAAGCAAGTAAATTATATTAACCATTTATAATTTATTTACTCTTAAAACATGATATGTATAATACTTATAGACCCAGATAAGTTCGGAATATAAATAACTAATTAAAGTTATTAAAATAGTAATTATTTAAATCTTTACTTTCGCTCGTTTCCTTCTAAACATGACACATTGTAAACTATATAATAGCATTTATTTAATTAATGGTTAATTACAAACCATTTCCCGAATCCTTTAAGATAATATATGCTCTAGGAATTTCTCCAGCTCGTTCGTCAGGAATACCAATTATAGCGGCATCGGAAATATCTGGATGAGATTTTAGTAATGATTCCAATTCTGCAGGTGCTACCTGAAAAGATAACCGATAAAACAATCTTGCTAAGAAATTTTAATCTGCGCTACGAAATGAATGCTTAATACACAAATATAGTAATATAATTCACTACTATAGGCAATTTTTACTAAAGTGAGATAGATCACATACTTGATATCCTTTATATTTTATTAATTCCTTTATTCGATCAACGATATAACATATTCCATTTTCATCATAGTAACCAACATCTCCAGTATGTAGCCAACCGTCTTTATCGATGGTTTCCGCAGTCGCCTTGGGTCGGTTTAAATAACCTAACATTACTTGTGGCCCCTTAACTAATATTTCGCCTGGTACATTAGGGGGAAGAACTTTACCCGAATCAGGATCAATAAACTATTCCGTAGATATAAAGAATTTGTGTATTACGTCAATGATTTAATAATTTTGCATCATTCTTTAATTAAACTAGAGTTAGAATTATAGTCAAAGTTTATGCAGGGTTACGGTAGCCTTAGATATTTATTATAAAAAAATGCGTTAGTTTATGTTCAATCTTAATTTATGCAAAATTAACATTTATAATAGGAAAAGAGAACATTTGTTGCAAATTTATACTTACTTTGCATTGTGTATTTGGTACGGGCCTACCGACGGAGCCCAAATTATGATTTTCATCAGGTGAAACCAGTGTAATGGTCGGACTTGCTTCCGTCATGCCGTATCCTTGATGTATAATTTATTTTAAAGATGTATACGTTTAAATATTAAGACTAGATGAATGTTATAATTTGATACGGTTATAACAATCAACACTACAAATAACTTTATATATTAAGTATTAAAGTATTTTCCTGCAAGAATTTTATTTTTTAATGTTTAATTCAACGTGAAATTAAATTCCTTTACTGACCTTGAACAAAACGTTTCACTTTCATCTTTCTTAAAAATTGTTGCATAACTTCATCTCCAAGAGGTGCTGCACCAGATCCAGCATCTTCAAGGCTAGATAAATCATATTTATCGACCAATGGGGACTTTAAGAGGAAAAGAGCTAGTGGAGGTACTAGGCTTAGTCGTGCTACCTGCAGTATACATACAAACATAAAGTTGGAGGAATACAGTATATGAGGTTACTTTCAATGTACAATTGCAAGTCTACTGTAATTCTTTTAAGTAGTTTTGTGATTATCTAATCGTCACATTTTCACTTCTGCGACAAGGTAACGTACAGTAAAAGTCTATAAGTAGCTACTAACTTAAACGCCCTTTTACTTAACGTTAAACACACAGCAAAAGACTATAAAGATGAAACTTTTATTAGCAAAGATACATCGACAACTTTTTACCATCACTGAACTCAAATGTTCCCGTTTATATAGGAACCGCCTAATTCGTAAACAACAACAATATTATTGTTATACCTTACTAGGAGAAACATCTCGAACTGAGATGTTCCTTACATAGCTTTTTCTATCAGTAAATGTTTTGAATCTTTTACTGATACTTAATCTTAATCTAAGCTCGCAGGTTGTCTAATTTAACTATCATCAACTAGAGCTTGAATCATCTTACTGCTATCTGTCGCACAATAACAATCAATATGAAGTATGTAATGAACTATTACAAACAACATCCACGTTAAGGCATTACTTATCTTACCTAGCACTACAAATATGGATATTCTCCATACTAGCTACTACTGTACTTAGTAAACTATCCTAATGACAAAGCGACACCGTAACACTTATTAAAAGACTAAAGTTTACAGTAGACTACTGCATCGTTACCGGTATCTATACTTCTCGAGTTGTTTGAAATTTCGAAAACAATTGCATGTATTCTACTGTAATTTATTTTAATAGTTTACAGATTTAAATAAAAGATATTTTCCTTTACCTTATACTTTTCAATTGTTCGTAAAAATGATTTAGGTTCAAAGCCAGGTAGAGTGACACAGTGATTTCCATAACGTAAGCAACTTGACATTATAACGACCATTCCATAGATGTGATAAAATGGTAATACTGCCAATGAGCAATTATTTTTTCTGTTTCGTATTCTCACAGGTCGTGTTTGTTCCAGATTAGCAACTAAATTGTAATGAGATATCATGACACCTTTGGAAACACCGGTAGTACCACTTGAATATGGCAAAACGCAAATGTCAGTCTTGCTATTAATCTTAACAAATGAAGGAAACCTGCTGCCATCGTCTCTGTAGTACAAATAATATGATTGAAAGTATATGTCCTTTTAGTTATCAATTATAGAAACAATTATGCTGTATTTAGTTTGTTAATAGCTTCTAAAGAGTCATAAATGAATAGTACAAGCACGTACAGTACTGTGCATAGGTTTCGACGATATAAGTAACTTAAAGTTAGATTGTATAGCAGCTTATATACTCGTAAAGTAAGATATTACAAGCATTAAATGTCAAAATCTGAATGATAGTGTCTGCTCAAGTAATTAGCTACTTGATAGTCAGGAAGATGTACCGGTAAGACTCGTATATGTTATTAATCTTATTACAAGAGATATTTACAGTGTAATAATTACATTTAGAGGCGGATGGCCGTACATGCATGCACATGTAGGCTGCAAATTTGATTTCATCTCTCGTAAAAATTCGGTATCAACAAGTAGCCATAGTGAGATAGGCTAACATTAGTCATGTAGAGGTCTATTGGTGTTATTTCCAACTTACCTGATTAATTCGGAATATGAGGTATAGCCATCAGCATCACCGATGATAAATCTTTCTCTGACTTTATACCTCATTTTGCTGACCGTACGTACGGATGATTTTGCTGCGACTAAATAAACTGCTCCTGCATTACTTAGTTGTGAAGATAGTTCTGTCTCCTTATATCCATGATTGCACGTAGTAATGATGCCACCTACTGATATGACTGCAAAAAATAGAACTGGCCATTCGATGCAGTTTGGGGAAATTATAGCAACAACTTCGCCTTTCTTTAGCCCTCGCTTGACTAAAGCTGACGCTACACGTTTAATAGCATCGTCTAACTGATGGAAGGTATAACTAGCGCCAGTAATGCCATCCGTCTGAGAAGAATAAAAAGAGTTTTCATATAAAGTTAGTTGATCAACACGGTTGTATTTGTAGTCGTTCAGTTAATTCTATATATACCATCAAGGAAGTTATGGTTTATCATTAAGGTGACAATATAATCAATTTAAGTATTATCTATATCTTTGTAGTGATAAGAACGTCCATTTTTTAATAAGGTTGTCTTATAGCATTTATATAGCGAATGCAAATTATTAGTTCTATATTAATTATAATTAACGGATTACCATAGCTGGTTTATTGCCGAAATTCTTGAAATTACCAGTGACATATTCAAAAAATGAAACATTGTCTGGAATATGGACATCAGGATATGGGCTACGAACAGAAGTCATATTTCTAAGACGGCTTGCAATATTCGGTTCTGATATTTAAGAGGAGGAAGTAGATCAACTTTAATAGCCAAAATGAATACGCATAGATTGAAATTACTAAATGAGTTCTCTCGTGCTACTGCTGCAGTTGATTACGTTGTTGATATTTATGCCAGAGTTATCTTGGACTTTTGACTGATCACCAGACTACAGCTACTAGGTGTAATCAAGTGTACGAAGTTTACTAAATTATGCAGTAAATGATAATAATCCTTTTAGCTATGTAAGTGTTTGTGAGCTTATGTTTGTATCCTTGTCTCTACTGTACGTTTAGGTACCAGCCCCACTCGACCTCTAACCCCCGAAGTTATACATATAAGTTTGTATGAAAATACGGTAAAATTACCAATTTATACTTAGTAAATTTGCCATAACATACAGTATATGCAGTACTAATGAGTGAGTGATTAATTAATTATATATTATGATTGAAAATTCATCTATTGAAACTGTCTGCTACTGAAACTTGAGCAATCCTACATTGAATTAATATAGGTAGCTATTCCTATTTTAGGACATTTTGGTAAGTGTCTCTCCGCATTTGAGTAACTGTCTGTCTGTATAGTCTGCAGCAGCTAATTTTCGGACTCATTAGTAGTAATAGTACTTTTCAGACTTTGCATAACGCAATTACTGTAATTTTTAGCCTTGTCAAGTACACATTGATTTCGTTTCTATTGATTTATAGCAAATAGTTGCAACTTGAGAAGCAATATATAGTAATTTAATACAGCATGGAGCAGAAAAATTGCAAAAATTTAGGTACGCGAGTTCTAGTGGAATGAAATTACTATAGTGTGTGCTAATGGTAATGCATGGTAGCAAGCTTTTGGCGCTTGAGCTTGCAGTAATAGAAAATAGACTAATTATCATTTTCTTTCAATAGCTATAATAGAAAATCCTAATATCACTTAGTTTAAGTTAGCAATTTCTTTATTATATAGTTATTCTCAATGGTTTTATCAAATGTATCTAAAATAACCTCGATTATGCTAGCACGAAATTATTATAAACACATTTTCCTTCTATAAAGCTTAAATTAAGGGAAATTTAAGTTTCATCAGTTCATGATAACCAGTATAGGAAATAAAGAATTTATATCTCATTTACCTGGATTCAACACATATAATAACGATAATAAAAGCAGCCATTTATAACAGAATAGCTTGGCAAATACTTATATCTATTTTAAGAATAACATATTAGGATAATATATGACCTATAACAGACATATTTTAGCAGACTAAGCTGATAGATAAATTATCGTTTTTATTATACTAATTCACTATTTAACGTGGATTAGCAAGGAGGTTAATTATAGAAAACATTCTGATGATATGTCGTTAAGATGCCAGTGGTTTCCGTGTCGGAAAGCGGTCGATATGAAAGTAGCCAAAGCTTCTCGGTAAAGATAACTAAAACGACAACAAATGACTCCTTTAGTTTGCGGTAGTATGTAGGGGGCTATTAGTATCATTAATGTATTAAGATAAAAAATTATTGAATTTTCGGATATCAACTAACCGGTTTGGCCAGGATTTAAAGTTACTTTCTGTTTTTTGCATATCTTACCACATGCTTCATGTGGTTCTAATTCTATTTCACCTTTACCAGTGATCTAAAATAATCGATATTAAGTTTAATGAATAACGAATTAATATAGTCTGGCTTTATGTTGAACTAAATGATGGTATTGAAGTGTCAATGAAAAGTTGATCGAGGCAATACGATTTGTTACCTGCGTAAATAAGATGCCCGTCGTTCTAAATTCATCCTATAGGTATAAGATATTTATGTATAACCTTTATTCTGGTGTAAATATTACTGGACGCTACTTAATGATCAGGTTTATTTTGAACCAGGATATAAATAATAATAATGATTATTGCTATTAAATGCGAACTTACGAATAGTATTGGTTGATCTTGATTCTTGCCCTTGGATACAAGTACCCAATTCGTAGAGGAGCCTTCGCACGACATAGGCAAAATTTCAATGCGGCTATGGAAAGCTCGAAGAGCTTTTGTTGGTGGTCCCTCACAGTTCTCCCTATAAAAGTAGAAATATTTGGTTACATAACCTCATCATTTAAAAATTTCGACGTTCGTATGATTATCCATATTGAGTCTTGAATACTGTAGTTTATCTGATTTGAGACGATAATTCTAGGACTGTAGTAAAATGTGCAACAGTTAACTCAAATGATCTCTTATTAATACAATTTTGATATAATTGCTATTAGTAGGAAAGCTTTATAATAAAATTTTCAAATAAGATCATGTAACATTTTTCTTATCAAGCGATATTAAGCATTCCAGTTACTTCAATCTATATTAGTGATTGGTTGATATCGTTAACACACAAAGACTTTGCGCTCTATTAACGATTATTAATTATTTAATTCTATTAGTCAATTCTATTGCGAATAATCATCATAGGATTTGATTGATAAGCATAAACTTGATTAGGTTAATGAAGTACATTTTCAACATATAGCAATCTTTATTATTACAACAATTACTACATCATAATTTACATACCAGACAGCGTCGGCGTATTCATTTTGGTCTATTGCAACCCATACATCGTCTAGCGATTTAATGCTTTCATCTGAACTTCGAAAGGAACATGGTTTGACATCTTTCAAGGCAGAGTTGTTGTTATAAAGCTGTTCGGAAAGAGAATATGTTTTACATTGAAGAAGTACTTATAACATCGACGTGATAAAAAATAGATTTATTTGCATAGAGCGGACTGCTATTAACTATCGACATAACGACGAAGTAACTAAGCAACCTCGCGGATAAACTGAACGGAGAATTTTTCATTTGCTGGCCAATCCTTGGTGACATCAACTACGACAACCGGTCTGTCTTTGGTTAAAAAGTACTTGTTTAATGATTTGGTAGTGATATTACGGACTTTTTTCACCGAGTACTTTTTGCATACTGCACAGTCCGCTTCCGTTATCGCATCTCCTTCGTTAACAAAGCTTGGATTGGCTACAAGGCAGTCGTTATCATACAGCTTTGTCCAGTCCCAATAGCTTAGAATCTGGTCGGACATAGAAAACAGTAAAGAGTTATTGTTTAGGAACAGGAACAAGGTATATTATCATTATTTTTTTGTAGTACTATACAGTACAATCTATGGTCACAAAGAGGTTTCAAGAATCTACTAAGTTCCTTACTTCACGCGAAAGAAAATACATTTAAGTTACAGTGATTTTTACGTATAGTAATCTAGGATGATTCGATATTTAATATAACTATTCTTTCAGCATTAATTTACTGATACTTAAAATGGTATATTAACAGTATTTTTTACTCCTGTTATTTTTGTACTACAAATTATATCGCAAAGAGGTTTCAAGAATGTATGAAGTTGCTCATTTCAGAGGCGAAAAAGTTCTTTTGAGTTACAATGATTTAGACAGTGATGTATCATGATTGGATATTTTATACAGTATTTCTTTCATTAATTTACCGATATTTGAGCTTTACGAGCCCAGAAATGACAAGATTTCTGAATATGTGGTTGCTTGTAGGCAATACTACAAATAGCAACTATGATAGCGAGATAAACCAGGAATCGAAAACGCCCCTTCATTTTCTGACTCCATAACAAATCTTGAAGGGGTTTCGCACTTGAACTTAAGTCGTTCTTCGATAGTCCTAAGTTATTACAATAATCTTGTAATGCTTTAATTTCATCATTGATCAATTTGATTTTTTCCACTTGTGACAACTTTAATTCAGCTTGAGTAACATCTTTAATGGTAAGCGCATCCTTAGGTACGTGACCAGCCATGATGAATTAATGCCTTCCAATTTTCGAATACAATGCCAATGTCCTCTTATAGTATTCCAACTGTTTTAATACACGTTAGCATTGAATGCTCTTGCTATGCAATTCAATTAACAATGCGCGATTTCCTCAAACAGTTGCTAAACTGTGTCTATGTACCTTATATACGTTGACATCGTTAGCGTGATATATAGTGAATGTTATTCCAATCTAAGTAGCGATATATTGTAATGCTAACAAGTGTCTACGCCATTGATTTCAATAATAATAACAGAATATACGCAAGTCAATAAATTACCATAGTAACAATGACTATTCCCCAGACAAATGGCTACACTTGCTTTCAATTAAAGCAATCAACTTACTGTATCTTCCATAAGAAATAATAGTGACAAATTAATTATAGTTATCATTCAATGAGCTACATCAGTAATACACGTTCTATGTATACAATGTATAACTGTATTACTCTCGTTTCTTGACAGCGTTAAAAGAAATTGTTTTGCCGCAACATTCTCTGTTTTCTAATCCATCCTCCAGTGATTGCTATTGTTTCCTGATTGATCGATTTGAATTGTTTTGATACTATTCTATACTATAAAGTTGATTAGTGAGAAATTAGTTTTAATAAATAGAGAACTATACTGAGGAGTCCATTTTATTATTATTATTCATTTTTGGGGGCGACGCTGTCATAACTATCTAAGCCATTTATTATATTTATTCAAGTTAGACATATAGAAGCGTAGTGGACGTGATAGTCATGTTGCATTCTGGCATTAATAACTGATGATTTGAAGAGAAAGTGGAGGCCTTCCATCAGTCTATCTAAAATTGTCTCTTACTATTTTTTTCTACTTTTTTTAGAAATGCTCGCGATCTCGTAGTTCTCGAAGTACAGAACATGATCTCAAAATCGTCGAAACTTCTAAGTATAGTCATTAGAGAGTTGCAGCATTTGTTAGTGATCACGTACAAATCGGTGAAAAACAGCTTATATGGTTTATTGTGCATACTAATATAAGCCGTTTCAGCGATTTGTGCAGTGCATGATAACTAATAAATGCTGATATGCCCCAACTGTCATGGACTACTCGAAAGAAAGAGTACTGTGGTTCCTGCTAGAGACTTTGAAAATAGTGCCACCAAGGACTATTACAGCTTTCCTTCCTTTCTACAATACAGTACAGTACTGTCCATTGTCCAATGGAGTCTCAACGGGAGTGTCCACTGTCCAAGATGTCCAATGTCCATGGACTACTAGAGAAGACCTGAACTGATCACTCCCTCGGACAGACGGACTTCTCATATGGATTAGGCCGTAAACATCGAATAATGATGTACACACAGTACACAGTACTGTACTGTACAGTGTACAGTACTGTACAGTACACACTGTACAGTGTACAGTACACTTTAAATTTTACGATCTTATGTGACTGTTTCCAAGCAGAACTTAGGAATGGATAATAAGATTCAACCACAGAGTTAAGCGTTTTTTTCTTAACTGTATGAATTCAACATAATATTCTTAATTTAAAAAAAATCAGTGAATGTAAAAATCGACCATCTTCATACTAAAGTAGTGTCATAACGAAGTATTTGAAACAATATTTTGTCAAGATGAGGCCGAAAAGGTCTGTCCGTCCAAGAGTGATCAGTCAAGTCCTGTAGTCCATAGTCCAGACTAGTGTATTGTAACCCCAATGACATAGGCATACTGTACTGTACTGTACTGTACTGTAATTGAAAAACCCCAAAAGCAAAGGCTTCTCACGGGTAAGTACTAAGTACTGTACCTTACAGTACTTGTCCTACAGTACTATACACTGTACATCACGTTCTGTGCTTTGCGGCGAACATTTTTTTGGTACTGTACTTGTAGAAAAGGAAATAATTTATATACTGTACAGTACAGTATATACACTGTAGAGTACACGACACTACTGTACTGTACTGTACAGTACAGTACAGTATGCTCTAATACTGTATGTCACAATGTACTGTATTTTAAAATCATTTTTTTATGAAGGAGATTGATCATGAATATTTCTAGTTTGATTGAGTGCAGCTGGATAGTGCCATCAGCACTGCGTACTCTGTCGAGACGATCGAGACCGGCTGTCATAATCATCAAATTATATTAATGCGATTAATGCGATTGTACTGTACGAGTGTACGTGTATCACACTATTATAAATGAATATAATTATTAACTTTAAAGTTAAAATACTCCATGTATAATGTACAGTGCAATATTCCGTGGAATTTTCACGGAATTCGCTAGTAAAATATTAATTAATATTTTTATTATTATTATTATTTGAGACTTGTTTTGACTTTGTACCGTACAGTATGCAGTCTACAGTACTAGCAATGATGTCCGATTTCTGGAGTCACCATACTGCACTGTAGTTACAGTGTGGTGTAGTGAGTGAGTGTATCCCCTGCTGTTTTCTCTTCCTGATGAGGCGATGTTCTTGGTGAAATCGGCCATTCCAAAAATATCGCTGCACTCGAGGGACTTTTACCTGAATAGATACCTGCAATGAGGTCAGGGGATTTGGGATTTCGTTTACCTCTACGTGCACTGTTCCTAGGAACGCCTCAAGATAAAATTGTAAATTTTATCCCCAAAAGGCAAGAACTGGCCCACCGTAGGTACACTAGTCCAGCACTAAAGCTACAGACTGGTCTACATTCTACTGACGGCAGTGAACTCAGACAGCGTGTGTGCGCAAGGTCAAGGGCTTATATAAATTTCCATTGACAGTACAGTACACTATACCATACTGTACACTTTAAGTGTAAAGTGTTCAGTATGAATGTAGTACAGTAGTGCCATGAGCTAGCCAATTACCAGCAGTCCATGTGATACCGGGTGGACTAGACTGGTGGTACGCATGTGCAATACTTTTATACTGACTGACTACTACAGCATACAGTATTATAAAACAGAACTCGACACGTTAGCAGGTACCTGTTATTACCCAACGCGTCAACGGGAGTGGACTGCAATTGCAAAGGCTTTCAACAAGCTCTTTCCTTTTGGCTAGCATATGACTAGGTATTTCTAATTCTTCTTCCCTTTCCATTGACTTTATTCCATTAGAAATGGCTAATTCAGATATCCCAGAAGGAGTACTTTTTGGTATGGGTAACCCATTACTTGATATTTCCGCTCCTGTTGATAAGAGCTTTCTACAAGCGTACAACTTGGAAGCCAATAATGCCATTTTGGCAGGTGAGGAACACTTGCCTTTATTTGATCAAATGATGCAAAAATATCAATGCGATTTTATTGCTGGTGGTGCTACGCAAAATTCAATTCGTACAGCCCAGTGGTTATTACGTCAGCCGCAAGTCACCACATACATTGGTTGTATTGGTAAGGATAAATTCGCTGATCTGTTAATTAATGCCGCTACCAATGAAGGCTTGAGAGTCAATTACATGCAGACATCGGAACAACCAACTGGAACTTGTGCTGTCTTGCTGACCGACAAGCATCGTTCCTTAGTCGCCAACTTGGGTGCCGCAGAACATTACAAGGAAGAGCATTTATTAAAAGAAGAAAATTGGCGTTGGGTAGAAAAAGCCAAAATTTACTATTCTTCAGGTTATTTCTTAAAGGTTTCACCCTCCTCCATGATGACTGTCGCTAAGCACAGCCACGACAATGGAAAAATTTTCGCAACCAATATTTCCGCACCTTATCTAATTACCTTAGTCAAGGACGACATGATGCGAATTTTCCCTTATATCGATATTTTATTCGGTAATGAAACTGAATTTGATGTTTTTGCTAAAGAGCATTCGTTTGGAACCTCTGATTTGAAAGAAATTGGTAAGAAAATAGCAGCTATGCCCAAGGTGAATCCCAAGTATCCTCGTATCGTGATCATTACTCAAAGTCAAGATCCAGTTATTGTAGTTCGCGACGGTGAATGTATGGAGTTTCCTGTACCACCACTCAACCAAGATGACATTGTAGACAGTAATGGAGCAGGAGATGCTTTCGCCGGTGGTTATTTGAGCCAATTGGTCCAAGGTAAACCTATAACTGAATGTGTTCGTTGTGGAATTTATGCTGCACGTGTCATTCTACAAAGATCTGGTATAACCTTCCCAGCTGAACATGACTATCAATAAAGAAATGTTATATGCATGGTAAAACAACTTTGACCGTGTGTTTTCGTTTGCCTACTGCTTGACTGGCTATCTGTGTAGCAGATATAACAGATTAATATAATTAGACATTACCGGTCTTGTGGCTGTAGCTGTGCAGCACTCAGTAAATGTTATCTTAAAATTTTTACTCACATCTTTTATTCTTTAATAGTGCTCAGATTTTAAGATATACGTATATTGCTTTAAAATGCAACGCTATTTACCTTCGGTATGGTATATGTACGACACTTTTATACATGTATATGCATATAGGTTATATATATATATAAAAGAGAAACTATTCGTTTTATTACCTTACATTAAAGACTAGGAGTATTTTCTGTTGAAAATATAGTCCAGTCTAGTAATTTTAGCTCTGAAAATGTCCTCAAAAGTAATCGTCTACTTTCACCTTATTATTTACCAAGTAATCTAATAATCATTTATACAGCTGCTTTTATAGGTAAGTGAAGACAGGTTAAAACTACAACATCGTAGCCTACAAATAAAATTTTACAGATGGCAAAAAATGATCTTATTTACTGCATACGCGTACGTGCGGAAAAATAATGAGAATAATAGATTATTTCGGTGCTATTATCTCAATTTCCTGTACAGTAGTAAATTTATGCGTGCTACTTTCGTACAGATGTATGCACAGTACATTTATTACACATTACGTACTAGCATTATTTCATAACGTTTGATAATAGCTTGCATATTCAATAGTGGAAATGAGTGGGAATGGTGCTATAATGTGATGCAGTTTCCTTATGATGACTCCATATGTCCAAGGCTTATTTATATGGAGCTAAAGTTTTAACTTTATCTAAATTTGCTTTTAATAGAACTGATCAAGACTGGTATAACTTTATAAACTAATTTTAAAATTATTAATTTAGCCATTAATTTCAGTTAAATTGCATTACGTGTATTCTGTACCGTATATCTCCTCATATGATGGTCGAATGGGATTGAGTCTGGCTGAATCTTGGATCAGAATTAGATAAAAATCTAGCGTTATTGATTTCCTTTAATTTAAAAAGCATGCTGCTGTAGCCTGTTTGCTACAATAAAAACTCATGATAAACTACCGTTCAGTAAAAGACTATATTAGATGTATTTTAGTTTGATAGCTCAGAAGGACGTACTAATTATTAATTTTGAAGTCAATACACAGACGGTAAGTCAATTCCATTACATTTCGATCAACACTTTTAATAGCACATATTATAGCTGTAATCCTTATGACTTAGTTGAATTGGTTTTGAGTACTCATAATTAGGAAGGGTAAAATTGTATATCTGTGATACATATAGTACTAAAATTGCATAAAATAGCAATGATATTTATGCTACAGTAAGCGTACTTACAAGTTATGTACATTAAAAATGTTATAAGTGCACTAACGTACGAGGCTTAATAAACGGTATATGAGAATACGCTATAGGCCATAAAATTAAGTGAATTATATTGTAGTCATTTAACGACAGTACTGTTATATGATACGGTGATTACATCAGGCATAAATTGTATTTATGGACTGCAATAGGCATTTTGCTGTATACAGAAGTATTGACTGTATGACTCTTTGTTAAAACTTCTTTAACACCGATACTAACCCAAAATTAGTTGAAACTGAACAAATGAATACCGGATTTTGACAGGTTGTACATTGTACAAGAATAAACTGAATTAGCACCTGTTAAGTGGTATAAAATTATCATTTAGTCTTAAATTAGTTTACATACTTTGAAGAAATGGTTTCATATATGCCGCATGTTGCGCATGATTGACTCCGCCTTTAAGCTGTTGGTAGTTACGGTTGCTTTTAGTCCTAGGACATATGTCGTGATATTTAATTACGTCGTATTATTTGTAGAATGTAGGTCCGATCTAATTTGTAAATCATGGTTGCCAATAATAATTACTGTTGATATAGATGCCATTAAATGTGTGTGTGCGTGCTCGTGTTAATTTTTGAAGAGTTAAAAATTTTGATGCTGGCTCATGTTTACTATAGCTCACTCACTGTCTAACTCCATGACTAAGAGTAGACAAGATCAATTAATCGACTTGACTGAAAAAGGCAGTGATCAATTCTGCATATAATTAATTTATATAATCAACCTTGGTATAATGTCGTGTTACAGAAACGGGTATCGAGAGTGATTAGTACTAGTACTTCTTCTGAGTAACTTTATTGTGGGATCTTTTAACAGCTTCAAGCTAGTTTAGACAAACCCTTCTCTCAACACAACTTATTAAACCGGCTTATGCCAAACGTTTTAATTAAGATACTACAGTATTGTATTTACGTACCCGAAATATGGAGGCGATAGTGAGCATCTTGATGATACGCATATAATATAATGCATGCAGGTAGGTACTAATTCCAATTGTTTTTAATTTCAACAACACTGTAGCTATCTTTTATTAGTTTAATATGGTGTACTTTACTGTTAAAAACTTCGTTACAACAACACACGAAAGCTTGGCAATTACGATAGAAGAAAATAAAATAATAATAAAATTAGCAAACAATATTTCTAAAATTGGTCCATATTAAAGTGCCATAAGCTACGATGGGTTATAGCGACGCATTTCGATACTAAGCCTTTCCGTACTGTTCACGTAGAGCTCGGCGTAGTATTTTTCCACTTGGCAATTTTGGAACATCAGCAACAAAAATGACGCCACCTCTCAATTTCTTTTGAGGTGAAACTTTTTCATTAACGTAAGTGATTAGATCTTCAGCTGTGACATCTATAAAATTAGTAAAAAAAATTAAAACTCTGATACCATAGTATCAATATTGGACACGTCTGTTGGTACTCTCAAACCTTGATTTGGCCTCTTTACTATTATAGCTCTTGGTAATTCTCCAGCTTCTTCATTTTTAACACCAATAACAGCTGATTCAAGTACTGCTGGATGTCCATTTAGAATTGCCTCTAATTCAGCCGGAGCAACCTGGTAATGCAAATGCAAAAAAATTCTGTAAGCTTCACCAGCACATTATCAAAGCTAATAGCGTAATGAATGATGCTAAACTCATCCGGGATAACTTACTTGATATCCCTTATACTTGATAAGTTCCTTAATTCTATCTACTAAATAGAATAATCCCTCATCATCATAGTAGCCGATGTCACCAGTTCTCAAGAAGCCATCTTCATCCATTGTTTCAGAAGTTTCTTTAGGTTTTTTCCAATAGCCTAACATGACATTTGGACCTCTAACACGCAATTCGCCAACTTCATTTGGTCCCATTAATTTTTTACTTTCACTATCGACAATCTGTAAATGTGTTGCAAATTCGAAGTATGATTTTGCATAATTTCGTAACATTTTTACGTAGATAGAAAGTCTAGTATTTGTGCTAATAAATTAGGCATATTTAGCTATTCGCTATGTACCAACCTTACATTCCATACTGGGTAAAGGATACCCTATGGTATCTATCCGTTTACCTGGTGGAGGAAAGTGGCATGCACCGGTTGTTTCAGTCATTCCAAAACCTGATGAGGAAATTATGGAGGTTAATATTGGTTAGATTAGGAAGAATAGACCTGAAGGATAATTTACATGTTATAAAGTTGTATGGTACGATAGTCAACATAACATATGAATTTTGAATTCGGCGTTTCTTAATAATCTACAAAAGTATTTACCTTGATATATCAGTTGTAAATTTAGCCGACTCGCTGCTAGTTGACCAACTTCAGGAGATAAACTTGCTCCTCCGCTAAAGACACTTGATACGCTAGACAAATCAAAGTTATCGACTAATGGACTTTTAGCGAGGAAATTTATGAGCGGTGGTACTAGATTGAGCATTTCAATCTGTCAATAAATAAGAAATAGACGATACTTTTTACTTTGTATATAATGCAAGAATAGTTTAATGGGAAGAAATGTCAAATGATAAACTATTATATGTTTATGTTATGCTGATACACGTAGATATATAAGATATAGATCAAAGGTGTACATCGTTTATGTAATAAATATCATCGTACTTACTTTATATTTCTGAATAGCAGCAAGAAAACCTTCAGGATCGAATCGAGGTACAATAATTAGCTTTTTACTGGTTACCATGCGCAAAAATAGTACTAGGATACTACCATAAATATGGTAGAACGGTAAGAGACCAAAACAAACTTTTCCCACAAAGAAAATAGGATGCAATTCATTTATAACATCAGCCATTCCGAAGATTGAGTTAATGTTGCGATGGGAAAGCATGACTCCTTTAGGTAAGCCTGTAGTACCACTTGAATAAAACATCATTGCAACATCTTCTTTAACATCAATAGTTTCATCGACCATAAATGTGGAGTCATCTTCCCTATCCATGGGAAAAGTATCGCATCAGTAATGGATAGACAAATATTGTGATATTCTTCACAATGTATCTTCGTAAAAGCAATTTACTGGATGGTGTAGTACTAGTGTAGGTGCTACGTAGTAAAATACTCAATTATATGTCTACTAATTTCATATTTTCTAAATTTTTTTTATAATTTATTTCTCTAATTCTTGGGTAGTGTATTCTCGAATTTAATAACAGTTATTAATTATATATCTAATGCATAACATCTAGCCTAGTACGAAAATTTCTCCATACGTTCACATATAAGGTGCTTGTATGCATAAATGTATTTATTAACAATAATAATTATACAATTGATCTAATTTTTAAATATCGTAAATCATACTCATAAAAGCTGGAGATGGAAGTGTATCCGTCGACATTTCCAAAAACGAATTTCTCATCAACGCCTTTATTTTCCGCTGCCTCGTAGTTTTTAATCACAAATGGATGCAAAATTACAAATCTTGCTCCAGAATCATTTAGCAAATAGGATATTTCCTTAGGTGTCGACAAAGGATTGAAAGCTGTAATAGTAGCACCTATAGCCATTGCAGCTAGCTGGATAATTGGATAATCTAGGGTATTTGGACTAATGATTGCTAAAACATCGCCTTTACGAAGACCATGCTTTCGTAAAGCACAAGATGCCCGTCTGGATAATTCATACATCTGTTGTAATGTATAGGACTTATCGGAGAGTCCATCAACCTTAATAATCACGTTGAAAACAATATCATTTTAAAAATTTATAAAGTATACTTTCTTGATTAAAAGTTCAGTTGGTATTTAAATAAAAGTTAAATAAATAACAGAATGCAATCAATTGGTATTATAGCGTATTTTGATTTCGATCGTAGCTACTATGAATGGTCTAAAGAAATTTGTTACTTGTAATTTGAATAAAATTATGATAACATCAGAGTTCTGTACGGATATTACTAGTGCATTAGCAAGGCTTTAGAATCTTCAAATCTAAGCAATATAATGTATCTTACTGTAAGCATATCGTACAGGATTGCAATAGTTAATTTTGTAAAGTATAACGCAAAATTAGTGCAAATGTGAATATATCTATCGGCAATTTTGTTTTGATTATTGAGGTCACGATAACCGCAATTAAAGAGACTATTGGTATCAAAGTATAGAAATGATTTCCTAGTTGGCAGAGTCTGTGTAGGTATTGCATCGATTTAATGATAAGTTACATTACTCGTATATAATGATAAGCTATTTGCAAGTTATAGTAGACGGTAAATAGAGATTTACCAAAAGTACGAGATCTTTTCTTTCCTCTAGGTTACTAAAAACAACATCGAAGACAGTCCCTTCAGGGATTTTTATATCAGGAAAATTACTTTTCTTGATCGACATGTTTATGAAACCAGGTTCACTTAAGCGAATGCGACCTCACAAATTGAAAAGAACGAGGTTGGAAATAAGAATTGCACAGCAGGAATTTTCACCGAGACACCGTGGATGACCTCAGGGCTTGTTTTTGAAAAAGAACTAAATTATGTACCAAGTGTGGGGTAAATAGTAGCGTCTACGGTGCAAGTTAGTGCAAAACACTACAGTTTACAGCAGCCGATGCGGGTGCATGCAAAGATCCACTGGTACATAAAGGAAACAGTAGGCTGTGATTAATTAGATCCCTCCCATCAAAAATAACACATTTCCTTTATTGTATTTCATTACAGTCTGTTTAAAATTTTAATTAATTGTATTAACACCATAATGATAAATTTCTGATAGTTTATACTAGAAGCATGCAATACTCAGTATAAGGAATAATACTGCAGCCTTGTTATGAACGCTAAAGGTCATGAAGAATGGGGAAGGTCTAACGGAAGTTCACCAGATTGTTTTTTAGATGTTTACATAATGTTTAGGCGTTGGACAGACCAAGGTTTGTCAGTTCTTCGAGGCTCTTGCTAGTCTATGGACTGTATACCAATGGCATATACGGAATATTAGCTAGTGGTTGAGCAGAGGATAATTCTGTCCGTCGGTGTTTTGATTGATAAATTGGACTTTGCACGTCTTCAAGTCTAGTCTGATCGAGGATACGGTATCAAACAACTAGCTATAATAGAGCATATCGTAGAGTTATTTCCAAGCGAGAATTTCTTGCTAAATGTCAACTTTTCAATGTAGATTTGAATGTTATGATAATTTGCAATTGTTTAGCTCATTTAAAGTAACTAACCATAATAGTAACTATAATTTTTCTTACACAACCTCTGTTATAGTGCGCTTACCCTTTCTATCCTAGAGCATATTGACTTTAAAGTAACATGATTGACTTTTATAAATTACATTTTGCATCCAATTTTCTGTATGTTTTCCAGACGGCTAAATGCTAATTTTCGTAGATTATAAGTATTAACTGTTCAATATTTTTAATAATGTCTTACTTTTGGCGAGATCTCAATTTTGAACCATATTGATTAGCGATATTTTAATTGTAAATTAGGTAAAGCTGGTAATTATTTCCTTTTTGATGTAGAATATCTTGATAATAAAGTGATGTTATTAGTATTAAGATTGAATCTTAAGTCTTATATAAAATGGCCAATTTTACATCAGTCACCTCATTTTAGAGTGGAAATACTCCGTAATAAAGCAGTAAATTTGCAATCCTTGAAGCTATATAAGAAAAGCTATGGTAAATATTATGACTGAAAGCTTCAAATAAATAAAAAAAAAACTGCTACATTATCAAAACTATTCAGATATACATGTATACACGGCGCATAGTTAAAACAAGGATATTAAGCGATAAATTATTGAATGATACATATATAATCGTATATGTATTAATTCATTCATTCATTATAATTATTAACGCGTATATTATCGTTTCAAAGTCACGAAAGATGTTCTACGTTGTTTCTTATTTCATCTAGCTGTTTGATGCCCTATCCTCGATTCGATCAGGCTGGTTATAAGTAAAGCCGAGTCCATGAACCCTGCTACGATATATAACTGTATACATTAATATACTATCTTCTGAGTGTACACTGTACAGTATGTCACCTTTCCGGCTTCAAGAATGATCATATTGGTAATTGAGCGACGAAAGCAGATAAGTTAGCAGAGTTTATTATAAGAACAATCAACAAATGTAGTACAGGTTGCAAACAGAAGTACCAAAGAATACAGGAGATAGGACAGAAGAATTACACAGAGTGATGAACAGTTGTATCACTGTTTTCGACAGTTAGCGAGCACTTGTTAATTATGATTGAAGATGCTGTGGACATCTTACATCTTATATATACAGTATAAATAAACAAATAAAACACAATCACGTGATCTACAGTACTATATACCGTATACGCCGTACAGTATACTGTACTGTAAGACCTCTCCTATACTGTACTTACTGTACTGTACAGTGTACTGTACTGTACTGTACTGTCTGTACACCTGTCGAAGGTTTGGTTCTGGTACTGCATGCACATTTACAAAAATTTCGAATCAGAACCGTCGAGAACCTTCAATGCTGAAACCAGAGCCGTACCAATTAAACTTAGACTTATCGGTTCTACAGTATACCGTTTAAGTACCAATTAATTTATAAGCTTTAGTATGAATTATAAAGCTTCATACAAAACCTTACAAATGCATACTGTAAGCTTTGTAAAGAAGTTCGACAAATCTTACAGTATAAATTACAGTACTGTATACTGTACATACTGTACAGTACAGTACTGTACTGTACTTTAACGTACAGTACAGTACAGCATGTACTGTAGCCACGGTGCCCACCCATAGGTGCTGGTCTCGACTATAAACAGACATGAATCATCATTGCCTTTCCCAATATTATCATGGATTATGAGATGGTGCTCCAATCAGCCTGATTTCGATCAACATGAAAGATACTTTGAATGAATATAAGGCTAGAGTCCATCAGGAAAATTATAGTGGTATGGTAGCGGTAGAGTACTTTCAATTTTACACGTCTGTGAATTAGTATCGAGCTGGATAGCTTGCAAAGATCGAGCTGTTAGCTTATGAAGTGCTATTTTGAATTGAAGGTCGCATCATTTTGTGTTTTTTTCATAGATGGGCAATTAATCTTAAATAGTAAAGATTTTCCCGACGTTGTACTCGGGGATGTATTCAAAATTTGTTTGCCAAGCGCTGCACAATGTATTGATACTCAAAAGTAAGTTGATAGAGTCATAAAATGATTGCAGTCCTACTACATTGATGTACGCTCGTAGTGAAATAATGACGTCTCCAATAGTACGAATACCAGAATATTTAGATAATACAATTATAATCTGAAAGATTAGAGCATGGAATTATTGATGAATTGAATTAAATGGGGTTAAATGGGATTACTATTTATAAAATCTTATCTAACCTAGACGTTGTATCGATTATACTCGCACCTACTGTAGTTGCACAAGAGAGAAATGTATCAGCTTGCAAGTCAAGTCCATAACCAATGACATTCCTAAAGGTAGGCTACTACACTGTCGTAATAAATATTAAGATTATACGATATGATTTTGGCAATGATCGCTATTACTATCTAAATTTATTAGGCACGGTGTCAATTCATAAAAATGCAGCGTCTGTACTTGGTATAACTGCGTATCAGACAGTTTTACTTAAGCTACTTGATAAGCAGGTAATTTTATCTTAATTAAATTGCCCTTGTTATAGATTTTCGATTGATTCGCTCATTACCATCAAGAAGTAGGCATATTGATGAATTTTTTTAGAGCGTACCAATATCCATACCATACCAAGACATAAACTGACACACGGATATACAAAAAGTAAACACAAAATAATGCAATTTTGTATGATTTTATGTAGGAGATTGAACTGTATGCTATCGAATTGGCATTTAAGGTAAAGAGTCTTTGGTATAAAGGAATAGATTTAAAATTAGCTTAGAAAAATAAGTAGAATGATTGCTTATTTTAAGCTAATGATAACTTAATTAATTTACAACAATGTAGGATCAGTATATAGGCCGAAGAGATATGTGGTGCTTGAAAGAAGCATTGGTAAGTTAAATTATCCTTGACAGCCAATAGATTTTGATTAAACACATAATGCTATAGGCATACACGAAATTATATGTACAAGTTAGCCTTATTGTACTGCTTATTATGAAGTGATATCTGTTAAGATGTTTTAAAAATTGTCATTTTATTGGCTAATTTAGAGAGATAGGTGTGTGTATTATGGAGGCAAACTTGAACACGACTGTATCAGGTACTTAGCAACTGAGAAGAATCTGTTTATTGCTTCATCTTTAGCCATCTCACAGTATATTATAATTAGGTGCCAGATAGATAAACTTTGGTTTAGAAATAGTGATAGAATTATTGCTGGAAATAGCGGATATATATCTAAAAATACCAAGGTATTAGCGTGTATGTATAAGGGTTCATTATAGTTATAATTATAGAATGTCACTATACTTGTGTTACGAATTTATTGAGCAGTAAGAAGGTGATATCTAACGCACGTGTGTTGCCATTTAGATCATCTTCCGATCTTCAAGAGCAATGATATTTTTGATGATACAAATGAGCAGAGAGATGTGGGAATTCGATATAGGAGGTCTTTCCAGCAATATGTTCGATATAATATATCTATATTTACCGTCAATGATAAAATTGAATATTATTACCGTAAAATTTAAATGGTTTCGGATTTGAACTTGTCGGCTTTGTTCTATTTGCAGGAGATTTATATTTTGAGAAAACTATTGAATTTCTATCTGTTTTATTTAACGAATGGAAAGTTAGTCTTATTGCCTATGCTATTTATATGTATATGCCATAGAATATTTACATTTAAAATACTTTGATTAGAGAATTAATTATAGTATGATACTTTCCCTTTTAGGTCAATTCCTGTGATCATGATGTCACAATTGTATTGTTTTCTAGGACTATTTATAATTTGGAGGCTTTCGGTTAGGGGACAGTAAATTTAAAGTCGCCTTTTTATTGTTTGATCGTTTTAATAAATATTATCCGTACACTGGCAAAATGGCTAGCATTCAGATTTTAGTAACTTATGGAGGCTACGAATGTAATTTTGATTTATTAGAATCCGGTAACGTTAGTGCGACAAAGGAAACCTCTCCATCTTATGAAGATTTTTATAGGTTTGATATGATTCTATTCCGGAATCTATGTCATAACTATTTAGAAATGATAGGGTAAATAAATTCTGACATCAAGTTGACAAATATAATTTGCATTCTATTCGCTTTTAGAGTTGTTACCCTATCTGAAAGACGCAATGACTGGAGTACAATAATAATTCAACTCAAACGTTATTTTGGAGAGTACTTATGCCATGTTAATGTAACAACACCAGAAGGTAGTTATGCCTGTATTTGCAGGGGTTTTTTGACATTGTAGATTACGTCGGTGCAATCTTGCCCTGATGATCTTCAATATCAATCCTACTTTGAAGTTATTCTTTCCACTTTATATTCTTTAAATATTCTACTACAGGCTCTAGCAAAGATGGTAATATAAATTCCTCATACTCACAAGGAAACTGTTTAGAAGCAATGAATCTTGCCTTAAACTGTATGTAACCTGTTTATTACATCGTACAATGAGCACAATCAATTTAATAAATTGATCTGATAGGGCTATTTCATCATTTCTCTTTGTTATTTATACCAGTATTAGAAAAGCATTACATCGATCGTAACTTTGATCGGACTGGACAATGTATAACAGTTATTACTGCTGGCCCTGGGATTATTGAGGTAAAACTTCTTGAATATATACGCGTATTTCTGGGCTAAATTCACTGATAATGAGCTAAAATTAACAACTAATCTTATAGATCAATGACATTATAGTTTTTATAAAGATATAAGAGTAAGAACACATCATAAATTGTTTTCAATATTTCGCTATTCGTAAATTGCCTAGGCTGAAAAGCAGCTAATTGATATAACGAAACAAAGAATATCAGACTATGGTGATTATAATTTAAATTAAATTAATACCGGACTTGCTATTATTACTTGTGCAAATTGTTACTATAAAAAGTCATTTAACATATTTTAGGGATTGCAGCTGATTTAGTTTGTTTGGGAGAGTCTCCATTGTATTACGTTCCATTATTAAAGGTTTCCATAATTTGCCATGCATTTATATTGATGAAGAAATTACTTAATTGAAAGTTGCTATAACGTATAGTTGAATTATAAAAATATCAGAGGTGTCTTGCACTTTGTTTGATAGATAAAATATGCGGAAGATAAATATGAAGTACCGGATGATTGGATCAATCTGAGGTTTAATATTTCTTTAACTATATCGCACATATAATTTTATTTAAAAATCTCCATTTTTATAGATGTAGAATGAGTTAGAATTAGCAGTAAAATTTTAATTAAGCAATCTTGCATTTGGTATAGTGGATACGTTTCAAAAACACAGCTTGAACTAAGAAAAAAATCCAGCCGTTATTATGTTCCAAGAATTAAATTTTCAAGCAGTTTTGTAAGGATCTGTTACGTGAATCAAAATGAATTATTTTATATTTATAATCTATAATTAAATGTTGAAAATATTTTTAGTTTGATGCTTTAAAGAATAGTCGCAGGGCAACACCAGGTATGAATCGTTTATATTACATCCTAAATGAAGATATTCTAAATCATTTTTATGTATATCTTCATATTTTTTATGCTAGCGGAACAAATACTAAAAATTTTTGAAAGCGATGATAGAGGAGATGATTTCGACTGGGGTAATTTATTGCTAGAGAATATGGAGAGGCAGTCTGATGATGGAGATTCGTATGTTTTAATTTCTTTGCTTTATGGCTGTGTTATGATTATGTGATTGCCTAAGTTATAACATATAACATATAACTAAACTGTAGTATTAAGGAGAGTAAGGATACTACGAATCACCTAAATGTTAAAGGTTGGTTGATTTTAGAAACGGTTGTTATGCTGTACGTTTAAAATCGATATTGTTACATGAACGATTCTTTATTTCATGATTTATTAGATGATGATCGGTCCGTATCGAATGAAGACGATGATGACTCTGAAAACATTAAAATTTTTTATCCCTCATTAATGAAAAATCGTGGGCATTGCTATAGTCGTTGGAATGATGTTGTTTTACAAAGTCCAGTAGTTTCCAAAGCAGATAACCAAAATGATGATAAAGGTGTTTGTTTTCAATGCATCGACCATATAATTAGTTAATATAATTATCGTTTTAGTTTTGAGGTATAGGTATGCGAATTTATATGAAATCTTTGATCCGTTCAGAGTGCTTATAGAGTCCATATATATTTATTATTAGGATATGAGCTTCCAAGTTGCATATTTCCAAGCAAAACTATTGCTTTAGCTGCTTTGAAGCACATGAATGAAAGAGATTCGACGTTAGCAGAAGATGTTCAACAACCCGAAGACCATGAGGTTATAGATGAAAATACTAAAAATGTGGAGGAATATTTTAATCATTACATTCAAGAATTTACCGAATCAGCATCCGGTATCAAAAATATTTTAGGATTATCATTTGTTACATTAGTTTATTGTAAAAAGAATTAACAGTTATCTTTTTTAGAGGGCATCAACGGTCTGAAGTCAAATCATGGAGTAGCTTACTACTATGTCAATCCAAAAAGAGAACCAGAAAATAAACGTACTATCTACGCGACAGATTCAGATACTTTTTGGGATTTCTATGAAAGAGTTGATTGGCGATCGCTAACTGCGCCAGCTTGTTTACCTTTAACAAATCGTGAATATCCTTCTAGAGAAGATATTCTAAAGGAATATAGTGCTACTCATGAAGTGCGGCAAAGCGACGGGTGGCTATGATATATAAATCTGATTTATAGTTTCGTGTTATATATTGATTTATTGATTATTTGCGCTAGCTTTAGTGAGTCAGAAATTGAAGGTCTATTTCAGGTTATGGTTTTGCAAAGAATTTCTCAGGTAGAGGACCAGCTGCTGATTCATAAAAGTTCAGCCACACCAGCAGATACGATTGTAGAATAATAATTCTGATGTAGCGTGATTTATGGTACATCATGTTCAATAGATAGCTGACTGTCAACTATTCCTATGATAGGGCTTTCAGGTTTATTATCCTATAAAAGATAATAAAGAGTTATCAAAGCCGTTTTTATCTTCAGAACAGTTACAAGTTGATATTAAAGTAAATACGGTTTTAAATTATATTCCCATAAATTATATTATTTACCATACGTATGAACGTGGTTAAATGTACTAAAGATTGTAATAACGTACCTATTATAGAACGTCTACAAGCTGAGCATTGGATTAATCTTGCATGAACTATATTTAACTGAACATGTAGTGCACTTGGTGAAACATTATCCGAAGTATATTTGTCTAACAATATGTATACTGTATGGGCGACTCTAGTAGAAAAAACTAATTTTTTTCACTTTACTACGGAATACCTCCAATTTTTTTGTTGATTTTAGAAAGTCACAAAAAACTGATTCATTGAATTATAAATATAATCTGTGGCCAATTCATAAGAAGTGGATTTCAGGTAATACATACGGTTACTACATTCTGTAGATTGTAAATTAATTTTAAATTTATAGATATTATATTGGTGATAAATATGACGTGAAATAGTTGCTGTCAACAAATTAAGTGTTTTCGCTTGTACAGTATTCGTGTATCGCAGTAACAAGTTATACAAGTAGGTAGCTCATTTAATATCCATTCCCACTCTGTAATAGGAGTCTATTAGTTGATATCGAGTTTGCAGTTTAAGTTGATTTAATATCTTATTCCATTGTTAATTTTGCAATAATTATATGGTCGTCACGGTACTACTCTAAAAATAATTCTAACGATTTTTTGGGTTATTGAAGCAAACAATGGTTGAATTAAAGAGTGGAGAACTACGAGATTTAGATTGGCAATCCATAGATAATTATGTTATGGGAAAAATTGATAGATCTCATGAATTTTTAAATGAGGTATTCTGTTTAGTAGCAATATCTATGATATATAGGGTGACCAGTGAAGTTATACATATAATATTTTCGCTTAACGGTTTAGCTTGTCAAGTTCTGGCAATTACGTTTCGCTCTTCTTCCGGTTCATTCCTCGGTTACATCTAGCAAAGCCACCATATTAAATTACTTGCATATAATGGTGCCCGAAAAAAGTACTGAAATGAAATCTCTCACATGCGTCTATAGTGAGAGATTGAAGGAAATATTTTTGTTAGAGCAATTTTTAAAATTTGCTGAAAATTTAAATCGCTGTAGGAGAAGTTCCCATCGACAGTCCTTAAGCAAGGTAACTTAATGAGCGTAGTAAGGTGAAAGTTAATTATTAACTGTAAAGTTGTCATCCTTTACTTGAAGCCGTCGCAGCTGAAAGCTTTCAAGGCATTTGTCGATCCGGATGAGTCAATCACTAGCGGGACGATTTATTCCGATGCTGATAAATCGATGGAAACTCGAAAAGGTAGGTGAATTTTTAGAGCTAAAGTTCTATTCAATACTTTCTACTATCAATGAATTACAAAAAATATGTCTGATAGCAATCTAACTCTAAAACGTATTTTCATTAAACATAATTAGAAAATATATCCGGAGAGGAAGGCGCTCGTAGCACATCTGATAATTCATCAAAGACGATATCATCTAATGAAGTTGTTCAACTGATGCAAGATATCTCGTAAGTGAATTCTTTAATATTGCATTATTTCATGCAAATGTTATACAAGTTGTAAGCTAATTGACTGGTAACAATTATTATATGTCATGATTGTATAGAGCTGGACTACCGTTCTTAGATAAACAAAGAGACATTCCAAATAAGACCTTTGTCTCCGCGACTTTTGTTGGCTGGGTCATAGAATCAATCGATTCTGTTCATACTATTACAGATGCCTTAGCTTTAGGCCAGGTATATTTCATAGTTTCATTACTGAGGTACTAGTGGAGTAGTGAAATCATGAATGGGTAAATTAATTTCTGGACTAACGTGTAAAATAAAATCCTGCATGATAACTTTACTATTCTGGAATATCTCTCGACAATCAGCGTCTTCTAGATGAAAAGTTAATTATTAAGATAACCAACTCCAGGAAAAATCAATTTATATTTGGATACCACGTCTATTGTATCGCTTCTAGTACGTAAAATTCTTCTTAGATTAGACCTATCAAAGGATTGTTGTTTATTTGATTTGTCGACTGTTGCAAATTAAAATTATAACGCCTATATATATAATCAATTATATTATAGGTAATGAGACTGTAACTGAATTTTCTGATCGCTGGGTTGAGATAGAAATTTATGGGATGAAGAATGTTATGCCTTCTCAGGGTAGTTAACAATTAATAATTATATATGTTTAGCAAATCTTGCTTAGGCTATAGTAGCGTTCAGCGATGGTAAATAGGGGATATTGCATTTTTCAGAATCAGAACATCTTCAATACAGATGTCTTCAAATTGAAGTAGATCATAAGAAACAATTAGATAAAAACTTCCAAGAATGGTTTACCGTTAATTATAGTACAAATTACAAGCCTAGGTGTGCTTATCGATTTGAAGTGCGATGGTTAATATCGTCCGCTACTGATGTTAACGAAACCGTAAGTTAGCTATAGCACTGTTACGTAATCATTAACTGCGAGCAATAGCTATATTATCGGTAACAATCGCGAATATATATGAGCAGATCCAAGATTGGGGAAGAAGAGCTCGGGCAGCAGGTTTCTTATTGACACCAGTTCCATATTGTCCGTTTCCGACTTCCAATTCTGTACACCCATTTTACTCACCAGCTGAGATCGATATTGATCTCTCTTGGCTTGTTAATGATGACGCGAAGGAGGAAGGAAAAAGTATATTGTTTTATTACTTGCACTAGATTCGATCGCAATTACTGTGGAGTAATCTGTAATTTAGATAACTATACACCCATTTTTTTAACTTCGCTGTAATTTCAGATACAACAGTTGGTAAATTTAGACGATTTGTTAAACTTGTGATGGACAGGTAAGTGATAAAGTTGTCATATTATTCAGTATGTTGGATCTAGCGATAGAAAATAAAATCACTATCACCAAGTTGAGATACCCTGGGTGCATATTAATTTATATTATTCGTTATAGACTTGAATTCATAATTGATCCTGGCGTTGAAATAATAGAAAACGAACAGCTATTATTTATTCACTCCTCCGGTGCAGCATTAGTTAAATATCGCATACGTAGCAAAGAGGAGCAGATCAATAAGGTATGGGTAAAATGTAAACCTGATGTTAGTCATTACTTTGGGGTAAAGCTATCACTAATTGGTCGTTTTGCAATATTTTAATTAATTTTGTAATTTTAAAAAGGGGTGATACACGTATAGTAAATTTTTACTCGTAGATTCATTAATATTTGACCAGTAACTATAAAAATTTCTTGCATTCAAATTATTATAGTTATGCGATACAACGAATTTGAAAGAGGCCCAGGTCGATTTCTTGTGGTCGCAAAATTACATGCTGCCCAAACGCTCAAGTTCTACTTCTGACAATCAACAAGACAAACTACTACCAGATTTTCAGAAATTTTGGACAAACAGTGACAATAAATTAAAGGAGTGGTGGAAAAATTTTATTGAAGCGGAATAACTGACAATTTATTTCAAGTTTAGCTTTCACAATGATATTTACACAGACTGTGACTTTTATTTGGAATACATAACTTTACTAATACTACTAGTACTTCACTGGTAAGAATAGCTATATAGTCGGGCTATTGAATACATAAATAAGTTACTACTTGAAATTCATAAAGTAACATCATTATTCAATGACATTCTATTTTGGAATACAAATGTGATATTTTTGCTGTCAATATCTTGAAGGCATTGATCCTGCCAGTTCGCGTATGTTTGATCGTCATGATATATAATATAGAAATTAGTAAAGAGTTTGTGAAGTAAACGATTATTCTAGAAGTACACTATTTTACTGCACAGCAAATCATTATAATCGTGAAGAGTAATTAAAATTGATTTAAGTATTGTTAAACTGAATACATTTTGGTATATTGTGAATATAAGTATATATGTTACGGCCATTTATTATTTATATTTGTTTACAAATTTTGTCTCATACCTTAACTGATTCACTGAGTGGGACTGGAATATGATCCCATTTCATTAATTCATCCATTTCAATCTTATTCTAGCAATTAGTAATATCCGTAAATAAATAAAAGTCCTTCACAATGACCAGTGGCAACAAACTTAACTCTAACATAGTAATAAAACTAACCATGGAAGAGTTTTTAGGTCCAGTATTGTTATCGCTCTCATCAGCATCATTAAACTATATGATAAGAAACATGTTATTCGATGTTACAATCAATTAATGTCATTCAATAAAATAATACTAGCAGACCGTTCCTTCGAGGCAGCAATTGCAGCCAAGTAGTTTATGTGTATCGCACACGATATCCTCTCGCAAGCTAAATAGATTCTGTAAATTAAAAGGCAATTTTTAACAACTTTGCACTTAATAGTCTAAAAACTTCTAAACACATAATCACTTAACATTGATAATATTTCATAATTTATCCGAAAGTGATAAAAATAGCACATGTTATATGCATAGTTTAGACGAAGACTATTATTGTGAAAGTCTAATAACTTGTAATTAATCTTAGTACAACTATATCGCATACCACTCTGGTAACTACTAGAAGTACAGTTCAATAGGTAAATCTCATGTAAGTTAAGGAAATAATTTTGGCTTACATGTAAATCTTTTCTGGTAAATTGACTTCTTCCGGACTCTCTCGTATCCATCACTGCCCCGCTTAAATCATGTTTCATAACTTGTCGTTGAAAAATTTTTTCTTCTATAGTACCCTATTTCATGTTGGAATAACATATACGAGTATTAAGACTGATTCGAACAAATCAGATCATAACAATCCACAGTTTACACAATCATTGCGCATACCGTTGTAACTAGTCGATAGATATAAACATCTCTTTTTTGACCATCTCTCCAAATCCTGGCCATTGCCTGAATAAATAATTTCAAAATTTGTGATTTTTTCATTTCATCATCTAACACCAATGTTTTATTAAAAATCTAAAAGCACTGGATTTATTGTAGGAAAGTCTTTCAGCTACTGGAGTAACTAGTTTGACCTGGAGGTCATTAGCAGGATTCCAGTCAATATCATATAATACTAATCGCGAAGCACCAATTAGATTTAGTCCAGTACCACCGGCTTTCGAACTTAACAAAAAAACAACTAAAATAAAATTTGATACTTTAGACAGTCCTTCAGGCACAATAGGTATAAGAATGTAACGTTAATGAAAGCTTCCTAGCGAAAGCGTTAACTAATTAATTTTACCCACATGTTTTACTATAAGATGAATTAAAATTTTCAACAATGGTATGCCTTTTGGAAGTTGGCGTTGATCCATCTAGTCGAACGTAGCGATAATTTTTACTTTTACACATTTTCTGTAGTACATCTAAGGTCTTAAGATAAATTGAAAAAGAAAAGACTATGTTAGTGTTTGCTTCTATGATCCAATATTTGTATTACAGCACCAGAACAGTGTTTCTCCGTCAACTTCAGATACCATACTAACTCTGGTAAAATTAGAAACAACAACTACTTTTTCTTTAGGCGAATTTTGGTATATCCAATCCAGTAAATTACTCAATACGGCTAATTTGCCTGAATGCTCGGTAGTAAAAGTATCAGGAGAATAGTTGGGTGGATATAACGATTGAATTCCAGCGTATAGAAGTGTCTAGTTGCAGACATAATAAGGGAAGCATTAAAATTTAAAGATAAAATTGAATTACCACCGTAAATGTAGGAGTTCACTTTAATTCAACCTGATTCAATCGTTCTTATATAGCTATTACACCTACGTGCTCCTCCTCAATAGATTTACCAATCTCGTCATCAATCAGATGTGATTCAGCATCCTTGACTGCTTCATAAATTAAGTTCGGCTCATTACAAACTTTTCTAAGAGCGTTAATACACATGAAATGTCTGCAATAATTCGATTCAACTGCGCTTATGCATTCTTTAAATAGGCGAGAACTGAGCAGATGTCGATATATAAGGACTTGTAGTGGTGCGGTTCTGCAAAATATCACATATTCCACTAATAGGTGATAACGTGCGTAATCATAGATGTTAGAAAGGACACAAATGGGGCACATTTTTTGATATTAATATAATGCTTAAACCTTTAGGTGGAAGATGATGGATAATGACTTCTTGAGTGCGTCTGAGGCAAAAAAGCTTTGTTAATCTGGATAGCTAGAGAATAAATTATGAGGAGTTTACTAATTAATTTGAAAAATTGATCTGTTAAACATATGATAACTTAAGAAGGATGTTTGTGGAATTGAAATAATCAGTAATATTTAAAAATTGGAACAGCCTATAATAAGCTTGAATAACTGTGTTGTCTGCGATATATCATATATATATATATATATATATATATATATAGCATTAGATATTGTAGTATTTTCCCAGTTTCAGTTGACTGTCCAATTATTTACGGTGAAATCTGTACTGCTGATAGCATAGTCCTAGCTTTTTTACGTAGGTATACAGTTAACAGTTAAAAAATGCAGTAAATGTGTAGAGTTTTGAACATTAGCAGATACCATAAGCTAATACTGCGATTTAGAGTAGTTAATGTTTATCACATAGCAACTGTTTAAATTCAGTAAAAAATTGCAAGTAAAAGCGATTCTAGACAATTTATAATTTAAATAGCTTTTATGCATGAAATTAATACTGTTTACTCTTGCGATATGTGCTCACGTCACATACGTGAACGTATATACTTTTATGTAACAGCAATATGCTCATATTATTCTTTTAGACCAAAACGATATCCTTATAAATGCCTATTACCTCTATAGCTCGACTTTCACCGAGGTTTTTCTCCTTTTTATTGCATCCTGGCAATCTCGACTTAGCTATCGGATCTTCGTAAATACGACGAAATGCGGCCTCACTCCCTTTGGATATAATGATTAATAATATCACAACCTTTATTCGTTATAATCAATCAAGCTAAAAACAACAATATTGTAACTTCAATTTATAAGACCTAAAATTCCTGGGTTACAAAATTCTACAATGGCATAAAATTCCTGTAAGTCATTCTAGGAATCGTTGGCAAAATATTATGATTAAGCTAACTTTTTTAGATAATATTTTTTACTGTTATTAGTGTTATATACGCGTGAATTATATTTACCTGTATAGGAGTGCCAGTAACAAGAACTCGACGTCGTGTTTGCACGCTTGATATCAACTATAACAGTATTTCCGATGAGACGTAATAACGGAGACTTTCTAACTGTTATCAGTACAAATTATACATTATAATAGGAATAGAACTAACCGCAAAAGTTTTATTGGAAGAGTTTTTAAGGCGATGCCCTTCATCACATATCAGAAGATCAAATTTGATGCCTTTCAGTGTATCGCAAGAGCGTACAAACATTTCGTAGCTAATAATCATCAGTGGATATTGGGGATATTTGATAAATTCCTATATAGGAATGAAATCAATATGTATGATATACGAAAGCTGCATTATACGCGAATGTTTCCGAATTGAATAGTCTGCAACATCATCGACTTTATTTATATATAGTAACTTATGCAATTATTAAATAGCGATAAATACTTTAAATCACAATTTACCTCAACTCTCTTATCAGAACTGACAGGAAACACCTTAAATCGTTCAATGCCTAACCATTTTCGAAATTCACGAGACCAATTCTAATCATGATGTAACAATATTATTTCGATGAGCGAGGTATTGTAAGCATTATCGAAGTAATAGTCATACTTTGTAAGTAGTTAACCAAAGAAATGAGCTTAGCACAGCACATCTTGTTCTTCAGTTAAGACCATTTTTATCATTAATTGTACCAGTGCATTATATAATATTGGACTGACCTGTACTAAGCTACCAGGAGTAACAAGAAGAATCCGCTTAATTGGTGCTTTACCACCGTACATCCCTTGCTTATAAAGTGTCCTATACAAAATGTAGGGTAGACAAGAATTCACGGGAACATTAACATTTAAGTGTTAAAGCCAAGGGTGAGATGTATTAATTGTTAAAAGATAACTTTATCGCGCATTTTCACAGTAAGATTTACAGATTTATAACCATGATCAACTTACCATATCAATGCAATGCACTGTAACGATTTTCCAAGACCCATTTCATCTCTATTTAAATACATAGATCGATTTGTAGTATTGTTTTAGAAGCTAGCAAAAATTCAAAAATTTTAACGTTCAAGGATTATATTTTTATTGACAAAAATACTAACGCTAATATAGCACCAAAGCCAGAAAAATCACGCATTCCCATAACACATTCATATAGAAATATGACACCATCGCGTTGATGAGGTCGTAAACGACGACTTATGTATGGATCAACAACAACATCGACTACACAGAGCTTATTTGTATTGAAGTTGCGCTACAAATGAAATATTCCAGTACTATTAAATGTTGAAATTTTAATTTATTCAATCAATGTGATCAGATTAATGGTACAATTTTAACATTACCTGATGGTCGACACTAGGTCGTGGCATTACAAGAGCATCCGGAGCATTTGGGTCGTGTCTAGGACTTTCGTGAGTAATTTTTACATCCTGCAATCAAAATAGAAATTGTAATTATTCAAATACTAATTACTGTACCGTAAATCAGTAAATCCAAATTTAACAAATTAAACATACTTTCGTGGGCATATTTTCGATAGATTTCAAAGGAGATGAGAATTTATTTGTAAACTTTTGTCCTAATTATTTCGTCAATATAAAGGCAAAATGTAGATGGAAATTGCACCAATAAAAGTATAAATCGAAAGTGGCAATAATATACTTAGCCTTTTAAAGCAAAAGCAAATATTAAAATTAGCTGATAATGCTATACTTACTGGCAATTTGCGGTATTACATTGGTAGTGTTAGTAGCAGTTCGGAAGCACTTTCCAGTTGCCCAATCGGTATCGCTGATTGAACTAATTATCTGCCAATGTACGGATTCACATACAGAATCATGACCCCTTACAAAAAAGAATACAAGATTTACTGACTAACCTCAACCTCCTTTCTTCCAACTATCAACGTCTGACCAGACAGAAGATCTTTCAATTCTGATAATTTGTAACCTGTACTCTTTCCAATCCTGCCATGTAAATTACATAGATAAATCTGAGAATTTAAAATTTTCAGCTACATCGGACTATGTATAATTTAGATACCTTTATTTTAACAGAAGCAAGTATATTTATATTTTACACATACTCTTTTCCTTCTAGGTTAACCAAGGTTGCTGTAGTTGGGGTAGTTATAAGGAAAGCTGCCAATAAAGATACCTTTCTTACTATTGCATGTATAACGTTTAGGACTATGTCAAACAGTTATCATATAACTTACCATCACTCTCCCATTTTTTGTTCTAACCATGTATACAAGAGTATATATGCATGCATGTTGCAAATTAATCATAGCAGAAGTTAATAATTTAGTAAAAGTCGCTCATTTATTAGTGAACTATTACAATTATTGTTCAAGATGGATATTTCTGACGTAAACTATGCTTATAAAAGAAAGAATAATGTTAAATTTAGCGGTAATGTCAACTGTAAGTATCCTATTAGAGACTACTTAATTAAAAATAGTGTGCCATTGAACAATTTGAGAAATATTTAGACTGCTCGACTTAGCTTTTTACGTTAACAATAGTTATCATAAAGAAAATTATTATAGGCAACGGGAATAATATCTCATTTCCAGTTTGCAAAAAAAGATTACTGTACAGTCTATTCCACTCATACCTTTTTATTTGATAACTTGCACCTGTAAAGCGGTAACGCAAAAAATAATGGTATATTTAATCATCACATAGAGTGCATTTGTAACTGTCAAAGTCTACTGTTGTTCTATACGTATCCAACAAGCTGCATAAACTTGTGCAAATTCCAATGCACTTATACTATTATTTTATCCGTTTATTACATACCACATGACATTATAATAGCAAGGATTTCTAGTTTCTTCATTCGATTTTGCTTCTGTAATAAAGTGAAATTATACTGAGGGATTTTATTTCTTAATTTTTAGCCCGTATACCTAGCTTACATATACGCGTATATTAATATATTGTTATATCAAGTGCTTCAATCGGATAATCAACTATTGCATATCTCATCAGGTACGTTCTTAAGTTGTATGAACCATGTAAGCAGGTGCATATTTTTAGGAAATTAAATTTACAAAAGGTGAATTTTAACAGTTTCATTTTTATTAGAGCAAGGCAAATGTAATGCGCTCTTTATAAGTACCTTTCATCTAGACTGATGCATTGATTAAAAATAATGGTATGGTTTATACTGCACAGTACAAACAGTTATTGAAAAAGCTTTGTCAGAAATTTAAAGTTATTTGAATAGAAAGATCTCGTTTCTCGTCTGTTAGCTGTCTCAATATAGAATTAAAAAATTTATTGCGTAGATATCATAAGCTAAAACGATCTGAAAAAGCACTTTTAAGCATTCTACTGTAATAAACTGATTAATAATTAAAAATTTTGCTTCTACTGCTTACCATTCGATTTTACCAAATCACCGGTTCTAACTGTCGATAGAGCACTACTATCTCCAGTAGATGCATTTTTTATAGGAGTATTTGATACTAAAGTAGGAGGTTTAAAACCTGATGTCGTGAGGGACCTAAAACCAACAGTTGTGGCAGTTTTATGTTTTACTGGTACTTTCGTAGTGATGAGACGGTGTGTTGCATCCGTATTACCCGTGTCCTCATGTGCTTCAATAGTGGTTTTGCAATGCTCCAATTTATCACTGCATTGACCAGTATCGCCAAGCAACGATGTTTGATTATTCGGTTTCTTGGTCACCGATGTTGCATGCTGTAAAAGTAGCAATCAAATTGCATTATTAATATCAGGCTGCAACACGTTGCCTACGTACGAGATAATCGAAATGATTAACAAAAAATCTTTCATTATAAGAGGTTGAATTAGTTGAGTCAAGACTGATGACCCAACAGTATCAGCGTCCTTCAAAGATACAAAAGTATACTAGTAGTTGAATGAATTTATGATGGAGATATTCATGCACGGTTGGAAATTTTTAGTTAAAGTTATTCTAAATTAAACTAAATTTCAATTGGAGACCTGGCTAGAGAGTGTGCAGTTTTAGTGTTATTACAGGTATGCTATTACAGTACCCTCTCGCTTAAGTAGTGTGCAGTACATTGTCGAATAAATTTGTAGGTAGACTTACTGTAAGGGTAGACTGCAGCTAAAGTCACACTATCTTTTCGAAATTTTAATGTCAAGATATTTTATGAGAGTGTATGTTCAATTTTAAGCTAACAATACGAAATAGCAAGTCGATGGCAGGAAAAGTATCAGAGTAAAATATAACTGAGTGCGTAATCCATTTGTAGTACTAGAAATTATATGTTGAATTATCGCTGCAGTATAGCACTGTAGAGTAGTAACGTGAGGATATTTGTGGTCATTTTTAAAATCTTTATTATTATGATTGATTATTTATTATACTATTATTTTTATTATCCGTTGCGTCAGCTCAATATCCTGCATTGCTTCTCTGTCAAATGACAGCCATAAACATCCATAATAATAATTGTAACACGTAAAATTTACGGATAGCTTAAGATAATTATAATCATGCAATTTATTACTGGAAATTGCCATGTTATGCAATAGCTGCAATCGTATTTTCTGGCGGCATATTCAAAAAAAGGAGCAGTAAAATAGGCAATGTTGAATGACGCTAGTGACTGCACAATTTACCTTAGCATCTTTTGCAAAGGGAACTTGAAATTTAGCACGCTTAGCTGTACTGGAGGTAACAGAAGGGGCAGCTGAACGCCTCATTGAAAATTGTTGATGTTGTTTATATCATGAAATTTCGATTTTATTTGCAGAATTTGGCATCCATTTGTAGTTGATTTTTCACTGTGAATTCACTGAACACCGGAATCCTGCCGGACTGCTTCAGTACCAAACGAAACAAGCTCGATCGTGTTACTTCTTTGGTCCTTTCGGCTGTCCGTCCACCAGCACTCAATGAGGCCACTACAAACGAACGAAACAAGCACGATTTGTGTCACTTCTTTGGTCCTTTCGGGCTGTCCGTCCATCAGCACTCAATGAGGCCACAACAAACGAACGAAACAAGCTCGTTTCGTGTCACTTCTTTGGTCCTTGTTGGCTGTCCGTCCATCAGCACTCAATGAGGCCACTACAAACGAACGAAACAAGCTCGTTTCGTGTCACTTCTTTGGTCCTTGATGGCTGTCCGTCCATCAGCACTCAATGAGGCCACTAGTGCCACTACAAACGAACGAAACAAGCTCGTTTCGTGTCACCTCTTTGGTCCTCGAAGGCTGTCCGTCCACCAGCACTCAATGAGACTAGTCCCACTACAAACGAACGAAACAAGCTCGTTTCGTGTCACTTCTTTGGTCCTTGACGGTTGTCCGTCCACCGGCACTCAATGAGGCCACTACTGTACAGTACTATACGCTGTACTGTACACTGTACTGTACAAAACGAACGAAACAAGCTCGTTTCGTGTCATTTCTTTGGTCCTTGTTGCTGTCCGTCCACCAGCATTCAATGAGGCCACTTACAAACGAACGAAACAAGCACGATTGTGTCACTTCTTTGGTCCTTGTTGGCTGTCCGTCCATCAGCACTCAATGAGGCCACTAGTCCCACTACAAACGAACGAAACAAGCTCGTTTCGTGTCACTTCTTTGGTCCTTGCCGGTTGTCCGTCCACCAGCACTCAATGAGGCCACTACTGTACTGTACACTGTACTGTACAAAACGAACGAAACAAGCTCGTTTCGTGTCATTTCTTTGGTCCTTGTTGCTGTCCGTCCACCAGCATTCAATGAGGCCACTACAAACGAACGAAACAAGCTCGTCCATTTGTGTCACATCCTTGGTCCTCGTTGGCTGTCCGTCCACCAGCACCCAATGAGGCATTGAGGCCACTACAAACGAGCGAAACAAGCTCGATTGTGTCACTTCTTTGGTCCTTTACGTCCATCCATCCACCAGCACTCAGGCCCACGACAGTACAGTACTGTCCATTGTACAGTACAGTACTGTACACTGTACTGTACAGTACTGTACAGTGCTGTAAAACTTTCAGTACTGTAAATGTCAAATGGTACAGTACTATACAGTACTGTACTGTACAGTACAGTTCAAAATTCATTAGCCATGACTGTTATTGCATACTGTACTGTAAAAAAGATTGTAAAATTGTACTGTAGTGAGTCAACGCCTCGGTAGAGTACAATGATATGATTTCAACAGTGCTTGACATCTCCTCGAGCCTCACGCCTCTCTGCTCAGTTCAGGAAGGATTCAAAATGTACATGAAAGCTATTCCTAGCATACGATAAAGTTGCAGTTTATTTATAACTTGGAATTATAATCCTTCTTTGATTGCTTAAACTATCATTTGGATCACTTCAAGAATTAGGCAGAAACTGCCTTCGAACGTGGCATTTTTTCAACACTGCTCAAGCAATTGACTACGATACGAATTTTAGCTTTCCAAAGGCATCGTACACGCACTGTAGATGGTGGTTGAGTAATCCATGACTCGTACATTCAAACGAAAAAGAGCCAAACGATTCGTCACCACTTCTGTTAAAAGAGAATATTTACCTTCATGTTTTATGTGTGCGTTAGGAACTTGTATGATCATGGGGATAGTAATGTATATTGTGTTATTAGTTTATATCGTTCAAGCCAATGTTTTACCCGACGATGAAATGGTATATAAGTTAAATTTCAACAACCGTTCCAGCGCTACACCATGCGATCAACCTGCTTTCGTACTCTTAGTTATTAATTCGTATCCAACTCACTTTGAAAGGCGAAATGCAATTAGACGAAGTTGGGGAGATGGCAAGGAATACATCAATAGGATCAATCATCCTTATGCTTGGAGGACGTTATTTGTCATTGGTAGGACTGGAGACCCAGAAAAGGATAAGAAAATCGAAGAAGAATCTCACATGTATGGCGACTTAGTATTAGGAGAATTTATTGATTGTATGAAAAATTTAACCTACAAGACCTTACTCGGAATGCAGTGGGCTCATCGGAACTGTCAGCCCAAATTTTTCTTCAAAGGTGATGACGATATTTTCGTCAATGCTCCACTCCTATTTGATGCTATCCGAGAATTTGCTCTAACACGATACGACGAAGACGTCTGGATTTGTCGCTCTTCTCACTCTCTTCTAGCTCGTATGGTCGTTCGCGATAGACGGAATAAGTACTTCGTATCATATGAAGATTATCCTGCTGATCATTTTCCTAAATTTTGCTCTGGTTTTGCCTACGTAATGTCGGGATCGGTCGTCAAAAAGTTACTTTTAGCTATCAAATCTGTTCGTGTGATTAGTAGTGTGGATGACGTTTACGTCGCCATTTTGGGTAGACAATTCAATGTCATTCCTCAACATGATAATCGTGAGTCGATATTTTGCTTCATTGAAATATTATATCACCTTTTTTACTGATGCTTTTACTGTGGTCAAGTTTTATCATTGATTCCTGTTAGTTAAAGTACATTTTGCTTAGATGCAAAAGTTACTCATGAAATACTGATTTACAATTACAGAATGACACTACTACGTATAATAGAGTAAAGTAGTATACGCACACACTGTAATTTTCTCTCATTGCCAGTGAATCGTAACTTCAAGTCTTTCATTTTTACGACAGGATTTCATGTTTATTATCCTCCTGAACCTAATCATAACTATACAAGAGGTGAAATTGAGTCTCGATTTGCCGAACATCAAATCCGTCCAAAAGATCAAATTAGAATGTTGCAAATTGCCAGAAAAGTGAGAATAGATTTTAGTGAATTAGCCATCACAGACGATTTCCCTGTTGGAAATCCAACCATTAGATGCCATTCTCATCCGTTAGACGTTTGATTAGTTACAGTATAAGCCATTACATTATTTCATATATAAATATATTGCGATTTGAACTGTATAAACCGTTCAATTTTATTAATTGACGCTCAGTTGATGACATTCATTGTATAAATTGATAGGAATTGCTAGAGATTATGTATTATATTGTAAACTTTACATGATAGGTGTTAATTATCGAGATAGCCCTCTAGCGTGTATTGTATTCTGGGGTGTCGATGATTTACTATATCGAAATAATCGCCATTACCGACTGGTAGGTTGACTCGTATACCAATAATAACCAGATATTCGTTCTGTGCGAATTAGAGAATAATACTTTGTATATATTGCACACATTGTATGATATACATAAGGCGTATACCTATTCAATTGGGCAGCCAATTTGAAGATTTGATTGTCATCTACTCTTACTAATCCTCTTTAGCGTCCTAAAATTTATTCAACCTATTTGATATCTATTTATTATATATACATATATAAATGGATAAATATACAGATATAATGTGAGGCTATATATAATGAATACTGTACAGCCAAAAAACTTCAGTTGATGGACATTGTGCCAAATGTAGCTGGTAGGGCCATTCTTATACGACTCGATTCTCGCTAATACGTATCTACTTATACTGCACTCATAGTCAGTTAAATTGACGTATTACAAAAAAATTTAGTACGTAGTTTGCAGCTTATCGTGGATTTGTAGAGGAATGTAGGCATATTTATATTTTTCACGACGCTATCATCATATTATTATCTTTTGTTGAGTATATAAATAAAGTAACGAAGCTGCGAGGTCAAATGACAATGGCAGCGGCAAAGTGTTCCATTTTCTCTATGTAAGCTATATTTTGTTGAGTTATAAAAGAACTAGCGATACTGATGTTGTTTACGACTATCAATTCAGCGTATCACCAGTTATAGCCATTTTTTTAATGCAGTTAGCGGAGTCTTACATTAGTACTCTTAAGAACTTCATATTGGTTGCTTATTGGTATACAATAGTGTATACTCGTACAGGTGAGTCCTTCATGTTCATACAATATCCAGTAGTGTAGTATAGTACTATATTACTAGCAATAAGTAACTATAACTAGTAAGAAGTTTAAATTAGCAGAAATGGCAATACGTAGGAAGCCCAGAAAGTGCATACTGACAAGTTACTACCACTACCATCACTTTATATACTGCTCCAGGTTTCTTAACAGTAATACTTTCAGCTCTATCTACAGTATTGAATACTGTAGATCCGTTTACACGAGCGGTGAATCAATTATTTTATACTGTATATATCCCTAACCCTAACCCTAGCGAATGAATTATTAATATTATAATTAGTTACTAGATACAGTACTGTAGTTTAACTACGGTCATTTTTATACACTCTTTTCATTAGAAAATATTGCATGATTCTGCTATTTCTTACTCCATGAATTCATTATAATTAATTATTTAATGAATTAATGTATAAAATCCACGCAATATGCTATTTAAAGTACAATCTTCTGTGAATAACCTGAAAGTTAGTAGGATCTTACCAAAAATACATACTAATTAAATTAAATAAACTACTGTATACGGTTAACTAAATTAATTGATACAGTTAGTAATCCGTAGAAGCAATTCGTAGCGAACAGTATGTGCCAGAGTAATATCATGGGCTTAAAGAAAAAAACCTGCCGCTTATGGCACTGTACACTGCAGTATTCTGCAACTTCCATCTTATTCATTTCGAAATGCAAGATTGTTTTCTCGCGTCCAATCCGACTCCAATCTACTATAGCACTCATGAAGGCCCTCCAAATATTATATTTATCTAGACCTGACAAATAATTTATCACTACCGTTATATGTTATGGTCTAGGCTCTCCAGGTGTCGAAGTTGTTGCTGGGATACTGTAAATTTTATACAATCTCTAGTAAGTACTCTACAGTACAGTACAGTACACTAAACGCTACAATGCAGAGTACTGTGGTTCAGTGCAGTACAGTACTGTAGCCTTCATGAAGGTAACCCTTATGGTACGGTACGGTATGTAACACAAAAGTGAATAATTTGCATGCGAATCATGTGATTCAAGCTCGAAGCAGCGATACGGTGACACTGGAAGTCGGTAACCTTGCAACCAGTCAGGAAAATCTCGCCGACAAACATCAAGCATTTTCCCTCCAATCGACTACCAATATCGACATGAATTCTCGCTATTTTGCTGGCGTTGTTGTCGTTCTTTTTTCCTTTTTAGCTTTATGCAAGAGCGATACACCAGCCAATTGTACTTATGGCGATTCCGTTGGTACATGGGTGCTGCACTTGGGTGTTGATGGAATGACCAAGAAAGTGGATTGCTCTAAAAATTTCAAGATTACCAACAACTATACTGTTCACCTACTCTTTCCCGATAAAGCAGTCGATGCTGCTGGAAATGTAGGCTTTTGGACAATGGTTTATAATCAAGGATTTGAAATTGTCTTAGCTGGTAGAAAATACTTTGCATTTTCCAAATATGTTAAGCACGGATCAAAAGTAACCAGTATGTGCGATCAAACCCAACTTGGATGGGCTCATAGTACCGATAACAGCAATTGGCAATGCTATTATGCTACTAAAATGCATCCATCAGGTACTGAAATTCGTACTCACGATCTAAGAGAGCAAATTGTTCTACAAGAATTTCAAAAACATCGTAAATATATACCCAATAAAGATTATATCAATCAAATTAATAGTGCACAAAGCTTGTGGACTGCTACTGAATACCCAGAATATGAAGATTTTACTCTAGCTGAATTAAATATGCGATCTGGTAGACCAACTGTACCCAAATCTTTCGCTGGACCTCGACTTAGGATGAAACGAGATAGACTATCTCGTAACAGTGACGAATTTATTTACTTCCCAAAACAGTTTGATTGGCGTAATGTATCCAACGTGAACTACGTATCGCCTGTCAGAAATCAAGGAGCATGTGGTAGCTGTTACGCATTTAGTTCCATGGCAATGTATGAAGCTCGACTCAGAGTGCTAAGTAAGAATAGCGTAAAAAGAGTAATGTCTCCTCAAGATGTTGTCAGTTGTAGTGAGTACGCGCAAGGTTGCGCTGGTGGTTTTCCATACTTAATAGCTGGTAAATATGGTGAAGATTTTGGCTTAGTTGAAGAAAGCTGCTTCCCTTATAATGGAAAAGACGAACCGTGTAAAGAAACCAAATCGAAATGCCGTCGCCATTCGACCACGAACTACTATTACGTTGGTGGATTTTACGGTGCATGCAATGAATACCTTATGATGCGCGAGTTGGTAAAGAATGGCCCTATTTCTATTAGTTTTGAGGTTTATGGCGATTTTAAGCATTACAAAGGTGGTATTTATCAGCATACCGGATTAGGAGATAGTTATAATCCATGGCAGATTACCAACCATGCTGTTTTATTAGTTGGCTATGGAACTGACCAGAAATCTGGCAAAGACTACTGGATTGTTAAAAATTCTTGGTAAGTCAGTCATGAGTAATCAATTGATGTAACCGATATGATGATGTATGCTTATAGATTATCTCGACATTGAATTTTTTAATTAGATTCTTTGTGCTTACTATCTAAAGAAGATAAATATTTAATTATCGCATATATACAAGATCAACTTAATTAACAATTATCCTTTTATTACCTTAACTCTGATAAATATTTCAATCTTATTTCTAAAAAAATATAATACTTATAATGTAGGGGAACAAAATGGGGAGAAAATGGCTTTTTTAGAATCCTTCGTGGTGTTGATGAATGCAGCATTGAGAATGAAGCTGTTGCTGTCACCCCTGTGGATTAAAAATAAATGCATAATTTTATGATAGTCATATTTTAGTCTAGTACACTGTAAGAAAATTTCTAAATTTTTACGTAAAGTATTCAAATCATTTTCTGTATTTCATATAGACGCGTGATGTAGGTAAGCGCATGATATCATATTACAAGAATGAAATATTAATACTATAGCTTAATGTGTAGCAGTTAAAATTTGATCGATTTTGCCCTAATAAATAAAGAAAAGAAATTAGAGTTGCAGTACCTCGTTTGTATTTTAATCCAACTCTTGACACATTTTACGCTTTGCATAAGCCAATTTGGTAGCCTAGTATATCTTAACTATGATATAATAATAGTAGTCGTCTTCTTCTGACACTTACAGCGCATATTATTAACTGACAACTGATCTGAATTTACGGTATTTACGGTCAATTAACTATTTTGTTATAGTTAAAGGCTTCTCCTTCTATGTACTGTATCATGAAAGGCATTAAGCAATAAGGCTTGCCAGCTTCGTTTCATAGATAGGTGTATCACTTTTCTTATTCGATCTTGTGCCTATACATTGAAAATACTGTGCCTTTTCTAAAACTATAAAGTTATAGCAAGGAACTAGCGGATTAAATTATTAAAACATTCCTGCTCTGAATCAGTAATTAACAACTGCTGCTTGTAACTATGAAACAAAATTTAATTATAAAGCCGTTTATAATCAACAATTCATAGTAATTTTATTGAAATAGAAGCATCTATTATGTTACTATCCAGTATGTTTTATCTAGAAAAGACAAATACAAGCCATTCAATTCGCAATCTGTCTGCGTAAACATATATATATATACGAGTATGTATATTAGTTATCGTACGGTGCCACCGCATGATCACGATATAGATTAGTGTCATACAATTTTAAAGTGAAAATGACATAAATATCGTCAATTACGACGAAAAAACTTAATCGATCTAATTGATACTAAAGAGCTACTTAACGTTAACAACAGAGTTAAAATTGAAATAGTTAGACGTTCATATACATCTAGTCTCAAAATAAATGTACCCGTTGCTGAAGTGAGATAAGCATCAACCATAATAAAATCGTTAATATATTCGTATCGCTATACACAGTAAATTTAGTGCCATATGATTATGACTTTGGATTTATAAGAATTAGTCCCATAGCAGTCTGTATGCCATTTGAAAACTATCTTTCTCCGACTGCTAAAGTATCACTGTCAAAACAGCAGGTTAATAATTTCTCACAATATTGCAGCTCTTCCTGTAAATCAATATTTGATAAAGTTAACGGCACTCATCATAGCGATAGTACTGTAAGCTGCTCTTGCTATAATTACTACGTTTTAATACGATGATTACAAAAGTTATCGTAATATACCTGCTGTGAATCACGTAATTCAGGGCTAGATAAAATTTGATCTTTGATCGAGCGTAGTGATTTTTCAAATTCAAGATGCGATTGACGGCATGCTTCAACGGCAGGAGCACAATTATCGGTTATAGCTACTAATGCGCTCAAGACGTGTTCATGGTAGCTATTGTGAGGTTCCTGCAAAATCACAGCAAGGTGATCAACAAATCCAACGCGAAGTAGAATATCTAGAACAGAAATTAAACAATCACAAAACATAGTTAATAGCCATACAATAACCAAACGATATTAATGTACATTTAAACCCAATACTTTTTGGCATATTTTGGTATCATCATGCTGGTAATATTAATTGGAATAATCTTACCTTTAATTTCAGGTTGATGAGCACACAACGCTTTACATAAGAAAGCTATTTTAATTCGCAATTTTGGCGCCTTCACTTGTAGGGAACGAACAATAATTGAGTATCCATCGTTTTCAGCGAATGACTCCTGGGCCTTTATGTGCTCTCTAATCAGGCCTATTGTAAGGTAACAGTATTTTATTAGCTTACTTTATAAAAGTTATACTGGATGCCATTCTTTTGCATAATTTGTTTATATGCTATAATTTGACAATATTGTATTTCAAATCCAGATATACTTAAAACTAGAACCATAGTCTACTGTCTACTCATTAATGAAATCAAGACGTTACGAAAAGATTCTTTGCATAAATGTTGCATTAAGCGATCTCCAGTTAGAAGATATAATTTATTAGATGAATGATTTACGTATACATATTGCGCAGGCAGCGCAGTTGAAGATTTTCTAAAAAGAATTTTAATCGCTACGATCGTGTATCTGTTAAGACTATGAATGTACGATAGAGCAAAAATGACAAACAGCCTATCATTCATTTGTTAATGAAAATATACTACACGGCTAGGATGCATCCGGATGTACTACATTGCCTAATCTATAGGACAGTAAGGCTTGAAACTTTCGACTGTAGCAATAAATAACTAGAACTAGCTTTATGACAGAGGCAATTGCTATCTTCGTAGCCGATACATGCTCAATGATATTTCAAAGTATACAGCATGATGTCATAATAGAGTGCTTTCAAATAGTAGTTCCTCTCACCTGATAATGCATATACGCATTTAACCTTAACTTCTGTCACATCCGAGTTTTGCAACAAATTTAGTAACGGCTGAATAACTTTGCAACGAATAGCAAAGTCTTGACACGATGGATTGTTTTGAGTGACGGTGGCAATTACGTTACATGAGGCAATAATGATATCACTGAAATCATTAATTCGTTCATAAAATGTTCATATTAGCAAGATCAAATCAAATACCATACAGGTGTCACTGTAAAGGACTACAGACAATTTATAAATCCAATCTGAAATTACTTTACAGCGGAACATAATCCCGTCATGAGTGGGATCAGGGTAACCATAGTATCTTATTAATTGACTGAATTCAATTCAAGCGGTAACATTAGCCGCTAAGGTGTACAGTATACACTAATAGCATATTTGCATCAGACATTAATTTGACACTTTGAACTCCCATATCAAATAGATATATCTTCGAATAGTAAAATGTGATATCACTTCAACCAGGCGTAATTACATCGACATTAAACTGTTCTACAGTAGGTTAAAGTAACCAGCTTCTATTTATATGTAATATTAATACGCGTACTCGTATTACCGGTACAGTGGAATAACTTACTTGTTTTTGATTTCCTCGATTAAATTAACCACATATTTCAATCCACCAATAGTACAGAAATCTAATAATGCAAATAACGAAAATTACATCTACCTACAATCTATAAGAGGAAAACTGCACTATCACAATACTGAATACTGAAGTTTATTTTATTGGAAAAGAAATGCATTGATATTTACATGGAATGAACAAGCTTAACTTTTTAAATGTTATCATGAACATAAAGCAAAAACTTACCTCGTGCATTATCGATCTGATCGATAATTTCAATAATCTCCTCCAAAGCATTTAGAACTAATTTTTTGTCTTCATCGGAATCAGCATAAGTATCAATATTGCGCTCCTTTCGTTTCATTTCCGATTTTTTCAATACTTCCGTACAAGCTTTCAAGCGATCAATTTCACTTTCTGCGCTGGATAAAAAATCTAATGCTGCTCTCAACCAGGTCCGTCTCTTTACATTAATCAATCCATTTATTCATCAATATTAGTATAAGTGTTTCAACACTTCCTGTAGTACTTTCTACGTAGAGTTATAAATCGTATCTCCAATGAGGAGAAGGATCATTTTATGCTAGATCCATTCCCCACGTGTCTATGATATGCAGTTTAAAACCAATACATTTCTGAACCCATTTTCTCGATCTACTACACCATACGTATATGCAACATTACGTGTGTATGAATGTTCTTGTATAGTTATGTTCAAGTCAAAATAAGTTGATCGATTAAGGAAGAGAAAGTTATATTATGCATTGATACTATCCTACTATTGTTCGTCTGTTCAAGATCGTTGTGTCAATGATACAATATGAGAGATTCAACAGTGTTTACTGAATCACCGACTTGAGTATGAAATCAACACTTGGTTGAAGAAAAAACTACTAAATACGATAGTAAACGATCTAGGCTTAGCTAGCATGAAAATCGATCTTTTTCTAACATTGTATAGCTTACATCTTCCGAAATAGGCTGATAGGCAATTTCTCCTCCAGCAGCTGGGGCATCTTGATGTTCTAATGCGAATCGCAACACGCCTTCGATGTTGATTCTCCTTCTACTGCGATCTGCCATGTTTGATTTTAACAAGTGCGCACGCGTTGTGTAGACAGTGCACGTCAAGGAATGTACACTTGTACAGAACATTGTACTGTACAGGCATGAGAAGCTATTGTACTGTACACTGTGTACAGTACAGTACAGTATGCGAGAACGAGCTTAAGGATCAATGGAGCGCTTGAATTAATAGGACAACGTTTCACTCTTATTAGTAAAGAGAATAGATGACTTTGCTGTTGCTAATTGCTAATAGAGTAGAGTACATTGCTATTGCGAGAACTAGCTTAGGGATCAATGAAGCGCTTGAATTAATATGATGACAACGTTTCACTCTTATTAGCAAAGAGAATAGATGACTTTGCTGTTGCTCTTGTACTGTAGTCGGCACTAAGCGCAGTACTCTACAGTACAGTAGTTTGGCGTGCTGTAGACTATACAGTACACTGTACTGTACAGTATGCGAGAGCCAGCTTAGAGATCAATGGAGCGCTTGAATTAATAATACGACATCGTTTCACTCTTATTAGTAAAGAGAATAGATGACTTTGCTGTTGCTAATTGCTAATAGAGCAGAGTACACTGCTATTATACAGTGCTGTACAGTGTACAGTACAGTATGCGAGAACCAGCTTAGGGATCAATGGAGCGCTTGAATTAATATGACAAGGTTTCACTCTTATTAGTAAAGAGAATAGATGACTTTGCTGCTGCTAATTGCTAAAAGAGTAGAGTACACTACAGTACAATGTACAGTACTACATATACTGTACACTGTGTTCAGTACAGTATAATTTGTACTGTAGTCTGCAGTCGGCACTAAGCGCAGTACAGTACTGTACTGTACTCTAGTTTGGCGTACTGTACACTGTACACTGTACACAGTGTACTGTACAGTATTCGAGAACCAGCTTAGGGATCAATGGAGCGCTTGAATTAATTCGACAACTTTCACATTATTTAGTAAAGAGAATAGATGACTTTGCTGTTGCTAATCGAGTAGAGTACACCTTCCATTCGACGGCCACCATAAAACCAAAGGGTGGCTGAATAACTGTATTCAATCGAATAACAGTCTTGTATACCCGTAGTGCAGTACTACAGTACTGTACACCGAAATACCGAATCAAGGACTACTGGAAAAGATTTTTTTTTCTAGTCCTGAACGGTAGTAGCGTATCGTTTTGGTACCGAATTACGGTATTCGACCAGAGACTAATACCGTAGAAGTACAACACAATAAGTAGAGCGAATCACAAGACCGGAAAGAGTCCAAGTCGCCGGGATTTACAATAAGAGCCTTGTCATGTATTCAATTCCGATTACTGGTATGTTGATATAGGCGTAATTATACCATTTCACGCCACAAGCTAGATTGTAGATTTACCCTTTGAATACTCATCATCATTAATTAACGAGCCCAACTGAGTACAAGAAGGATTGACTGCATTCCAGTACAGTATATGCAGTTTTTTGGACCTGGTTGACAATAATACTATAGTGTCCTGAAAGAAAAATTGCCTTGAACTTTTTCTCTTCTTGACCCAGTACAGTATACTATAGTGTCTACAGTACAGTCTACTCTATACAGTATACTGTAGTACTATAGTGTACAGTACAGAACAATGTACATGCATGGGTGACATTTCATTTTGCAAGTCACCACGGATATCGCGCTTTTTGACTGGTTAACGTCACGTCTTTCAACACTGTAGTGTGATTTTTTATTGTCCGGGGCGGTCTCGTATCAGTTACGTCAGAAGATTACGGGTCAACTTTGATTGTACCGATCGACAGTCGTCTCGCTCGCCAGCATAATAAAAAGATTAAGATAAGAGGTTATGTAAACACTACGCGTGCGTGTCGCCGACATTCAAAGCAAACATGGCGACGACAAGGCGTAATATTTCCAATCGCATTTTATTGCTTTTGTCAATACTCTTCGTTTGTGAACATGGTAAGAAATGATCGATAAACTATTTCATCATGTTAGCTCATTTTTTGGCATGATCATAAGGTGTATGGTTTTCTTTTTTAATTTTTCTTTGCTTAATTTACTGGTATGATAAGTTGATAGACTAGCGCTTCTCCAGTAAAATCGTGTATGAAATGGTAAACCGCGAGTAAACAAATTTATTTGATTAATGCAAACTCACAGTCAAAAAAGGTCATGCACGATACCGATGATTGAGATTTCGGCCCATTCAAGGCTATCTTGATTCACGGTCTTGTAGTAGTTCCTTTGGAGGATTTAGGAAGAAATTCAATCACACTAGAAGCCCATCCTATTGCATTGATTAATTACTACACTGACTTTAGAAGGAGTAAAATGTCAATGACTCGATTAGGATTGATTCTCCCTATTAGGTAAATTAAATAGGATCTATTTCAAATTGGGAATTTGAAATTTTATCCAACTATAAAGGATACCAATTCATTTCAATTAGTAAACGATTGATCACTCTACTTCCAACTCATTGAATGGATTGGTTATTCATTACGCTGGACACAAGACAGATAGTGATGTCGTGGAAAAAAAGATGATCATCATTATTATTATTACATGGTACGCACAATTAATGAATGCAATCTTATGTTGTATCTTTATATTTCATTACGTACATAGTCAGACACACAATCTTCAGTTTCGTTTTACTCAATTTTATGATAGCTGAAACATTATTCTGTACTCATCATGATCGTCGATTGACTTCACCGCCGATGGCGTTAGTCAATCTATCGCTCCATTCCTACATGGAAATAAAGATACGATGATGAATTGGATGGAGCTTCTCATCACGTTATCATCAGATCTCTTCTTGTCTATTCAAGAGAGAAATCCTATAAACACTATAGTGTACACTTGATAACAATGCTAAGTAATGTATTATTATCATTTTAATGAGGCTATTGCGGACTAGCATGTCGATCAATGATCATGTCTTTGTAGTATTATCAATGTTATATTACAGTATATACCAAATTACCCATGCATTCTTCAGTATATATTTTAGACAATCTTTCCCAGTGATTAATCGTATTATTATTACGTATTTTACATACAGAATTGCTTTGGCAACGATCGGAGGCAATCATGTTTTTAGATAGAGAGGCAAGGAAAGCATTATAGTAATTAGTTTTTTTATTTGTTTTCGTTTTTAGTCATATCTACGATAATGATATCTCAACGTATGCATTAGAGTAAATTACAGTAGTATGACATCATTTATACCATCATGGCATGTAGAAAAAGCCTCGAATAAATCAACTCTTGTTTCAAGTATCGTTATCTGAACAAAAATCCTCTACGTACGAGTACAACTATGGACTTTTAGATGCGATGATCTATAAGTCCATGGTACATCACGCGGTCATTTATATTCTGAAGATGGCTAGAAACCCCATAGTACTGTATAAAAACAACAACAATAGCGTTGATGCTGTTAGCAATTTCAATAGTGTTCTCATTAGTGTTTTAATGGATAGTTTAATACTACGCAAGCGATAAAGTCAATCGAGTTTGTATATTAATTTTTATTTTTTTCCATTCTACTGTCCTGCATGCTACACTAAATTTTTTCTTTGTCATAGTATTTCATGACAATAACATTCAGCAAAAATTAATTTCAATATAGTGGAGCGAGCTATTTATGTTACAATTGGGGATTATAAAAAATTACTGGTAACCAAATAGCTATATTAAAATGGTATTACTTCGAGAGGAAATTCCTTCAAGCTTATACTCTAGTTATAAACGTATCAACAATATTATCACGATCCTTGACATAGCGAAAAATCAATCAATCATCCGCCATCGCATGATGAATGAGATTATATAGATAGTTATTGCTATGCACGGTATAAAAGTACGTAGAGTCATTTTTCATGGTCTAATCGGTTTATTCACTTAATCAATTCTGTGTCTGTTATCAGTGATATATCGCCAATTAATCGCCTGATAATTTATATTGTTATCTTGATTAATGCATCAATCGTAATTTATCAGTTATTTTTTAATTAATTCTATTTGCCCATTATATAGCAAGAGCTTTTTAAGATACGGCCAAAAATTACTTTGTAAACACGTAAATCCCTCAACTAGTGATGAAAACTATTAAAAAGCTTAAATTGACCATTAGCAAAAATAATAATCCACGATCCTCCCATCAACTAGACTGTCCACTGTCGACTGAGTTGTGCAAGCAATCTATAAGATAATGTTGAAAAAGAAGAAAGGAAGAAACAAGCATCAACTAATTTATAAACCTTATCTATTTTCAGCGATATCTCTCACTTGCTATTGTAACAGTCATGGAAATGCAAATCACTGTTATACTAGTAAGAATGGCAGTAAATTGTGCAATACAACTAATCGTGATAAATCTAGATGCTATCATTCTCTCGAAGTCAATGGCAGTGTAACTACTAGTGTTATGGGTTGTTTGTCGCATGTCAACGGTAGCGGTTCGACTCTATTTCACTGTAACTTTGTACCGAATAAAGATGCACCGATTCGAAATTATATACGTTGTTGCAATTCTGATTACTGCAATTTGGCGCCGCCTACTTATCCTCCACCAACGATGAAGCCTCAGCCATCGACGCCGATAGGTAAATCCTGGAGCGATTAATTTTGTATCTTTAACGGAAAGGTGTCAACGAGGATATTTGAATTTTAAATAATTATAGACGAGTTATAAGATATTTCGCGCTTTTTTATTTTAGGTGCTGTAATCCCTCTTAACTTATAATTAACGACATATAAATTGACTGATTTAAATCGATTCAATAATTAGACTTTTGTACATCACGTGGTAGTAATATCGTCGATCATTGATTCTTGAAAGTAATAGAAAAATTACGTAGATGCCTCAACACAACCAATACGCGTGTAATTCCTTTTTTTTAGGAACTCAAAGCACCCAAAGACCAATCGACAGTGGTGATATCGCATTAATTGTGTGTTCTGCTATTGGTACTAGTTTCATCGTATTAGCCACCGGCTATCTCTATCTAAGGTAAAAGAATTTACCTATACAGTGTTCTTTAATAAAGTTCACATTTTGTGATAAATAGAACGTTAGATCATTTATTGGTTTTCAGCGTAAATGCCTTTGCCCGAAAAAATAAATTTTCTCAAGAAGTTCTTTAACGCTCATATTCATTCAATATAGGTTTAAGCGAAAATATCAGCGGGAGTCGTCTTCTAGCTTAGATTTAAATATGAATGATGGAAATGGTACAAGTGCAGCGACTATGGAATCATATAAAATTTATAGTGAAGTTACTTCGGGTTCAGGCGCTGGAAGGCCGTTGATGGTAAAATTATATTTCATTAAATGTAGGCGAATGGGATTATTAGAATGCAAGTTGTACGATAGATAACCACAATCTTTAAAATAGGTCAAGAGAACATTTGCTAAAGAGATCACTTTAGTAAAAGCCGTTGGAAGAGGAAGATTTGGTGAAGTTTGGATGGCAAAATGGCGCGGTGGATTTGTTGCTGTTAAGATATTTTACTCAATAGAGGTCATTTCATACACTGTGCTGTATTTATGCTTGAATTTGCTCTAGACGCTTATGTAACAATAATTTTAAATATCAATTATAGGAAGCGTCGTGGAGAAGAGAAACTGAAATTTATGAAACAACATTAATGAGACATGAAAATATCTTAGGCTACATCGCTTCTGACATTATGGGTAGCCAAAGTGTTACTCAGTTATATCTCGTAACAGATTATCATGAATTCGGATCGTTGTATGATTATCTACAGGTACAACCAATAAAATTTACATATTATTGCTCACTGCTTAGTTTTCTATTATCTTAATTTTCAAAGGGTCAGTATTGCGATAAATTTGACATGATTCGATTAGCTTTGTCAGCTGCTAGTGGTTTAGCATATCTGCATGCGGAAATTGTTGGTAAACAAGGTAAGCCCGCTATAGCTCATCGCGATATCAAATCCAGGAATATTCTCGTTAAACGTGACAAGACTTGCTGTATTGGAGATTTGGGTAGGAAAAATAAACTTCAGGTTTAAAATTTTACTGTCTAATTTAATCTAGATCAACGTTGTTCTACTTAATATTACTTGTTATTAGGCTTGGCTGTGCGCTATGATTCCGAAAAAGATACAGTAGATATTGCTCCAAACAAGCGAGTAGGCACGAAAAGATACATGGCTCCAGAAGTTCTAAATGATACTTTGAATACCGCTAAATTTGAAGACATTAAAAGGGCAGATGTTTACTCCTTTGGTCTTGTATTGTGGGAAATATGCATTTGCAGCGTTATCAACGGTAAATAATTATTGCTTTTCCTTACGTTTGAATTGTTTGCATTTTCCTATAAATAGTTAGAACTATCTTTTGATACATATGTGTATACACTCTCTATAATAGACGATGATGATCGAATAGTTGAACACCATTTACCTTATTGGGATAAGGTACCGCAGGACCCAGGTTTTGAAATAATGAAGGAGGTTGTAGTGCTGCAAAACACACGGCCACCAATATATGATGTATGGATTAGGGATGCGGTAAGTGTTATCGCAACATGAAAGATATAGCTATAACTGTTATCTTAGGTGTAATCGCTTTTTTTATCCTTGTTAACAATTATAGCATATGCGAGTTATTGGTCAAGTTCTATCTGAATGTTGGCATCAGTCTGCGCCGGCAAGATTAACAGCATTACGGATAAAGAAGAATCTAGCCAAGCTAGACATTGAGATGAAGAAATCTCAACCGATTATTTAATTTAATTTAGCCTTTTGTAGATTAGTTTATCGTCGTCGTGTTGTGCGCAAACTTGGTAAGGAAATATACAGAAGAGATGCCTCATTTTAAAAATTTTTTATCCTTGCAAGCTTGGATTATATTTTTAAATATTACTGTACATTGTCTCATTGCAATGAACAAGTTAATAATCTTATTCAGGTACTTGGTATGAGTTCTAATTCTTACAGTAAGTAATTTTATAACTCAGTTATTGATAAAAGTATTTTATCTGCGCTACGACGACGTTAAATTGTACAAAGTAATTGATATTATTATTGAAGTTCCTGTACATTGAATTGGTACTACATGACTTTTTATTACCCATTTCCGATATAAGATGGCGCAACTAACCTAATAGCGAATCAATTTGTGACATATATATAACTCGACTATATCGACAGTAAGTGAAATCTATAAAAGAGCGGCATTTATCAAAAATTTTAGTTCAATTTTATTCGTGTTTAGACTCTGTACATGTAAATATATACATATATTAACGTAAATTGATGAATCGAAATGTAAATTTCTTGTGTTGAGTTAAATACTCATAATTGTATCATTTCCAGTATTAATATCTAAATGACAGATTTGTGAATATGATGGCAAAACTGCAATTACCATACTTCTCAACAGATATTGTAATTGTTTATTTAACCAACACTGTATCCTCTAAATGAAATTGCGAATTTATGACAAGCTTCATGGAATCTATTTCTGATGAATTAGTCTTGTAATTATTATTTATCGCGTTAAACCTATCAATAAATTTCATGTATGCTTTCATCCGAATTTCAGAATGAAATTATCATTATTTTTAAAAGTGTAGCTGATATGCGAATGCACGTCACTTTATATAAGGTGCAAGTAGATTTTCGTAAACTAGTCTTTTCTGTTAATACCATGACAACATCAAATTTTATAATTAATACTGGATAATGAAATCTCTAAAGGATTTAAAGTAGATTGTTATCAACTGCATGAACTAATTCTGTGGATTATGCCAGAAGAGAAAAAATTAACTCTATCAACAGTATTTTACGACAGAAATGATTTAGAGTAACGGTGCGGCATATGCGTATTATACGTGTATACTCGTACATTGCTTGATCAGATCATAAGTCGATTAAGCTTAGCGTGTGGGGGTGATCTTTATCGCTCAGTAGAATATATCTGAACTTTGCTTAGTATCGATAGATAGACTTACGATATTCTTGTATAGCGTAGAAGAACAACAAATGACCTGATCGCGAAAAATTATTACGCTGTTGTTATAGCATAATTTTTGTTGCCTTTTGGTTTCATGATAACATTGAATGTAAATAAATATTTACTAAATCTACAGTATAGGAGTTATCTATATGATGACTCTATTAATTATTATTAAAAATACATTTGGTTATGGGCATAAAATAATTATATGAACTGCATTAAGATGCGATAATAATGCTATTTCAAAGTTCTAATGCCGTTTATTTAGATAAAGCTGAATTATCTAAATCAACTGCCTTGATGCTAGTGCATTTTGTACCTCGTGTGTGCTAAAGTACGATACATTATTATAATGCAAGAGAATTATTTAATCATCGCCATATGGCATTTGTTAGATAATTTAACAAGCATGTATTAATAAAGAGATAATAAATACTTGCAACTAGCTTGACGGTGTGCTACATCTATTTATAATGTTATTTAAGTAATGTGTATTGATAGCTGTGTAGGTTTGCCGTAAATTAATTGTTATATCTATAAAATTTGAGCTCATAATTTAGTGAAGAGGAGGCACGAGAGAGGTGTAATTGCTAGAAAATAATGAGCTAAAGGTAGTTGTGATGATTGCCATTGAAAGTAAATAAATTCATAACGGTATCAAGCTAATTTATATACTGATTCAAGTAGTGATTACAAATTCGAACCCATAAACGAGAAAAATAACCAATTTGCAGCTGGAATTATTTTTCTAACTTAGAATGTAAACAGTACCGAGTTATAGTAGTTAGGCGACAATGAGATATATATCTGATTGATCTATTTATTAGTTTGACTGTAACAAACTTCACTATCTACTTAAGGCGGCTATTTCTACTACCGTAAAAGTAGTGGTATTAATTTGCTGTTCAAGGTCTTGCCTATCTTGATTGATTGTGTAGCAGCTATCGCCCTATGTTGGGTTTTCTTCGCTTGCTTTCAACAATTTATAATTAGCAGAGTTGTGCCTTGCTTTAACTGACTCCGAAAAGCGATGAAATACGGGTTCTTTTATAGCATTTCTAAACTCTGACACCGGTACTATAGCGTTTCTTATGATTGATTGCGCTAGCTACTGTAGTATTTTTAAGTTTAATTATCCTAACGTTCAGCAGTATCCGTGTAGTACCATATAGTTAATAACAACGCATCTTACACCTAACAATATCGTATACTTATTGATAGCTAATAAATAGCAATAAAGTGATACTGTTTTGAAGTTAGATTACTGAAGGTAATTCATACAGGTACTGATTACGCACGAAACCATATATCCTGAAGATTTTATTTATCTAATATAGAGGGTATCAAGATTGAACTGTAGTATGAAACTCCTAGTATTGCATACCTGATAGATTGACTCTGACCGAATCTTATTGTTTATTGATGACAGCCATTTTCATCCATCTTTAAATTTATTTTACTTTCTAACCTAGAATACGCGGAGCAATACTAACATAGTAGCAAGAATGTAACAGCAGCTAGAATGAACTGTACAGTACTTTACAACGCCAGTATACTATTTATATAGTTATAGCAATATCTCTCTAATTCAGTGAATAGCGTGAGGACACTGAAATAGGCTAGTTTGAATTTCGGGCCACGTTTGCCATTTATTACTATCTATCATGAGGCTAAAGACCTGAAGTAAAGTAATTGATTTTCAATAGTTGCCATGATTCATTAAATAATAAATACGTAGCATAGTTAGCGTAATTTAAGTTTTCGAGCTGATTTTAACAGTATAATCTTTAACTTTAAAATTAACGGAAATAATTATACCTAGTATGATGGATATTCAATCGAGTCCAGCTTAATTAATAACTCGATAAAAAATTTACTTGTGTATGATAGTTATGTTTCCGTAGTAACTGCAAACAATGCAACAGAAGAATTAATTCTTCTGTTATACTTTGTAAGAGCAATTCCATTTAATTGTTGCACCATATAGAGGCATTATTGTACCCACAGTTGCCATATTAACTCGTCAAAGTCATAAACAAATGAATAATAACTCTTTTATTATCTATTGACTTTACCTCTCATGAATTTACAGTTCTCTAAATGTGCCATTATTCTATTTATTTGCTATTGATCAAGGAAAAGATTAAGAAAGTGTTGCAAAATAGACAAGTTATTTACCTTCCTATACTATGATACGATGTATAGTCATTGCTGCTTTATAGTAAGCATCTTTATATACCGTTATTACATAGGCTAACAAAGTGCAACCAAAAATCAGCTTCATTGAGAATAATGTACCTTTATTTCGAAGGGCTAAAAAATTTACAATCAGTAATAACTATAAAATCGAACTCACAAAATTGATCATTCGGTGAATTGATTTGTTTTGCATTGAATCATGATCAATTTGCTACGTCAATTTTCAATTTTCGTTGATTAAATGGAGTGCAATAAAATATCTCTTAAAGTGCTAGCAGTTGACACTTTGTAGTTACTAAATCAAAACAATCTTATCAAACCAATCTTCAGTAGAATCGCTTTACAAGCGTTTCTGATAAACTTAATAATATTATGTCTGTTCCTATTCGTCGATATTATACTGTGCAGTATATACAATATATATTAAAACCGAGAAAGTTTTCGCTAAAGATCATTATCTTCATACTTTGTAAATTTTGAGATATTCCAAAATTATCTAGCAGCTTTAAACGGCTATTACCCTTATTTCGCGTTAATCATGATTTTGCTACAGACAATGATAAGGTGCAGAGCATACGAAGTAATTTATGATTACCCAGGCGTTTATTCACGATAACCCTTTTTTTATATGATCAAGAATTTGCTAGACCATCCACTTTTATTTGATTACAATAGCTATTCAGTTTGGTTATCAATCCGTTCTTTCATACAGTTGTTTGAAGAGGTTGCACCGTAGTTAGGTTGCTCTTGGAGAGATTACGATTTTGCGTCATTGTTGCAAGTTTGGTCCCATTTTTTTCTATCACTGAATTGCGAGATTTCGAACGAGTACATGAGAGCAATTTGTTGGAGTATTTTCTCACTGCAATAGTAAATAATCCATAGATAATAGGATTCCAAATAGAATGAGAATAAGCAATATAGTCAGCAATAAGAAAAAGGATATATCCGAAGAATTGAATGGATTCAAAGGGAGAGCACTGAAATCAATTAATATGATAAGGATGTAAGCTAACGCATAACAGGAGAAAAATATGATGCATATAACTGCCATCATGATGGTGATTTTTCTTTTACTCTTGGAAATAACCTTGCTGCGATTAATTTCTTGTCTTGCTGCTTTATATATGGTTAATGCGATACCAGTGTTGAAAATGCAAATACATAGTAAGGGAATAAAATAGAATAACACCGCCATCGAGATTGAATAAGCTTGGCGACTCTTTAGCGATGTCCATGCTTCGATGCAATAATGATCACCATGAAATTCCTGAACCTGAAGTATAACCCATTGCGGGAAGACAGCTATCAATGCTGTAAACCAAACGATGAGTATAAGCGTAATAGTTGATCTTTTACTCAATCCAAAGGTTAACGGCGATCGAATACAAAGCAAACGGTCGTAGCTAATGGCGACAAGATTTAACGCCGTTGCATAGACTGCCCAATTGCGAACACTGTAAATAGCTTTACACAGGAAATCATCGAAGGGAAATTCGTCAAAGACAGTCACTACGGCTATAAAGGGTATACTTGCGGTTGTAATCAGATCAGCAATTGCTAAGTTGAATATAAATAACCTAGCACTAGAATAGCGTCGATGGTGTTGCTTATACGTTACTACACATAGTAAAACATTACCAATGGAGGATAAAATAAATATGATACCATAGATAGTGATTACCTGAATAGGCGAAGGAGTGGTACCTGTTGAGTTATTATGATAGGTGGTGTTCTTCATTCTTGAATGTTGACGGGATTCAAGGCCCTATTGAAGCTTATCAAACTACTTGAGTTTTCCCGTGTAGTCTTAATAATATCATATGGATAGTACTAATTGTTAGCTATCGACGATGAAGATTTTTCAGTCGTAGAATGGCGCCAGTCTACTAAAATTAGCACAGTAAATTGCTCGTTAATAACGTTGGCTATTTTTCCACCTCGCTCAATACATGATCAACTATGATCAATCTTGCCTTTTCGGTCAACTTGGCAGGAAGTCTATTTCAGACTGTCGGACCCGTCAACGACTTTATTATAATGAGACGTTGCCCAAAATATTGATATCAGATCATTACTTTGCTATACCATATTCATTATGAATAACTTCATTAATTCAAGTTGATTGTTTTAAAATATAATAAATCAGTGTGGCTCATATTGGAGACTACTGCATCATTATAATAACTTAATAGGCAATCCATAACAAAATTCCCTTTTTTCCTTTCTTCTACTATGATAGACATGTGGATGGACATACCCATTTCCCTCGGAATCTGTAGTCAAGCAGGCTACTGAAACGGTTCTCTACAATATAGTGTACAGTAGTGTACAGTATGCTCCAATCGAATTCAATAGACAACACAATAGTTCTATGCAAATTTGAGAGAACTAATACTAATCCAAAATACAGTATTTCAACTGTTTATTTTTTTGGCAAATAATATCCTAGGAAGTGGAGAGCTACTATATTAGTCATCCTTCATTGCCATTCCCGCTCTCCTTATATATATAAATATATATAATGTCGAATGGTAATACTATCTGTTAATTATTAACAAATGGGTACATTATCGCAAGCCGTCGACGTGAATAGTTCTATGCAAGTTTGAGAGAACTAATACAGTACTAATCCAAAATACAGTATTTCAACTGTTTATTTTTTTGGCAAATAATATCCTAGGAAGTGGAGAGCTACTATATTAGTCATCCTTCATTGCCATTCCCGCTCTCCTTATATATATATGTATAACGTCGAATGGTAATACTATCTGTTAATTATTAACAAATGGGTACATTATCGTAAGCCGTCGACGTGAATAGTTCTATGCAAGTTTGAGAGAACTAATACTAATCCAAAATACAGTATTTCAACTGTTTATTTTTTTTGGCAAATAATATCCTAGGAAGTGGAGAGCTACTATATTAGTCATCCTTCATTGCCATTCCCGCTCTCCTTATATATATAAATATATATAATGTCGAATGGTAATACTATCTGTTAATTATTAACAAATGGGTACATTATCGCAAGCCGTCTACGTGAGTTTGTACTGTACAGTATACTGTACAGTACTGTACAGTACAGTATACTGTATTAAGGACCACTAGAGTACTGTACTGTACGCTGTAACTGTACAGTACAGTACACTACAGTATAGCGTACTGTACAGTACAAGACACGACTGTAGCGCAGTAGCTGTGCCCTGAATTTACAGTCAAGCAGCCATTTTGGATGGCAATTGCAGACAGTATACTTATAGTATATCATTTCAGACATCCAATTTAGTTGAGATGGCCAGCAAAATAGTCAGTCTTATCATTTTAGTCTTCTTAATAAGCGGCCGTTGCCTTTCCGTCTAGTAGTCCGCAACACTACAATATGAATGACTAATTGACTATGGAGGTCTTCTTAATAAGCGGCCGTTGCCTGTCCGTCTAGTAGTCCGCAACAGTATACTGTACAGTACAGTACTGTACTCATGTACTGTACTGTACAGTGTATCGTACTGTAGCGTCGTGTACTGTACTGTACTGTACAGTACTATACTGTACAGTACATAAAAAAAGCGTGCATTAACAGTCACAGTGCTGTACTACAGTACAGTACTGTAAGTTGTAAGCTGTAAAAGTACTGTAGTACAGTACTGTACTGTACTGTACAGTACTGTACAGTATGCACTGCGTCTACAGTACAGTGTACTGTATACAGTAGTACAGTACTGTAACACTGGTTGACCGCTGGTTTGTACTCTACTGTATCCATGCATTTTTTCACAGAGTGTACTGTACACTACACCCTGTGCCGTACTCTACCATACAGTAATATATTACTGTAGAGTATGGTTTGCACCATGGTTGTTGAACAAGACTCACCGACCGCGGTGCCTGACGGTCATAAAACCACGTTGTGACGAAGCTTCATCCTCTTTTGACACTACGACATTTACGGCGTGTACAACCTCGAGAAAAGTAAGTTTCTTGCCCTTAAAATAAGTTAGTTTACAGCTTATAACGGTAAAAAAACTGGTAAAATTACCTAGATAGAAATAAAATAAGGCTAAATGGTACAAAATAGGATAGTAATTGATTGATAAGGATCATTTTAGAGTCATTTCAAAGATTACACTAGTGGAAGATGGCGCTATACCTAAAAGTAGCCTTGATAGCGTAGTCAGTTTGATGGCGTAAAATTGAATTCACCCACTCTTTGATAGTAATAGAGTTAGTCATTGGAGTCGGTCTACGCTGTTATTGGTAAATCGTTTCGTTTTTCTTATAGTTATTGATGGATTTCTGTTGATAGATGAGATACGTGAGTGCATACTTGTTAGCACGACTTGGTGGCAACGATTCACCTAGTGCATCGGATATTGAAAGTATTTTAGGCAGCGTTGGTATCGATGTTGATAGTGAAAGATTAAGTAAAGTAATCTCTGAACTAGAAGGTAAAGATGTAGATGAGGTGATCAAAGGGGGTCTTTCAAAATTAGCATCTGTTCCATCTGGAGGTGCTGTCTCATCAGGTATACCAAGAATTTCCATGCTTAAGCGATGATTTCGATCGATCAATTCCAATATCGGCTAATAGTTTAATTTGTACTTTTACAATTATTTGTAGGTGCTGGTGCATCGGCTGGAGGTGGTGCTGCCCCTGAAGCAGAAAAGGAAGAAAAACCAGCTGAGAAGGAAGAAGAAGAAGAATCTGACGATGACATGGGCTTCGGCTTATTCGATTAATTTCTTGGGATTAAATTCTCTTCTGTAAATTTACTACACCTGTCAGTTCCAATGTTAAAATAAAAACTTGATTTAACGTAATCTTGTGCCAAATTACAAGAAATACCGTATTTGACATCGATACAAATTGCAAGCATTTTATCCTCTTTCAGCTTAGGATAGAGTTTGATATTCTTATGCGATAGGTTACATATACATAGTTTGCAGTTCTACAAATTCATCCTTGAAACTGATATAGTTAGACATACGCATTAGCAAGTAGCTTCAGGGTGAAATTCAAAATTTGTATCATTTAGTCTAGTAGGCTGCTTGATGTACATGAAATTATATTTACTAAACTATTTAGGTGCTTGCTGTTATTGAGCATTAGAGCTCTAGTGGCTGATTACTGCGCATAGTACGTAATCATATTTAGATTTTCACCTTCGCTGCTACGTGATAGAGATTCGCCACTTACGTACGATTCTATGCTGATTCCCAGACATTAAAGTACATGTACATCACTTTAAAGCACATCGCCATTGCTGTCAAGGGTAAATAATATTAATTAGATAAAGAACGATATTTGTACCTGCTACCCTAGCAGTCATGCTTCTTATATATGAGGTTTAGAATCAGTGTGTACAGTAGTAACATTGGTGAACCGATTACCTTTCTGCAAACTACTGCAATAACACTATCTTTTCCTTTTGAAAGCCCTCTAAGTCGAAACTTGTTCACACCATTGGATAATTTTACTACTGTGGAAATATAGTGACAAGATCGTAGATACTTTTACTGTCAACGTTTTATTAGACTCGGTAAAAAAAATAATTATACATCATTGGATAGCTCATGAACATGCTACAGTATCTAGGTACACTTTCGCGTATTGCAGATTGCTTAAGTGTTAGTCAGAAGTCAGTGACTGGCGATATTCATTCTAAACGTTATGCTACAAATTCTTCATGAATATATGCATCCACTAAGGTTATTATTTATTAATAATTATTACGAATTGGCCTTGATATTACAACAAATATTACAGTATAATTATATTAATATTACAAAGCGATTCAACATAATTATAATTGAACAAGTTCTAACGCACATAAGATAGGATTGCATGAAGTGCAAAAGTCAAATTACCACATAATTTTACTTTAGTCCAGTCCATGCCTCAATTCATTGTACAGATAGTCGTACTGATTTATCAAGAGACATGAGCAAGGTGACGTATAAATGATTACAATGCAATTAATTCGAGCTGTGGGGATTTATAGATGTATAAGCCAAACTAACTCAAACGCTACAATAATCATACTGTTTATGTGTGCATGTATCATGATTTATGCTTAAGGTTAGATTTTCATGGGAGAAGTTAATTGTAATGGCTATGATTTTCAAACAGCCGGTTATGATTAGATTTGCGAGAAAGAAGATCAATGTACCCCTTCCGATTCTTAAACCGCAAACATGGTACAAATATTCAGAGCTTTCTAAACTATTCATGCCCATAGGATAAATAAATAATCAACGGTGTAGTGAACAACAAAGGTACTGTAATATCAGGCCTCGGTACTTCGAATTATTTATTCTCTTGTCTGTCTGCATTCACGGAAAGACAGTACCCTAGAAAAATAGAAAACTAAAATTAAACTATGATTATTAACGGTATGTGGACGATCAACAAAGTATTTTAATGGAAATCGGCATGCTCAACAATTGAATAAATGCGGTTATATTAGAAATTATAGTTAAGGATAAAACAATGTTTATAAGGTAAGGACAACAATCACACTTTTATAATATTGATCATAAATCAGGCTTTTCATTACCAAACGATAACTTTAGGGACTACGAGTATCGCAGTCATGACGATAAAAACCATCGCAGGGTTTACTACACGGCTTGCCATAAATATTCCGAGGAAGGTTGGCAATCCAATTATAGCAATGATTAATTGAAGAAGGCCAGCAAAACAGAACAGGATTCCTAAAATAATTTTATAATATTACAAATCTAATCAGTTAAATTGGGGCAAGTATGAGTAGATGTTACTATCGTGAATTGATTAGAATATCAAGATCATGAGAATTATTACGATGTTATCGGTGACGTTATGAACTTGCTATAACTATTTAGTAATGCAATATATTGAGCTTAAACGTATTGAGATGATAGAATATTGGCAGCAATAGAATAACTCGCTATTACTAAAACTATTGCAATTGCTCGCTACTCAAATAATTGTATACTTCTTTCTATTACGATAAGGGCTTATGAAGACATCTCGTCAGTATGATTTTAAAGTTATAAGTTTGATGATTATCGATCGTAATATTGACTAGTTTAGTCGCCGTATCATCACTGCGAGCATGATAATAAAACATGGCGAACGTGAAACGTTTACCTTGTTCGTCTTCACTAACAAGCCTAGATAAAATGCTAAGCAAGCAAGGAAGGGTAACTCCTCCTATTGCTCCAACACCAATTGCTGGATATAATTGAAAAGATAAAGATGCGATTTAGGAATCTCATTTAATATTTTAGCCAATGATAGAATATTCTATAACCATACTTGAATTAGGCATAGACATATGAAGCAACATTTGGTAAGAAAAATGCTACTCTGGCAGACCGTGCAATGTATAATTGAATATTAACTTAAGCTGACATTAAATTAACGATATACTCGATTTTAATATCTGTAGGATAGTTGCAAAGATTAATAATAGGAGTACAAAAATTACGACCTGTTCATTTAGTAATAGGTGAATGCAATACAATATAATTGCGAGATACATTGGATATTACGTTCATGGTATTTGGGTAAATCTTTCTACCCGTACATGATCAACAACTGCGTTATTATAATTTCTTAAATTAGGCACAGCACAACTAAATGCACAGTAGTGTTATAAGTGATAAAATGTATCGACTAAATAAATGGTAATAGCACTTACATCCAAATAGTACCGAGCTACTGGTCGTCACAGATATCATGATCGTTTCCATAATCATAAACGTAATTCCAATACCAGCTATTGTCAATTCAGTAAAGCAGCCTTTAAACAGTAACCAGCCAATAACTGCTCCTGCTCCCATAGCTATTTCTCGTCCACAATCATATATTAATACTTTATCGATAGACCAGCAATACGGATAACCGGATAGATAGAGGTTAATCGTTTCAAAAAAACCAATCACGGAAAGTAATACGAATGAAATAATAACCCATATCAAGCAATAATGCACTTTATTATCACGAGATTTAAAGATGGTCTTAAAGAAAAAGGCGATATTTTTAGAAATATCGGCGGCGTATTCTCTTGTCCGTTTCATGTCATAAATGCTGGCTTTGACATTTGGCGCTTCCAACAAATACCAAACGTAGAAGATAGCTAAAGCTACAACTACAGCAGATAGTGCGAGAGGAGGAATAAAACCGTAGTATTTTGCCCATTGCTCACCTACAATTGTAGCGATGCCTTGAGTGAGTAGCTGAGCTAGCTGAATATAAACGAAACGAGATGTACGAGAACTTTGGCTATTAAGATCTACCACGTAAGCGTAGCAGCAAAATATGAATGTGGGATAGCCGCCAAATATTCCAGACATCACATTACCAACGATAAAGCCGGCTGGGGACGAAATTGTTGCGATAGTAATGATATAACCGATGATTTGTATAAAAATACCGGTCATGGACATTATTAAGAAGGTCCTTCGACTCCGGTACTGATCAGACCAAACAGAGTAAATTATGGAGAAGAAAGCAGACGGAAGAATGTATACTGAATTAACAATAGCGATCCAAACAACTGGTGATAGCTCATGATGCTGCGAAGACGGTTTGTTCGTGATATTGGGTTTAGGTAATAGGCCATAGGGGATGCAATAGCTGGAATTGCGACCAGTAAATATCGAAGCATTTGGTGAGTTTTTTAAAGTATTGTAAAAAATTGGATAAGAGGTAGACAATTCGTTGCCTATTCCGTAGCCGAGAAATACTAGGAATATTACGACTTCAATATGTGAAACGTAGCGACGTAGTATAGGAATGGAAAACCTGGATTTGGTATTGCCACTACCTACGAATAAATCATCCAATTCTTCACTTACTGGTTTAGCCGTCTCATCCATGCTAATTGATTAATTTCAAGTAAGAAACGATTTATGCTAATTTTAGATAACTAAAACCGTATTCCTATAACTACCGTACGATTGTAAAAACAATATTAGCTATTATAATTAATCCGTCTAGATACAAACTAGTATCACCTATAGCATCAAGAAGCTTTAGCCTTCAAACTGAAAAAAGAGATGCAATACGTGTAGATAGACACTAAAAGCTTTCAAGCTTTTTTGAACTAATTGACCTAGACGACTCTTGTAACTGTTATTCACTACAGCTATACAAACTGTCTATAGTTAATAAGTAGGTCCGACAATTTAAAATCTAAATTTTACAGTCTAAAATTAAGCAGATTTGTGCAATTAGCAAGATTGAAGTTAGTTTATAAATTTAAAATTAAACACTCTGTAATAATCCTTAGCAGTAACTATATAATAGATACATATACTCGTACAGCACTTTATCTATTAGCAAAATTGTAGTGCTGTAAAATTTTGATTGAAGTATTTTGCTTTAGACCGTAAAAAATGAGTATTACAAAAGGTAGCCAAAAGTAGAATCACTTCAATCAAAGTGTAATATAGCTTTATCTAATTCGCCACGAGCAATCTTTCCCACGAAGTTATAGTTTCAATGGTTGTGATAGTCGGTAGCACTTGAGGTAGTGAGCTCGTCAATTTGTAGAAATTGACGTAGAGAAAAGTAATATATTCAATTATATATAATTACTTGAGTTCTGTTTTAAGTACCTTATGGTGTGCGACTAGCTATTACCATTAATATACTATACAGTCTACGTTGTAATATTCTATGTTATTATTTTGTATACTACGCATTTCTTTACGAATTAAAGCATTGTGCACTGTAGAATGTGTATGCATATGCACGCAAATACCAAGGCATATTAGCTCAGTTGGCATTTGTATCACTCCCTTTCTTATATTGTCTATTTTTCTAAATTGTACAGAATCAAGATGGATAATAACAGGAGATTGCAGTAGCCCATGCTTGCTTGTACCTATACCATAGACCTCTGTGTCCATGTCAGCACTTTGTTATAGCTGTAAACTGTTGCTATTCATAGCTACAATCATTGTAAAGCAGTTTGCCCCCAATTTTTGATCGTATCAATCAATCTATCACTTCAATTTCATGTATTTTTTGTATTAAGTACTTCATTAATGCAGTTGAACAATCAAAGCTGAGGGAGAAGCAATATTATTAATTACAATACTTATTACATATTGTATATTGACGAATAAAAAATACGTTAAAAAGTGAAACATCTTATTTAATACACCATTAGTAGGTAATTCCATTCCGGTAGCCTGTTACTACGCATACTGTACTACATGTTTTAATCAATAAGCTTAGGACGACATATGATACGTTCGTAAGAACAAATCAAGTTTTAAACCTTCGTGACAACTAGATTCAGAATATTTACAGTACTAGTTGTCTAATTTGTATTTACAGTATAACCCATGAAATTTTGTCCACAATACGAAGACTCTTAAAACGTGTTTTGGATCAATCTCATAGACTGATTACGGACCATACGTTAGGATTCAATTCTACATGACGCAAAACTAATCAATAAACACGATTATGTTTTACTATACTGTACCTACGAGCATACGCGTATTGACTTTGACTAAAAAGTAGCAAGTCAACGCATGAGATTTTAGGATTTAGAGCATAATCGTATCGCCATTATACGCATGTTAACATGGCTATTAAATTGTATGGAGCAAATCGTAGTGGTATGAAATGCAATATTTTATTACTATTATTTATTGACTTATTATTAAATAAAGGTATTAACCACTTCGTGAATTTGCAATCATTGGCCACTGGGGAAAAATAGAAGCATACGTGCTCGTATGTCTACCAACACAATACTGCCAGTCATATGATCGGAGGAGAAAAATAGGCAAAGTATCTAAACTTAGTACCTTAATTTATGACATCATAAATTAGTTTGATTTCATAGAAATAAAAGCCACCATGACCATCAGTGGATTTATGATGTCATCTACAATTAACGTCTACCATCTACGGCGCATTAAGAGCTTCTTAGACTGCATTGCTGTACATTATACTGTACATGCACAGCTTACTAACGCTGTGGTTGATGGTCATTGATTAATTATCCACTATACTGTATAATATTCGTAGTATCAGAGGTCAGTAAATTACGCTAGCATCCTACTGTCAATAATAACTATAAGTAGTAGCAATAATGAAGTAAGAACAGAACACTATGGCAAGCTGTAAAACGATTAACAGATCTCGTGCCAACGCGTTTATTTCTTAATAATCGCTACAGTACATACAGTACAATCATAAATGTCATCGTCATTGGCACTGCAAGGGAAATCACGAAACACACTATTTACGTAATTTACCAAACGATAGCACATGGTATCGTCAAATTGTAAATTGAAAATATTCACAGATCGCTTAGGCGATTATTTCTTGATGATGACTATCAGTACACTGTCATGGTAAAATGTCGTTGTCATTACAAGCCCGAATGTCGATTGTCACTAATTCTTTGCCAAGCGGGACGGGACCCGATCTAGACATTGACTGTCATTGCAACGCAAATTATGGATACATGATTTACGTTAAGATAAAACCTAATTAACGTTACCACATGGCTACCATAGCAATTTGGTGAATATGGAACAGTCATCGACTCTTTTTAGCACATCATTGCTTATTTGTCAAATCAATAAGAGTTTATGGTAACTGTGATCAAAAATATCTTTACAATAATACGTATAATAGCAACTTTAACATTTTGTAAATCTTTATTACCTAGATTAGTTTGTCTATTCAATTACCAATCTTATTAATCTTAAGCTATTTGGGGGGACTGCACTATACAGATCCTGCAAATTCCATACTGTATTATCTGTTCGATAATAAAGTACTGTACAAATGCATTCACTATCTTTAGCTAGACTTATTTTATCGTGAGTACTTCTGCGACAAATCCCACTAGTATATACATCAATATCGAACTCAAGGAACTGATAGAATAATTCAGAGAAAATAGAATACTGCAACTCAACTGCTTTTAGCTTATTATAATATATAAGCTTTACGTTGACAGTATCGCATTGTATTGCTCAAACTTGTAAAGCTATTACGACTGTTACGTGTACTTCTGTAAGATGTCTCCTGTCCATGTAATTCAGTCGGAAAATTGAATAGCAAAAAATTCTCTCCTTTATTGGTATCTTTCCGTGCAATTTACTACGATACGAGTTTTACGTTTTCTTCACGTTACGATTCTATCGTACAATTGATCAAAGTAAACGCATACGTCGATTCATGTTAAGATTGATGGATCAAGTGGTTTACCTGCAATTTCAACTTCATCCTCTTCGACAAAATCATTCATTTTGGTAGCTTTTGTACAGGACTTGAGATGTTCAATGGATGGGTGCGGGTTTTCTACCTATTTACAAGGGTGAAAAATGACTTGAAATAGATAGCTAGCAAGACAACACTAAGCATACGACGTAAAATACAATCAAAATAAAATAATTCAAGAGTTGCACATTGAATGCAACAAAGCCAAGAGTGGCGTCAGAGAGATGCATGCTATCACCAGGATTGATTCCTCCTATTGAGGATCAATATTAAGCATCATTCTTTATTTATTTTATAACAAATTACTGTATTCACTTTTCCGTATTTCGTCTGCTGCTTGAACAAGTAGTCCAATAATCAATAAGGATCGCGTCTATTTTGAATCTGTATTTCACTGACTACTTTGTTGTTGGCTGCCAAGTATGCAGTGGTAGGATAGCAGTTTCGTTGAAGTCCGTTGCAACGATGTCGGAGGCAGTGCGCCCTTTTTTTTTTTACTTACACAACATCCAAACTACTGGATCAAGGATCAATTATTGTTACGCTAGTCCAGTAAGCAAGACAGTACAGTGTATAGTGAGTGCTGAACACCAGTATCCTTTAATTTACAAGCTGATGAGATCGTCTGATAATGATCTAATGAAGAAATAGGATGGCTTTTACTTATTTATTTACTCTTCCCGTATAATGTACGAGTATTTGGGGGAATTTCCTTTTATTATTATTTATTTATTTATTTATTTCTTTATTTGGATGGAAAGTCTCTTAGTCAATCTAGTGGAGTCGAAACAATGGAAGGCGTAGAGTGCACAGTGCAGTGTCCTACAGTAATGTACTGTGGCGTACAAAACATGACGCAGTACTGTACCGATGTGGTTGATACAGTGCTACGTTGTAGCATGTACTGTATGGGGGATGCTCACTTTCACTACGCCACGTACTGTATGGGGCTGAGCTAGACAAGGCTAGAGTCATTGTCTAAGCACGTGATTTGCTTGGTCATCTATCCTGTAGAGTTTTTTTGTACAACCCCTTTTCTCTTCCAACTCTATCAAATCTGTACTTATGATCTGTACAGTGTACAGTAGCGTAATGAATAAATGACCAGCTCAAAGATATAACCAGCAAGTACAGTACGTTATAGTACTATTCTAGTGTACCGTACCGTATCGCACCGTTCCGTGCCGTATCGCGCCGTACCGTACCGTAGGTATTGTATCAACCAGAATCTCAATTGCGTTTGGTTGGTTAGTACTCTAATTCCGGACTGTTGGCTGATGTCTACTGTTGTAGTAGTTGGACGAGGGATTTAGCGAAAGAAATTGTCAGCAAAATTGGTTGGAAATTAATTATTATTCAAATTAAACTACACTTTTAGTAAACTTTCTAGCTAATAGGTGAAGCAAGAAAGCATTAGAGATCAATATGGAAGAAACAGCTACCGAATTACCTGCAGGTAAATGACTTACTGTATCTCGTTGAATATGGCCTACTACGACTGTACAGTGTACACAGTCTACTGTACAGTAAGTGTACAATGTTTTCGTCATCAAGAATGGAAAAAATGCTATGCCTGATACCTGATCATCTATACTACCAGTCTAAAATTGAAAATATTTTTATAGCAGATAAATTGGATATGAGAAAGGGCTTGAAATGATTTTCACTTACGTTAGATCATTAGTACATTGATTCATGAAGCATATTTCTGTATCAGCAGTAAAATGAGGCCATGTAGTCCTTTTGCAGATACCTACTTACTTCGTCCTTCGAGTATTTCACTAGCTCAATTTGACACTTTATGACGATTCTGAAAATAGAGTCCACAAGCAAATCTTAATGTAGCAAGATTTGTGTCAAAAGGAAATAAAAGGTGGCATTGTATATATATAGACAAACGTAGTTTGATCTACACACCATTAGTGTTTATTTCCCCTTTAAACTTGTAACAGTCAATTGATTCTCGTTTAGACTTCACAAGTGCCATACCAGCCCCCGTCGTATACGTCGTAGTGAATTAATGTAACACCAAGCCAGTCATGCTTCTACAGCACCGTGCATAACTCAAACAACATATTTTTCTGTATTGCAGTAGTTGCAGTATACAGTTTGGTGCTTTACTTGAAATTGTAACTTAAACCCTTGCCCTTCTTTACTAGCCATTACAAGTGATTGCATGCTTAACAACAGTCAAAGTAGATACCAGTAGTAAATAAAATACTTGCCTTCTGTCTAAAGTGTCTAAAAAGTGATATAGTACTGTAGTGTTCTTCTCTACTACAGTTAGTACTTTACTTACAACTATAATAGTAAGTTCATTTGCAACATAAACTCTTGCCTTCTTTATTAGTCATTATAACTGATTGATTCCTTAGCAACAATCAAAGTGGATACTAGCAGTAAATAAAATACTTCCATTCTATCTAAAGTGTCCAAAAAGTGGGATGATTGGACGATAAGACGGCATCGATACTCTTGACATTATGAGACTGGATTACCTCATCATGAAATCATATGAAATGAATAACGGTATCAACAGCTTCGTTCTTTGCTACGTCAAATAGAAATAATTATAATTAAAACGTGAGCATCATGTGCTCTCCCTATGTCCAATAACCAGTATTTATTTATCAAAGCATTGCGGTATATTTGTGTGTTGGCCTACTTTCTTTTTGAGCAGGATCGCCACTGTATAATTGTATAATGCACGATCATATACCCGAGACAGATGCACTGTATTATGTAGAAGCAATTACTATAGAACAACTGAAAGGAAGTGTTTTAAAGTTTTGATTCAAAATGGCGGGGACTATCTATCGTAATAGACAATATGGAATATTATGTGTACAGTATCTTCCGTATACTGTACAATAACATCACTTTTAGAGTTTTTGTCAATTAGTCAACACTGTACTATATATGAGCTTCAATATTCTCTGATGGTACAGTAGGAGTTCCTTTAAATTTCTATTCTATTAATCATTCGTCTTTTCTCAACTATTTTAGTTACCGCTGCTGATAACAACAATTATAAACAATCCAAGTATAATCTACTCCTAACAATCCGAAAGTATCCTTTCGTTAATATCCTTATCGTCATATTTCTCGTCATTTTCTCGATCGGCACTGTAAATGAACTAAGCGATTCTTATCCATACTTTTACCCTCTATTGCGAATTGCTCCAAATGCATCTGTTTTTCAAACTATTGTGCGACCTGCCAATAGTTGCTTACCCTATCGACATTTAAACAACACACCTACTAAAGTTCCATCTCCAACGGGATCAACTCCTCCCAAACCCTTGCCGCCGATTATATGGATTTCCATTATTAACTTATCGAGCTATTTACCTGGCCTTATATTATCTGTTGTTTACTCTGTTTGGTCTGACCTGTATCAAAATAGAAAGATTTTCCTGGTATTGTGTATAACCGGATTTCTATTTCAAGCTGTTGGATCCGTGCTTACCGTCGCAACCACAGCATCACCAGCGGCAATTATCCCTGGAAATGTAATCTCTGGATTATTTGGAAATTATCCGACGTTCTTATTTAGTTGTTACGCGTACGTAGTGGATATCGATTTGAAAATTAGCCGTACAACACGCTTTGTAATTATCCAATTTGTCATTTTCGTGGCTGAAGCCATAACTGCAACCACTTCGGAAAGATGGGCTAAATACTACGGCTTTAAACCTCCCTTAATTTTTGCAGTCGTGTTATTGGCATTAGCAGTGATATACACTGTGATCTTTTTACAAGCACATCTTGTTGTTGCTACGAAGAATTATGAAATCAAACGGGCTAAAGATCATATTCCTGACCTTTGGCGTAACTTTCCCAAATTTTTTAAAACTATATACAAACCGGGAGAGGATGCCTCTAGAAAGTATTACTATGCCTTGCTAGTAATTTTCTTCTTTACTATGTTTCCAACCACTGGATTTGCTGAAATAATTAACATATACCTCGCCGGTTATCCGTTGTGCTGGAACCTTGATCAAATTCTGGAATATGATACTTATCGTGCTGCAAGTTTTGCAATTGGTGGTATCGTCGTCTGGCTTGCCTTCAAAAAGATTTTATCGGAAATGTCAATTGCTGGTATTGGTATGACTTTTTTTACCGTTCAAATTGGAATTTTGTCCATGGCCACGCATAATCCCACAGTATACGGAAGTATGTTTACGATATGTCATTTGGATTATTGTAATTCATTTATGTACCTATACTGTATTAATACTGCTCAAATAGCGCTCCATTTCTTACACGATCGAACGTCATGATTCCCTTTGACATTACTTACACTTTACAGCAAGCGATGTCATGAATTAATAACTACTTGATATTCATCAAATATAGTTGGTTAAAAACTTACGATTATATTCCATCCTCGTTGTATAATACTTCTAGCTATTGCAGTAGGAGCTGTTGGCGGCGTAACTTTTCCTTGCATCTATGGTCAACTATCTAGCGTGGTATCAAATGAGAATCAAGGTTTGTATCATGATATAATAAGTACTGTAGTAAATTATCGCATTTCCGTGATTTCGTATAACAGTTATTATTATATACTTTATATATAGGTGTTCTTTTTTGCTTTATTGCACTACTTGAGATAATTATTGCTATAGTTGCCTTTCCTATTTATTACGGTATTTTTCTGGCCTCTCGATATTCCAATCCATCTACTGTATTCATCCCCATAGCAGTATTATACCTAATCCCCAAGTGTATAATATGGTAAGGCATTATGAATTAAAGCAATGCATCCCTTACATAGAAAAATTATATGTACGATTAGCTAATTCTAAGTTTTATTTCCCAATTCTTGATTGTTAAATCAGTTCATTAATATCACGGATATGTCATGTCTTATATCTTATAGGTTTAGAACGATAAGAAACTGTAGAAACCGTCGGCATGGAGAAACATCAGAAGCGTAATATGACAATATCTATCTATACCGTTTAAGTTGGTTATATTATTAAACCTATATTAAAATAACACCCTAAGACTTTATTTCAACTTTCTATGTGGTCCTGAACCTTAGTCCTATATAATATTTTCAAAGATGATCACATAAACTGTTAGCTGAAATTTATTTCCTGCGGATAGATCATTATATCATGTGTTTATTAATATTTTTAATTACCTGGATAATTGTACTTTTAGCCATATCAAATCGCTACATGCCACTGTCTTTAATGAACTTGAATGAATAGAACTTACAATATAACTTCTCGATCTTATTTATTAACAAGTATGGCTTAGTCTCACACAACAGCAACAATAATAAAAATTATTATTACAGGATGTGTAAGGCTTTTGCTTAACCGTGTATATGTGTATAAATATACGTAAACTCTTCAGCATCTTCTTAGGATCATCTGATCCGCTTCATACCTATTTTAAAGTTGATCTCAACAACCTATGATTTTTACGTATATTTTTGTAAATGTCCATGTATCTGGTTGTAAAGGGTTGATCGGGATATATTCCAGGAGGAGTCAGTATTGTGTATCTATCATATTCTGCTAATTGATTTTGATTTTTGGATTTAAAGAGTTTACAACGCAAGGTAACAAATACACTTGATAAAATTAAATATTATCAAACTTGTAAATACAATATAATGATTATTACACACCATAGCGGTATTGTAGTCTATGCAAACTATGTAGTTTTATTGGCAAATTTGACCAATGTTATTACCTTCAGTTGCCCTCGAGTGGGTTAACTCGTAATGGACTACTACAGTACCGGCACCTTACACGGAACTTCAGTATCATAGAATACTGTTTATACAACACATTAAATTCATATATACCGTTACTAGCCTAACCCGCATACCATGTCGTGCGAATGAGATAATATTAATTGATACTATACTCAGTACGATGCCATAAAATATCTTCAATACCTTCATAAGCATCATTCGTAAAATCAGTTAAATGCTGTAGTAAATAAGCTATAAAATATAAATAGAAAATTATAGAATACTGTTCATACAATACATTAAATTCATTAAATTCATATATACCGTTACTAGCCTAACCCACATACCATGTCGTGCGAATGAGATAATATTAATTGATACTATACTCAGTACGATGCCATAAAATATCTTCAATACCTTCATAAGCATCATTCGTAAAATCAGTTAAATGCTGTGGTAAATAAGCTATAAAATATAAATAGAAAATTATAGAATACTGTTCATACAATACATTAAATTCATATATAGCGTTACTAGCCTAACCCGCATACCATGTCGTGCGAATGAGCTAATATTAATTGATACTATACTCAGTACGATGCCATAAAATATCTTCAATACCTTCATAAGCATCATTCGTAAAATCAGTTAAATGTCGTAGTAAATAAGCTATAAGATATAAATAGAAAATTATAGAATACTGTTCATACAATACATTAAATTCATATATACCGTTACTAGCCTAACCCGCATACCATGTCGTGCGAATGAGCTAATATTAATTGATACTATACTCAGTACGATGCCATAAAATATCTTCAATACCTTCATAAGCATCATTCGTAAAATCAGTTAAATGCTGTAGTAAATAAGCTATAAAATATAAATAGAAAATTATAGAATACTGTTCATACAATACATTAAATTCATATATACCGTTACTAGCCTAACCCGCATACCATGTCGTGCGAATGAGCTAATATTAATTGATACTATACTCAGTACGATGTCATAAAATATCTTCAATACCTTCATAAGCATCATTCGTAAAATCAGTTAAATGTCGTAGTAAATAAGCTAAAAAGTAAATAAAGAATTATTATAATTAATTTCAACATCCCACACAAGATTCTGTAGAAATATTCTATAAGCTTTGATAATTTATGTTTGAAGTCAAAGTGGGCGTGGATAAAATTAGATGCATTAGCTCTCTTTAATATTACCACCAATGCCATGTTTTCGACGCAATGTCAATAAAGCAAACATTATGTTTGAGCAACTTGACAGTAGTTGTATATAGTACCAGCAGATGACGTTTCCAAGCTAAAAGTTATTATTTTTCTAGCATCGACTATTGTATACAGTAGACAATTCATAGTAATAATTTGCCGTAGGTGTCCAGAGTCCGTTGGTCAAAAAAATTTACAATAGTCCTTGAATGCACGGTATAATAATTAAAATCAACTCACCAAGGCTGTGTACACATATACATTGCGTAGAACTACTTATGCGCTAATTTTACTCGGTAATTTGTTAAGATAAATGACTTCTATCAATGATACTGGCAAGTAAGATCTGAAGTAGTAAGTTATCGTTACATAATGATCAGTTTATGGTAATGACCGACTAGGAGTTACTAGATTTAAACTGCCGATCGTAGTTATTGAATCAAATAGTATTGGTATCTATGAGCGTTTATGTGGATATTATCCACTTTATGGCTACCTTATAAGGCAATTGATGATTAGGATTAACAGGACATTTGGAATTATCGTCATTAAAGAACGTAAATTGCATTAACTTATAAAACAAGATGTCTACTATAATTGGTTAATCGAATTCAGTCTATTCAAACATCTCAGTTGCCATTTATCCTGTAGACGGCATAAGCAAGAAACTTTTCATTGGCTATAAATTGATTATATACGGATACTGGTATTTATTATACAACATTATCTTCTCCGCTGGTTTCTAATTAAAGTTACATCAGAAATGACAGTCGCCAAATTTCAAGTTAGTAAAGCTATTCATAAGGCATTGTCGCCAAGTCATTTTTTGTTAACTATCATTGTATTAACGAATTATATGGTTCAGTATGCTATTGAAACCAATCTTATTGTCGACCAACAAGGACGAAGACATATTGAGCCGATTGCAAACTATTATTTATCGAATAGTTCATGCATCTATTTTAACTCATCACAAACGTATCGATTGGCTGCAATTAGCATGACTAGACCGTCTATTGTGTCCATTAGTACTATTAACTTGGTAACCTGTATATCCACGGCTATTAGTTCCATCTTGTTAGCAAGTTGGTCGGATCGTTATGGCAAACGTTCTATTTATGCACTTATATCTATATTCGGTTTACTTTGTCAAGCCATCATGGCATTCTTAACTGTATACGGCCGTTACAATCCCAATTTACTGATATATGGATCATTAGTATTAGGCTTAACAGGTGGCTTACCAACGTTCATCTTTAGTTTATTTGCCATCGTAGGTGAAGGTTGCCCACAAAAATATCAAGGCTTACAGTGGGCAACCTTAACAGTTTGCATGTATATAGGTTATGCTATTTCTTTACAGATGATTTTTCGAGGGCTTTCCCATTATAATTTAATTGTCATATTAATTATCTGTATTAGTATATATATAATCAGTTTGATCTTTGCATTTATATTTATACATCTCAAATATAATTGTTCAAGAAATGATCACAATGTAGTAAAAAAAAATCTGCTATTGGACATATTAATTAGCTTTGGCGTGACATGCTTTACTTTAGTAAGGAAAAGAAAACATAAATTACGATTTCGCTTGTTATTGGTAGCATTAGTTTTCACTGTATTTTCTTACGCTATATTGACCGATTTGGTCAATACCTATCTTGTCTTGTATCCATATTGTTGGACATCAGCGAATGCTTACATCTTTGAAAGTATTCGTTTACTTGGAATTGCCGCCGGTGGTATTCTCGGTTGGCTCTTCCTTCGAAAGTATCTAAGAGATAGCATTCTAGCCAATATAGGGCTAACATGTGTAATTGCGCCATTGGGAATGATTGCCTTGGGTACGCCACAGCTTTGGTTGCTGTTTGGAAGTATGATCTTCTATAATTTCATAGTAGTATAAAGCAGACTAATTTAAAAAAAAATGAGGATACATGGCAACAAATAGATTACATTAGCATCGATATCTTATATGTCATTTGATATATGGTACTTATCAGTACGAGTCTTTATGATCTATTCAGGGAGAACGTAGTCCGGTAGTAAAATTTAGCCACTATTGAAAAGGATAACCATTGATATCTACGAGTCTCGTACATTTAAATAGCTTATTCAGTAACAAATTAAAGAATATGAAAGGAAAAAGTTTGTTTCTGTATTATATCCTTCAGTAACTTAATTTATCATATACAACTAGCTCTACTTTGATTATATACAGTATAGTTTTAACTGTAAATCTTATTCACAAAATAAAGCATTAATATATATTAATAAAGGATTTTATTCCATCATTTCCTATATATTATTAATTAGGTATAGTAGGCGGTGCGTTAGGGGGAATAGCTGTGCCTTGTATGTTGAATATGATTAGCAAAACCATCAAGAGAAATGAATATGGTACGTTTTAGACAACTAAAATCTTATTACAAGTATTCCCTTATTAGGAATTCAATTTGATATAATATTTTAATCAAATATTAGCTAGCAACAATACTCTGATTGTAAGAAACATTTCAATCAAGATTGACTGTATTTTATCTCTTTTAAAAATATATTGCTTGTTTATTAAAAGCTATGGTGTTTTGTTGGATTGCCATTCTTTATATATTTGGCAAGGTAATTAGCGAGTATATGGCTCAAAGATTCATGATCCTACATGCTAACACACGAAGTGCTATGATAGCATTCGCAGCAGCAAACTTAATTTTATTACCTCCAAAAGTATTCTTAATGTAAGTTCAATAGTAATTTTGTATTTATATAATTTACATTTGTTACCTTAACTCTGTAATCAGCTAAGAAAATGTATCAATCGAATATCTGCATAATCTGGTTTACAATACACGTTTGAATCACTTCTAGTGAGAGGATAAGAATTTGTGAAAGTTCTAATTATTCTTCTCTAGCTTGTAATTATTTACATATATTGCCTTCATAATTTTTAATATGTGTATATAGATTTCTTACATGTTGCGACAAAAGAAAAGAAAAAAGACAAAAGAAAGAAATGGAAACATTTTCGGTTGTCAAAGATACCTTATCACCCATCGATGATGGCATCTTATCTAATGATCATAATTCTGTCGTATCTGAAACTACAGTTTAATGATTTTCATTCCTCATGACTGAAATTTAATCATGTTTTACTCGTGTAAAGGATACTCAAACCAATATGATTCAAGTAATTAGGAAGATGAAATGATATTTTTAATATCAAGAAAAGCTGGATACAATATTACAATTAAAATTTTTGCAAGTTGTTCAATTACAGCTCAAAATATACAGTAACAATAGATTGCTTCTAGCAGAAAGATCAAATTTTTCCAGACTAAAACCGACATTCAGGTCTATAAATGCAATTTTGGGCAGAATATATTTTTCTTTACATAACCCCAGATCCTGGTTCGATCCATGTTTTCTGTTACTTAAGATACATAAATACTTTCGTAACCTATTTTTACCATTATTGAAAATCTGATGTAAGAGAACTACATTGATATTTATCAATTAATCAATAACAATTCTTACTATTTTGAAGATTTCGAAAACATCATCCGTTATAAAAAGTCGTTATTGTAGTTTAATTTAATTGATGATTACTTTGCCTGAACCGAGAGTATAAAAATTTAGGTATACGGGTATTCACTATTTATCTCAAACATCCAACATCACCGTTAATAGATCTGAAATTTTACTAATATCACCTGTACGTATAGATGAATTTTACTGTGATTTTTTGGATAAACTGCAAGACTTGTCGAGACATTAATACAAATTCACCTATCTAAAAATAGCCTATAATTTTTATTTTTAAAATGAAAACATAAAAGTAAAGTGTAACAAATATCTTTAAATAATTATATTAGATTGATTAACCTCACAAGTTTATTATATTTTAATAAAAAAATTCTACCGATACTGTAAAGGATATCATAAAAATTCGCAATTAAATTACTGTTATAATGGGATGATTTCATACGATATTCTTTAATAACATGCGAATCAATATATTGCCAACAATCATAGTAATGTATTATCTGATTAATAAGTAGTTAAGTACTCATTTACTAAAGTGATTAGTCCTATTAAACGCATCATCAAAGATGACATTAATCCGATTTGTCCGAGTGCACGTAAGATAATATATCCCTACAATATCAGATTCTACAAACAGTACACCATATGAGTGTGAGCGATCACCACATTAGTCATACATTCATACAAATTCAACAAGTTAGTATAAGCACTACCTTCAATTAATACAATCGAAATTATTTATGACAAAAATGTAGTGATTGCGGAAAAATATAGACGATTAAAGAGGAGAAAGAAAATTTTTAAGAAAAAATTTACGACTATAACTTATGCAACAAATTGTAAAGTTATTAAATAGTCTCACGTTAAATTTTGTATAATACCGGATAGCTTTTTAATCATGTTACTAATTCAAACTATTTAACATATAAGCAGAAGCTTAGGTTGAAATAAGATGCCTATGCTCACTGCAGTATGGATGGTCTTCTCGCGAATAAAAGCTCTTTCCATGAAGTTCAATTTGGCACTCCTATAACACCGTAATGATAAATTGAAATGATGTAACGATTTGTGTTACTAATTATACTGCCTCTCTTACTTACCACACATCGAAAGCATCTTTTGTGCCAATTATGACCCAGGGCTTCAATCCACTGCTCTCCAGCTTTTACAGCTTCATCACATTTATGACATCTAGTTGCAAATAACTCTTCATAATGAAATTCACAGTAAGGTTTACCATTATCGACATGAAACGGAATATTTCCCAACTGTTTATCACACAAACAGCAAACAAAGTGTTCTGCATGCCAAGTTTTACCAATTGCATTAATATAGTTCTATATACAGTGAATATCATCAGTTAAAAGTCTTTCAAGAAATTGTGTACAAGTATCCACCAATTTACCGAAGTCTTGTACAGTTAAGGACTATTTTATAAAGTATCAATTAAAATTATTAAGATTAAAATTTTGATACTATTACCAACCTCCTTAATTGGTTCGCCACAGCCAGCACATTTGTTTCCAAATAGATTATAGTAGTCCTCTACACAGTACGGAAAACCGTCGTTTTCGATAAATTCTATACCCCTCAAAGACTTTCCACATTCACGACACAGAAAATGTTCTGGATGCCAAGGCTTATTCATAGCCATTAAATGTGGACCACTACATAACAAGATTTATGGTAAATAAAATTAGAAAATGCTACTAGAAATAAACCCAAATAGGTTAATAGTACTTTTCACAAAGTTATATGCATCAAGCAAGTCTTATTGTTCTAGTATCTTGAAATAGCGACAGAATGAAAAAGCGAACCTGATAACTTCTTTACACCCATTGCAGATCTTTGCATCAGGATTCGACCTAGCAGAGATTGTAATTTTAGTCGTCTTTTTACCATCGGGCTTGGGGCTGTTACTAGCCTTCGGTTGTTCACTTTTTATCGTACTCTTTGGGGGTTCAGGCTTCTTTTCGTTGTTTTTAGAAGCCGCACTAGCTGAAGCTTTATCACTATCGTTTTTCTTGCTCGTACTAATTGGTTTCGAAGTAGGTTTACTAATAGTAATCTTACTGGAAGCTGTCGTTGAGCTGGTAGTATTCGTAGATTCTATTGCATATATAACAGAAGTTAAAAGATTATAATTAGCCATCAAATAATAAGGGAATATTTCATTAATTTATGCATGTTATGGACAAATAGTATATTTGTACGAAACTGTTATCACTGGTAGTTTTGGGCGTTGGCTTGATAAAGGCCTTATTCGTGGTTGTAGTAGGCGTTTTCGTAACAGGCGTTTTTGTAGCAGGCGTTTTTGTAGTAACAGTCGTTTTTGTAGTAACAGTTGTTTTTGTAGTAGCAGGCGTTTTTGTAGTAACAGTCGTTTTTGTAGTAGCAGGTGTTTTTGTAGTAACAGTCGTTCTTGTAGCAGTTGCTGCAGCTGGGGCCTTTGTGGTGGTTAGAGAAGGCGTAGATTCTACATTAACAAATACAATTGGCGTCAGAGATATTTGTAAAGATACAAAATAGATCCAAATAATTTGGAATAGGAACATTCATTTAAGAACAACCTTTCTTTTGATCTGCAGTAGATGATTTAGCACTTGCTATGATTTCAGATGGTTTTATTTTAGTTGACTCTAGAAGTAACAATTATCAGTCATAAATTAAACAAAATCATTTATCAAGAATATGAAATAACGTGAAATCTCTTTCATACTTAATCATTTGCTATTGCCTCAAATAAACTGTATCATATTATACTAATGATGATTTAGAAGGTTAACAGCTTTTAGCCTAGTCTATTAAATAAGTTTTAATAAAAAATGAAATAGACAAAACTTTTACTTTTACTATTTTCATCATCTTTCGTAGATTTAGTTGATGATTTAGTGGGAGATTTTTCGGCAGCGGTATCTTTCAATGATTTTTTATCCTTAATAGATGAAGCAGTTCCAGCTACACAGCCATTAGAAAGAGCAAAATCAGTGACATGAATTGATGTCGTTTTGACAATAATAGAAGGTTATAGGGAGTAATAGTACCATTTTTAGGGGATTTGGATTGCATCTTGGAATAGGCTTTAATAGTGGCGTCTTTTATTCCTGGCGGCTTTGATGTAGTTAAATCTTTCGATGGACGTTTAGCAGTAGAAGCAGCAGCACTACTGTTAGCTTTAGAGGCAGTGAGTTTGGAACTATATACAAATTAAAGACATGATACAATAAATTATTGTTAATAACTCATTGAATTGGTTAATTTAATTACATTACTGCAACTATCCTGTCTGATGTTACGTAATATGTTGATTGTGTTATCGACTCCGGATAATTAAAGAAAAAATGCAATTAATTTCAAAAAATTAAGCTTTTTGCAAAAGACCACGTAGACTGATGATAAGTAAAGGAGCAGCTATGCAACTACCTACAGCAAATCTGCTATTGAAATTATTGTAATGCTATCGTATTAATATATGTGGAATAAAGTAGATAATACTTACAATATAAAACAACGAAGTAATAATTTGGCTGTACATTAACTACACATACAGTACATAAAAGGTGAACGATGATAATGCCCTGTAATAAGTACTATCGCTACTACTTTGCGCTAGCAAATAAAGCATGCTACAGAATCGAATTATTTCCTCCATCCAAAAAACAATACTTGAATAAATATATATTACGTATTGTGTAGTTACCATAAAGTACGGTTAGTGTTGTCTTAAAGGAATAGTAGTTTGTTTGAAATTTATCAAAATAATTTGTATAATTAATAGCAAATGCCAAAACTTAGGTTACCAATTACATCATAGGTTCTATTATGATGTCTATGTAGTGAAGGGTTCATCGTTAATAAAATAAAGAATTTTTATATTGCTACACATATAAAATCGAGATATTACTTACAGATGAAAAATTAGATATCATCCTGGCAAAATAGTGTACATACATATACAAGAAATAAAAACTGGCGACTCGATTAAAGAAAAATTGTGACAAGTTCAGTGGATAACTGATTTGCATTTGTTGATGAGAGCTACTGCTACTTATAACTAGCGCATATCGATAAGTCAATAATTAATATGTCTAAAAGGAAGATGGAAGATTTATGATCACGTTGGATGCACTCAGAAGTGAAATACTGGTAAAAATACTTTGAAAATAAATAGCATAGTGACCGCCACATTATATGCGATCTATACTTTACTACTCGCTTACCTGGTTAGCACCATTTTTAATGTGCCGCTATTCTTTATTAGTGACTGAACTTCGACATGTCGCAAAGGTCCACATGGATTGTCATTAATAGCTATGACGTATTCACCGCCTTTTAATTGAACACATTTAGATGCCTTACCACCAGGGATGATCTAAAAGGATAGGAAGAATAAAATATTTATAAAGAGTAGCAACATAATGTTGTAGACCTGTACCATTTTGTGAAGTAACACTTTTCTATGGGTAACATTGCAAAATAATTGATCACAACAGAGGCAAATAAACCGATCTCGATAGTTGACTGCAATCGAATTTAATATGTAATGGTACTATAAATATGCTTCTTTAAAAGCTACGGTTGAATTTTTTGTTTTTGAGGATATAAAACATATGCTATATGAGCCCAAATAATATCATTTGTAACTGTTTCAAGGAGATGGACTTTGCATACCGTACTTGTCCTACATGTTATTGCAGACATGCATTGCTAACGATTTCTAGCAAGGATACGTATAGATTGCAGCTCATGTAAGCACAACGAACTGTGAGTATGCCATATGCATTGGAGTATACTTTAGTTGCGACTTTTTCACTACTATTTGTAGTCATTGCTACTCCAACTTAATCCGTAAACTTATCCAACGTCATTTTTGAATCGCATGATCAACTGGATAATGCGGGTGCTTTACTTTTTAAAGTAGGTGGAGTGTCCAGGTTTTATAATTCTGCATACTAGAAGGCCATCAGCACTCTAATGATTGCATTCATTAATCCTCATAGACAGTAAGGATAGTTATCCATCAATAAGATTATTGGTTACAAGTTATGACTAACAGATAGTACAATTCAACCTGGAGTAACTTTATGTAAACTGATTACGAAATGACTTTCAACATAACACAGCATCGTATTTAGTATTATAATTAACTATTCTAGGTCGTTATAGTAGAGTGTAGTTCAGAAGGATATTATTGTAGACGTTATTACTAAAAGTGGACTCTTGCTACGGCTTTCAGTTGTGACTGATGTAAAATTCATGATTAATAACGTTATTTGCATGCGTAAGCGTTATATTAACTTAGTGTTTATTTATTTTTATAGCATTTAGCAACTAGAACATAAATAATTATAATGACTAGAACGGAAGTTACTTTAGGATTCAGTTGTATATTACCTGCAAGCTATTGCTGTAGTGCTGGACTATCTGATAAATGAAGACATCACTGTCATATAGAACATTTTCAATTTTGAAGCCGAGATTATTTTTCATATCGATCTTAACGACGCATAAACAATACAAAACATTGTTGTCTAACTATGCAACAGCTTGGACTACATCGATCGATCAATCAAAGAAGGAAAGTGTGGATCCCTGTACGGCATGATAGCCAGTCTAGCATGTCGATTTAATCGGTTGTCTACATTTTAACTTTCTCCTATAGACTGCAATATTGAATTTTGTTGACGATGTCAGCAAAAAGGGGATAACCCTCTGCAGTGCAGTCCAATGGGCCTTTAGCCCATTACCGTGGCAACATCGTTTATCAAAGGGCTTCTGTCCACATTACACTGTATACAGTGTAGTCGCTGTTGTACTGTATGGCGCTATATTAACTACTTGACCGTAGTCAATCGATATCGTTGTATCCTAGCTAAATTATCTTCATTTCTTCCTCTTTTTAAGTTAACTCTTACCTTTTGTACTACAATAGGAGATCCAAAATCTTTTCCGCCATGTACACGGATTCCCCATGGGCTGCCGCCTTCTAACACTACCGTGAATGTATCATCGGCCATGAATAGACACACTCGCTTGTTTCTTGTTAATATTGAATTCAATGGGATACAATTGGTAAAATATCAAATCAACTGAGTTGAAATAACCACGATAAGGTATAGATTGACAAAGTGCCAATCGAAATTGAATAGGTTAGCAGGTAAACTGCTTGAGTTTCTTAGACGACCAGCTGTAAACTGTAGAGATAGATGTTGAAGAAAGAAAAAATGGACCCAATGTTGGTTGCCTTTTTTGCTTTAGTTGACCAGTAGATTATTTCTTCTGGCACACTGTCTATGCCGACAGTATGGACTTGCTGCTAGTACAGTACAGTACAGTACACTGTACACTGTACACTGTACACAGTACTGTACACTGTACAGTACAGTACAGTAGAGAGTGCGAAGCGTCAGCTACGGAAGCGTCACCTACGACACTACTGAGTAGAGAGTGCGAAGCGTCACCTACGGAAGCGTCACCTACAGTATGACACTACTGAGTAGAGAGTGCGAAGCGTCACCTGCGAAGAATACTGTACAGTGTACAGTACTACAGTTGAACGAATTGACAGTACTGCACGTACTGTACACTGTAGCAGGAGAGACTTTTACTGTACAGTCTTTACTTTCTAGTCTACAGTACTGCACAGTACTGTAGACAGGACTGCAAATCTGCAGTACAATATCTAGAGTAGACAGTACTGTCTAGTCATACATGTACTGTACTATGCTAGACTGGAATACTGTACTGTATTTAGGAAAACATTAGTCAACCCTTGAGCACTTTGTACTCTAGACAACGCCCAAATATGCTACTCGTGGTGTGTTGTGCTCTGAACACGACCTGGACCACAGTGTAGTGTCTTGATTTTTGCTTTCACAATCTTCTTCATACAGCAAATTAAATAGACTATATTAATTAAGTAATAGTCATCTTGAATATTATTCTACAGTATATGGAATTGGCGAGAAATGGATGGGTCTTCGGTTGTATAGATTGTTTCTAGCACCTCGAGAAGGATTTTGCTAACCTGAAAACAAAATCAATACACCATACTGTGCCGCACTGTAGTAAAAGGAAAAAGGGAACGCAAAGCGGCCGTCAGTGAGATCGACTGTACCGTAAGGCGGAGGCCTATCATGATCATTTCCCGGCCATTCTACTATACTTTACTGTAGGGGGTACCCATGAAAGCGTCTATCCTACTGTACATTACTCACTTAGCAGGCGATGACAAAGATGTGATATCGTTGAAATGATGCAAAAAATCAATCCGCCTGCACATGATGAGTATAGTCAACGATCGCTTGACTTCGCCTCTTCCCTTTCTTTCTTTTTTGGGCAGTAGTTCCCTGACATAACTTGCTAAATAGTTTGACCATAGAGGTAAAATATCTCTCGAATGTACCTGTATGGGTTTGACCGTCAGGCTTATGAACCCTTGATTTCGCGCAGCCACTGTAATGGATTGACTTGATCATATCTCTCTTACAGTAGGTATAATCATCTGGCATTTTAGCATACAGTACAGCGTGATCCTTTTCGTTTCAGAGAAATTAACACTCATGTTTTGCGACATTTTAAGAACGAAATTCATCCAAATTGTTATGTGTGAAAAGAAGAAGCTCTCATAAACATGCCTGTGTAATTTATTATACTATACTTACAGTACATACAGTATAGTAGTAGAGTAATTGAAGTGAAAGCCCCTTCCAGTGTACAGTACTCTAGTATACAGTACAATGTACTGTACTGGCCAGACCTCTCATTGTAGTCTACAGTGTACAGTACGATGCTGTACAGTACACTACTGTAGTCTTCTTGTTAGCGACATCATCTTGATGGAGAAGTTGGCCCAATGACTTCTTGGTTGAACATCTTTAGTCATAATTGATGAACTATTGATGGCCAATGCATTTCTGCAACTTTTTACTACAGTTAAAGTCATCCTTGAACTAAAGATTTCAAAGGTGAATCTCATTTGCAATTGATTTGACCGACGAGTTTGATCTTTCCAAGTCGATATTACTTTCGGTCATCCTGGTGTTGACTGGAAGGGCAAAGATCGTTTCCATTTTAGACCACTACACCAACCATCACTTTCACTCCATGATCGACAGGCTATAGAAGGACACAAGGGAAAAGTGTACAGCTCAACATCCTAACGTTGGCCAATCGATTCTCTTCTCTTTTAATATTGCTTTTCTTCAATTTGGATCTCCAGTACAAATTGGAAAATTGACTTTTCCTTGAGTAACACCGTTGGATATTTGGATTAACAACCATTGCAACGGTAAGTTGGAGCATGAAAGAATACAGAACTGTCGATAACTACTGCAGCATAGGATAAAGTATAGGACATACAGTGTAGTTTGTGTAGGCATGGGATAGCGATTACCACATGACCAGTCAATGAAATTGATCTTTTTTTTCTCCTTCTCTTTTTTTTCCTCTCCTCGACACCATCGACGGATACACAGTGAAAAGGGATTCGGTGAAAGATGATTTATGCCCGATGCAATATTCAACTCTTATTACTACTGAATTTTATATGCTTTACTGGAATTTTTATTGCTACACGGCGCATTGTTCGAACTAGTGAACCCAACGATACCACCAATATGCTCGTATCCAATTTCTCCGTCATGAGATCATTAGCTTTAAGTCATTCATCCAATAATGATAGCAACGTTATAATCAATCTAACCGAAGATATTTCAATCTATCAATACGATGCTAAGAAACCCAACGCTAAAATCTGTGAAGCGCCTGCTTTTTTAATATTAGTTATTAATTCCAAGCCTAATCATCATGATCGTAGAATGGCTATTAGAACTTCATGGGGAAATGGTTCTGATTACGCACGTCGTACCAAGCATCCGGTTGCATGGAGGACCGTTTTTGTAGTTGGTAAATCGGGTAAAGAAGCCGTGGATAAGAAAGTGATTGAAGAAGGTGAAGAACATGGTGATTTAGTCTTTGGTGATTTTCAAGACAATTTAAAATCGTTGACCGATAAAACTGTCTTGGGCATGCGTTGGGCATATTATTTTTGTCGACCTAAATTTTATTTTAAAGGAGATGATGACGTCTTTATTAATGCGCCACGGTTATTCGAATTAGTCTTACAATTGGAACGTTATTTCCCGACTAAAATGTGGATCTGTCGTGCTCATATTGAAGAAGAAAGTCGCTATGCTATACGTGATCGTCGTAGCAAGTACGCAATATCAAGGCGTGAATACAGTAAGAATATATTTCCTCAATTTTGTTCTGGATATGCTTACGTCTTAACAAGCGATGTCCTAGAAGGCATGCTATCCAAGGTTAAAAGCACTCGTATTATTAAAGTATTGGATGATGTCTATGTGGGTATGTTAGCCGATAAAATGGGCATACTACCAAAACATGATAGAAGGTAAGTTGAATGCCATCTTTCCTCTTAACCGTTAGTAAATACATGACCACATTATCCCTCGCTATTTACCTATAATACAGTACTTACCATGTTGATTACCGACAGTAACAACAAAAATTGAAGTGAAGATATTGTTATCCGGTAAAAGTGAAATCTTAGTATAGCAACATTACACTTATTACAACATATCACCTATTCCGCCGTATAATATCTTTCCCCATTGAATTACTCCAAGTTGATGGTCAAAAACTGAAAAATTTTATACACTACACCATAGTACAATTGTACGCTATACTATTTTGACCTTGAAGAGACAATACTTATTTTCCATCTTACTTTGATCCCTTGTACTATGTAGCAGGACAGTAATCATTTATTCCAATTGCACCATTATAAAAATATGCCTTCGTGATCATCAATCGATTAGGGCAATGATCATATTTGTGTCGTCGATGAAAATAAAATGAAAAAAAATTCATAAGATATATTGCTTGTCAAGATATCTTCAAATTGGATTATTTGATATAGTTACAGTAAATAAAAAAGTTTAAAGGGCGATTCACAGCTGTATTGAAGATGACAAGCTTATAGTTATGAATTATTATTGGACGACACAGATTCACATTACCGTCTCAAGCATTTTTTCATAGGCTAGTCCTTTCAACCGATTCTATTTCCATTTATTTTAATCATGAATGTAAGAATAACATATATGTATAACAATGAATCACTCACTATCTACATTTTAACTTTCATAACATCATTGATTAAGCTATTTTGAATTCCTCGTAGATTCAATGTCTATCAACCAATGCCCAAAAATCATAACTATACATTGGAAGAAATCGATGGCTCGCTAGCAGAACATGGTATTAAACCTCATCAACAACGCCGTTTACTAAAATTAGCTATCGAAGGCATGCGATTAAATCGTAAAAGCTATTACAATACAAAATTATAGTTTGGAATTAGATATTCAATACTAAAATAATGTTAAAAACACATGTATCTTTTTGTAGCAATAAAATGCTACAAGTTTTAAATGATTCTTATTAAAATGATGACAATTGAAAATCGTAAATATTATTATTTTATACGTTATTATAACATGTACAGTTTGCGACGAATCCATAATTTTACACGGATATTGGAATAGTAGAATCAGAACGAGGTAGTGATTGATTGCTGTGATATACATTCGCATTGATAACAGGATTTTATAAGAATGAGGGTGATATAAATTTTCTGCAGTATACTAACTCCACTAGGAGAAAGGCCATGTTTTAATAATATTAATCTGAATATTATTATGCCTTCGCGCGAAATTAAAAGATGCTTAATTGACGTTCCTTACACAGTCTTAATAATGTTTTCAATATACGCAAATATATTAAATGCTTATCTTTATCATTTTGTTTTTACTACGATTCTGTACAAAATGGTGCCGTAATAAACTACGAAACTAATCTTAAATTATGTAGGACTATTGGTTCTTTATAGCCTTAACTCAAGGAAAAAATTTTAATCTTAACTGTCAGTAGTTCCCACTATCGTAACTGGCTGAGGTATTTGACTACATTTAAATTGAATGCTTAAGCATTTGGTTTTATCTGCAATTGTCTTTGTTTTTATTGACGAAAATGTATTACTTGCGTAAGCAATACTGGAAATAAATCTGGATAAACAGAATATGATATAATAATATTGTATAATATGATTTTCGTAGAGACTAATGGTTTAGATTTTTTATTATGAGATTTTATTAAGATGCAAGGTATGAAATTCAATGTGACGTGCTGTATAGTGATAATCTGTTTTGTATTGTATGCACCTTAATAAATTCATTTCTTAATTGATCAGCATTTTATTGTATTAAACAATTAAACATCTAATTCCTGTTGAATGTGTGGAATTCTGGAAGGATACGTCGTCAAGGTAAATTTCATAGTAAATCAACATAGGAGATAGATAGAATAAATTGTATTGTCGCTCTACTTAGATGTATTTTTATAGGGACATAAGAAAATTTATTCAATAAATAAGAGGTCTTGTAGTGACGGCATTTATTTTAAAATTGCAATTGTTTCTTGATCATAATCAGTTTAGAAAGGCTTAAATTCGACATAATTTTAAAGGTTGCCGTATCAACTTCGCTACCTTGTATCTATCATAAGTAAATTCTTTCACTATTAAAATTAGCCTTCGTTCGCATTTAAGACAGCAGTAATTTGCTTACGAAATTGGTGATAGCAATCTCTTTTCTGCCATACTATGGGCAACCTTTATGCGTCGTGCCAAGTGCTCTACATCCTATTAATTACCAAAATTAATCTTGATATTATTAAATGAATTTTAATGAACCTGTGTGTATACGTACTACCGTATATTTTCTCCGTATACTTCAAGACAGCACTCTAAAGGTTGTAGATTTGCTCTTGGAACTTAACCGCATACGTGTACGATAAACTAACTGCTTCTATATCGGAAATTAGGTACGGCATATTTCTAATCACCTATAATTAGCCAATACTGACAGTAGCAAATAAATATACAGCACAGTATTATGGAGATAACTTTAAACGTTTCATAATTTCATGTAAAGTACTTGCTATGAAAATATTGTTTATAACGGACAATGCACGAGCTATTACAGTTAGTATATAATCAATACTACAGTGCTAATATCTACTAATAGCAATTAATGCATTTCAGCTATTCTAACGTATTATAACTATAATATTTAGTCATTTAACGTTATTAAATAGCATTTATTATAAGAACGTTTTGCTCCGTCATGAATATTGCTAAATTTACGTTAAATACTTTATTTTCAGTAAGAAATTCATTGTAATTATAAATAATAATTAGTAATAACAAAATAGCAATAAAGATAACATATAGTAGATATATTGTATCAAGTACATAAATTTTAGTAGGCATTAGCCCAAGGGTTGAGTTATTTTATTAGAGTAATTATACTATAAAAGTACAGCTCGGTAGGTACCGGTGCATTCCTGATATTAGCAGTAGTGTTACTATTATATATAATAGGGTAGAATGAAATGTATATTCATAAGTTTATGATCATGTTATGCCTTGAAATTAATTTACCAGCATGATCTAACAGACTTTAAATATATTAGTTATATATGTTTACTAATCAAAAAGAATCGTAGAATAAGTTCAAATAACTATACATCGCGGGTAAATTTTAACTTGAAGTTAAATAAATGCTTATATGCACATACGCAGTATGTATCATATATTTCAAATATAACTGTATTTTCTATGCATAGATTATTCAAATTTGAGTCTTGTCTATCTCCTAAACATCATGAATAAGCTTTGATGACCCAAGAATATGTATCTAGCTATTAAGGCAATTATTGTATTATTAATGCCAGAATGATGCAAATACTAATAGAACCCTAAAATATGAATATGAAATTATGTCAATCACATATTTAAAACTTAAATGAAATCCTTTATACCACTTACTGTATTTAGATTTATTAGTTTTATATCGTATGATTACATTTGATTAAATAGCTAAGGTGAGCATTTAGCATTCCTTTTTTCATTTTAAAGTGTCTAGATCGTAAAAGCAGTCGTTTCTTATAGAAGTGCGGTACCTCATAAATTTAGTTCTATCAATATTATACTGTGTATAATTTACGTTCGCAATATGCTAATGTTATTACTGATCAATCTCAAGAGTATTAGCTAAGAAAAGTAGTACTACTCTAAATTACAGCACGTGAATAAATTAGATAATTTTTATATCAAGCACGAGCTCATTGAGGTTAGACTATGTACAATATCTAGTATGTTATATCCTAAATCGTTGTTAGTTAATTCCATTAATTCGCCAACATAGACAAGTTATTTTTATTAATAAAATCTAACATAAATAAAAACATATTAAAATAAATTATCTATTAGTATAATTCATTTCTGTCTTTGTGCTTAACTATGGATGAAATATGAATGGATGTGTTACAACATATTGTATCTATATGGTTAGATTTACTGTTTAATTAATTCATTAACTAACTGAACATGTTTATAACTTCACGGTCTAATTAATAAAAAATATTTATGCATTTGCAATACATTAAGTCTATCAATTTAATGTGTACTACACCTATCGTAAACAAGAAGGTAAATATTGTTATAGATTAATCTCATTAATTGGCTAGAGAAGTATGTTTACTATATTAAAATGTATAGCCCTAAATAATAACTGAAACCTTTTGATTAAATACAGTACATCGCCTATAGTTCGTCTTTATTGTTTTCATATTTATATTTTAGATATCATGCATCAATCTGTATTACGATATACAGTATTAATGGATTGTTACTGCTGATTGATTTTCTTTCGATCGAGATACAAATGTTTACGGCTTATGCATCTACCATAAATCGAATCCACTGATTTTACATAAGCAGTATTGTATATCTGTAGTTATTCAATCCCACTGATTAGCCTGCGGAAAGATATTTATACTTTAATAAATTAAAGTCTCTAAATTATACAGATAAGCTTTTCTAATTAAATTCCCTATTTATTGTTCGTGTCGATCATTTCTATGTTATATTCCATGCACATAGGTTGCTTGGAATGGCTATTACTAGTTAAATATCTTCAATTGGCCAGGGCAAGCATGTTTACTACTTTAAAATCTCTATATAATGAAGATCTGCCTTTCTAATTAAGTGCGGTATTTATAATTGTAATTCATATAATTTATTTTTCAGTATATATTATATCTCATACATACGTACATTTATAGAATGTCTAGAATGGCCAAGAGAAACTTATTTACTGCTTCTCAAATTTCTTAATAATAAAGATTAGTTTTCCTATTAAAAGTGCTATTTATAATGAATATCGATCATTTTCATATTATTATATCGCACCCTATAAGGGTGCATTACTACTCGCAAAAACGCATATGATACCAGGGGTTGTCTATAATTGCTTTTCCGGTTAAATACTTT